ATAGTCTTATTATATAAAGAATAAATTATTATATTAGATAAGCTATAAAGAACTCCTCTATTATAAGAGCTTATTTTATATTTTTAATTATTATAACTTAAGATTAAGTATTCTTATAAAACTCTATAATAATCTCTTTATATACTACTTTATAAAATAAAGAATAAGAGAGTTTATCCTAAAATACTTTTAATAGCTAGAAATAAAGAACTTTATCTATAAATACTATATAGCTTATAAGGTATACTAAGGATTATAATAAATCTAAAATAAATAATAAGGCTTATTAGAGCCTATATCTATCTTTATAGATATTTTGATTTAAATTATTATAAATCTAATTAAAGATCTCTCTATAAGTACTTCTATAATATATTTATAAGAAGCTTTTAATAGTATCTTAGTAGTAATAGACTAATTTAGTAAGATAGGCTATTTTATACTTATCTAAACTATTCTTAGTAAAGAGAAATTAATAATAACTCTTATTTATAAAATCTTTTAACTTTATAGAATCCTAGAAAAGATTATTATAGACTAAGGTTCTATCTATATAAAAAATTTCTAGATAGATTTTATATTTTATCTCCTAATTTATAAGGGTCTTTCTATAGCCTACTATCTATAGATAGATAATTAAATAAAATACCTAAATAGTGTACTAGAATAGTATTTATAGGCTTATATTAACTTTAGTTAGAAAGACTAGATTAATTATCTCTCTATTATAGAGTTTACTTATAATAATATATACTAGGTATCTATTAAAAATATATCTTTCTATATAGTTATAGGTATTAACCCTTATATAATAATAATAATAGATTCTATAAACTAACTAAAGAATAAGATTATAGAAGAGTTAGTTATAAAGAGACTAACTAAGCTAGAATATACTTATAAATATATAAAGAAGGCTCTAGTAAGGGCTTAAGCCTATTAAAAGAAATATTATAATAAGAAGTATATTATAAAGATATTTTAAGTAGGAGACTAAGTCTAGATCTCTACTAAGAATATATTATAGATTAGACTAACTATAAAGTTAGATTAGTTAAATACTAGTCTAATATAAATTATAGAATATATAGATAATCTAGCCTACTATATAAACCTACTACTAGGCTTTAAGATATATAATATATTCTATATTTCTATACCCTATAAATATAAGGAGATAGAAGGGGTAAACTTATAAGAATACTTTTCTATCTATAAAGTTATAGAAGAGGATTATAAATACTATCTAGAGGTAATCTTAGACTTATAAGAGAATAGATAATCTATAAAGTATTATATCTAATAAAAGAGATATACTAAGGAAGATAATATTTAGGAATCTATAAAAGATCTATACTACTTATAAATTTATAAAGACTATATAAGAAATCCTATAAGAAGGAGAAACTTATATTTATTAATAAAAAAATAAAAAAATAAATAAAATAAATATAAAAATTCTTTAACTCCTAAATATACTATTATAAAGGTACCTAATATTAAGTATAAGTATAATATAATTTATAAGGCTAGAAAGATAACTACTAGATCTATAACTATTTAAAAAAGTAGTTTTTATAATTATAATAAAGATAGTTATTATATTTTTTAGCTAGCCTACTAGAAATATATACTATAAATACTAAGCTTATACTTAGATTATAGTAAGTACTATACTTCTAGCTAGTAAGAGGTAAGAGGTCTTATCTTAGCTCTAATTATAAGAATAGTCTTATAGAGCTAGGCATAGACTCCTAGCTAACTAGGTATATTAAAGTTATATTAGTTAATAAAGTAAAATAAGATTTTAGTAATTTATACTTACTCCTAGTCTAATAAGAAGTATAATCCTATCTAAGATAGAAGCCCTATAACTATTACTAGATTCTCCTATAAGTAGGAGAGGAACTAGATATCTAGAGATAGCTCTATTATTAAGTTAGAAGCCTAGGTAGTAATACTACTAGTAATAAATATAGAAGTATTTTAGTTAGCCCTAAAAGTATCTACTAGAGGTAGTAATAGCCTAAAGCTAGAGGCTCTCCTTATAATAAAGGCTAGCTATACTCTTATTAGATTAATAAAAAAAAGTCTATATATCACCTTATATAGGGGGAGGAAGGCCCCTATAGGAATAAGAGAGAGAGTAGTAGGAGGAGCTATAGTAGTAATAATAGTAGTAGTAGTAATAGTAGTAGTAGGGGTAGTAGTAGTAGGCTTAGTAGGGGTAGTAGTAGCAGGCCTAGTAGTAGTTGTAGTAGTAGTAATAGATATAGGGGGGAGGGGTATAGTAGGTAGTAATAATAATATAAAAATTATCTCCTCCTTCTTTTATAAGAATTATTAATAAGAATATTATAGACTTATAAGCTTTTACTTATCTCTAAGAGGTTAGAGAGGATAGGTAAGAATAGGGATATAAAAAAAAATATATAAAAAGATATTTTTTTATAAAATATCTTATAATATATTAATTATCTCTTTCTAAATATTATAAATCATAGAAGGTCCCTTACTAAAACTTTTATAATAAAAACTAAAAAAAATATAAAAGATAAAGAGAAGAAGAGCTTATATATTTTATAAAAATTATTATTATTTTAAATCTTACTTTATAGAAATTTTATATAATAAGGCTATTAAGGGATTTTTAGGAGTATTATAAGAATAAGTAACATAAATCTAAAATATATTATAAGAAGATTTTAATAATAAAAAAATATTATAGTTAAAGGGGTCTATCTATAATTAAGTCTTTATAAGAAAATAAATAAATATAAGTTTATAAAAAAAGAAAATAATAAATCTTTTTTATTATTTATGATTTTCTCTTTATAAAAGAAGATTTTTACTAAATAAAGATTTTTACTAATATATCTTATTATATATAAGGAATCTTAGATAGACCTTAGCCCCTAAGGTCTTTTAAAAAGAGATAATAATTATAAAAATTATAAAGATTTATTATATATTATATTAAAGCTATCTTTATAGAGGAGCCTATTAATAAGAAGACTTCTTATAAGAGTTTATATAAATAGTTATATAATATATAAAGATATAAATCTTATCTATAACTACTAAGCTATAAAGTTTAGTAATAATCTCTTTAAATAAGGATACCTACCTTTAAATCTATTTATGAACATTCTTCTTTCACACTAGTTTCTAATTCTTATGGGTCATAGATCCTTATACATGGTGTATTACACTATATATATATGTATAAGCCTTCATAATCCTTATAAATATCTTGATATATATATATATAAGGAAAATACTAAACTTTCTTATGAGCTTATGCGCACATAGGGTTTGGGAAATTATGATCTTTGTGAAAATAACATATTTTATTATTTTAAGAATATTTAGTTGAATCAAGGGGATGGGCTGTAGTTCAGACACTCTGAAATTTTAGTGTTGCGACAGTCTAAAGTACTTAGCCTGATATGGTAAGGACTATAGAAATCTAAGTACTTTAAGATTCCAGAGTACAAAGAAACATATATTATAGATTATCTAATCTAATAATAGCCCTTTTAGATTTAGAGCTGCTTATAAGGGGTAGTCTATAGTAGGAAGCTACTTAATATATAAGGAAGATAGAATTCTAATTAATAGCTTAGGAGTTTTATTATGTTAAGAATATAATATGTGTACTTAGATTTCTATAGTAACTACTATATTAGGTTAGGTACCTTTAAGATAGTATGACACTAAAGGTTTAGAGCATCTGAACTACATCCCATCCCGAATCAAGCTCATCCAATCTTCTTTTTTTTTTTTAAAAAAAAAACAATAAAATTAAAATTAATAATAGTAATAAAGTCAACACCAGTATAGTATGTATACATGTTGAATACTATATATGTATATACTCTGATAGCTAGGTTGGCTCCCATTTGTGGTATCCGTATAATACCACAAAACCAATGGCATTTGATATGTGCTAGCAGATTAATGACATATGAGTATAGATCAAATAACCATATCCCACTTATAGTATATACATACTACATTACATATAGTGAGTGGTTGTACCCAACTGGAATTAGCCATGGGCTACAAATTATGGAGCACCCCTAGATAGGTGATATGAACACTGTCTAAACTACAAGGGGCCCAGATGATAATTGAACAACGTGGCCTCTTCATTTGACCACGATCTCGATACATATTGATAATCCAAAACCCGTGGAGATCAACGCCCGAAGCTACTTACACGACTCGGTTTTATTACCAGTGAGATAGTCTTGATCAAAATGGTAAATATCCCAATGTCCCAGTGTCTGCTATAGATGATGTAGCTTACTGGCTTGCTAGGCCCAAACTCCCCAACAGAGGAAAGCAAATGAAAGGTTTGCAAAGCACGAGGCTGCAAAGCGAGGCAGAGGACACGTCCCAGTGAAGCCGAAGCAGAATTCAAAGTCGCCGCTCTCTACTGGTTGGATTGGTATGTATCATATGTGGAGCGAAGCAAATCTAAGAGCCACCATCTAAGAGCTCACAGTTATCCTCGCGTTTGTTGTATGTGGAGGACTCGCGTTCGAGATCATCCGGCTCATCCCGGCACTGTCGTCCGCTGCGATTTCCATGTTCAATCGTGTCATTGCCTAAACCGATATTAAAACTCACCCGAATGAATATCTCAGCCTTGTAAGATATCGATCAAGAATAATTGAAATCAACTGAACTGATACCATATCATTTCACAGCAGGGGTACGATTACTCGGTCGTTCCTATTACGTCAGCAGGGATTCTTCTTACCAAGATGCAGGCTGTGAATTTGCATGCTGGAAGAGCTCTCAGTCCCATATGCGATAGAGCAGAACATCCCACAAGGTCCAGCGAAGGATGTTGTACATATGCTCAGCCCAGAAATTAAACCTGCAAGCAAATAGACGTGGTGCTGGTGCCCCTGCTCGAAACTGGAAATTGCTAGGCACCATTTGTACACATTCTTTTTACTTTCCCCACCTACTCCAAAGCTCATGTGCAGTCAGCTATCGATGGTACTGCCCCCCTTCTGGTCCTCGAAATCATGTCGCACGCGAGGAGTTCGCTTCGGTGTACGGCTCTTCTTGTTGAGCTTTTTCTTCCTTTTGACCGGCGTACCTTCGAGAGGGATGCCTTGAGGGTGAATCCGCTCTGATGCACGCTGCATCTCTAGCCTCAATCTCTCCACCTCCTGCACGGCTCTGCTTATCTCCATATCATTCTCCATATCAACCACCCTGTTCGCGGATGTCGTAAGGGAGATACCTCTGCTTCCTAATGGGAAATGGCCGAGGCCACTAGAGTCAATTTGCAGCAAAGACTTCTTGGCCTTTACATGCTCTTCGGTATTCCTCAGGGTCGTAGAGTCTTCGTATCCGATTGTTTCGTCAACAGCGACATCGTGCTTCCTGGACCGCAAACCGGTGCTGAATTGCACGCCAGCATGCAGTGAAGCGGCCTGCGGACTTTCGAGGTTGCTTATATCGAGATCAACTATAGGGATTGAATCGATATCGAAATCGCGATCTTGGGAAACGCCGCCGTCTCGAGAGCCTGTGCCACGTGTAATCTCTTCGGCGAGAATGTAGAAAGGATCTTCCTTATTGCGTTCTCTACGCTCGGCCCTCCGTTCGCCGGATGTGGTGGGAGTTTCGTCTGAATGATCAAGAGGACCATGTGGTCTGTTTAGATGTGCACCAAAGGTGACAAATTGGGCAGGGTAGTTGTGAGTGGTGAACGTGTCACGAACGTGGTAGAATTCTTGGCACGCATGCTGACTACCCTTCTTGAACAGACAGTCCGAGTCATCGCCCAGGATACCCCAAAGTTGTGGGTTGTAGAGTTCGCCTAGAACAAGATGTTCCGGCCGAGGAACTTTCCTCAGGGCACCGAAAGCAACCGGGTTTAATTCCAGGCCGCAGAATAGACCGGGCATTATGGACGACAGCAAAAACGGCATTGCATCCGAAGAGTGACTTCCTGTCGGCAGAGCATCGGCTGCAAGGCGCATAAGTTCAAGGAATTCTATAGCCCTCTCCTGCACATCCAAATCTGGATGAACTGCCAGATGTTCGAAAAATTCAGTAATTTTGGACAATAGAAGCGACGTCTCGCCCTTCCATATTGTACTCCAGGTCTTTTTTGTATCATGAATCAACCTGACGAGCACCTTTGGAATCGCTTGGATAAAAAATGACAAGGTCTTAGCTGGCAAGGACATATTTGAGGTGTCGATCAATGACCGTAATGTTTGACTAGGCGAAGAGAGACAATCCGAGTATTCACCGACTACCCAGGCAATAGGACCAAGGGCAAGGTGGTTGCCATATGAATTGATGAACAATATGCGCCTTGTCTCGACAAGAATTAGACATTCCGCCGCTCTTGTTGCCTCTGTCCGAACACCTTTCACTCTCACGGCAATGTTTTGTATTTCTGTGCCGATTCGAACCGCAATATCGAGTCCTGTCTGATCCGCAGCGAGCTGAGAAGCTGACTGCTCAACGCGGAGGTCTCCAATTTGCCGAGGAAGAAGTTTCATCAATTGTACCAAAAGATCCACGTACCATACAAAATCAGGCAGCTCCGAATAATTGTTGAAACAGCAAATGTCCAGGATCTGATGCATCACCTTCACCCTGTAGTTGTCAGGCAAGGCACTCGGCGCTGGCTGAATTCTTGAGCTTTCGGGTTCTTTGGCATATTTCGAGTCTTGGAGATTCGCCTCATCACTTTGGAGTTGTTTTACCAATCGGTTGACAACAAATTGAAGCGTTTCAGAATTAACCAGTTTGGCTACAAGATCTAGAGCCTGAAGACGAATCGATACGTCCGCGTCTTCCAAACAATCCATAATGACATCATAGTGCACTGATACCAGGCCGGGATGAGATGAAACAATTCGGTTGAATGCGAGTAACCCAACATATTTGACTGTGACCATTAGTACCACCGCATTGGATAATGTAAAATTACTTACGATTTGGGTCCGAATCAGCCACGATCATCCCGCGAAGCTTACCAACACAAAGCCTTGCAATTTCGTCCCTTTCAGATGTCTCATCACCATCAAGTATTCCGCCTTGAATGATGCCATTTATACACTCGTATAGCAGGGACATCGCAGTCGTGGTTTGTATTATCTTCATAAGTGGCCGGTTAAGCTTTCGAATCAGTCTGGGCTCCAAAGGCGTCAAAGTTGCAAACTAAGCCTATTAGCAGCGTACTATTCACGGGAGCCAGAAAAATTACCAATTTTATAATCTTTATAGCCATCCAGTTATTGCCTCCATCTACCAAGAGATCGAATAGCCTCGGTGCCAGTGGGAGAAAGTCTTGGGGCCGTCTCCACCCAAGCTCACATATAACGTTGATTACAGCTGTGGTCACACTGCACTCCTCCTCGTCATCCATCAGGCGCTCTTTGAGTTTGGGCCATGCTAACTTGAGTGCCTCGGGATACACTAGAGCAAATCTGTAGAGGCAAACAATTGCCTTCTTGCGAATCACAGCACGCGAATGTGAGAGGCGAGACAAGATGTCTGGAAGCAACGACATGGCAAGTGAAGGCGTGATTATGTGCGGCAACGCGGCAACCGCAAGGGACATGCTCGAAATATTTGATGATGTTAAATCCTGTAATCTGTTAGAGGATTTACAAGAAAATTGACCGTGAGGTGTTCCAGAGACCTTCTTCAGTAAATTTGTAGCCAGCATCAAGACCTCCGTGTCAGATCTGAAGCTTTGAACCGCGCCAAGGTAGCCTGCTCGTTTTTGAAGGTATCTTGCAGATGACATGACCTCCAGGACATGAAAAGATACCCAAGACATATCGTAACCGAACATTTCGAGGTAAATCACTTTAAGAAGCGCTGTAGCTTTCTTATCTAGGATACTTTAGCATGCCGACTGATGTGACCAATCAAGCAACCAGGACAGAACAATATGCTTACCCATGTCCTGAGACTTGATCTCGGTCTTGCATTCTCGAAGACTATCTTGTATATAGTCATCCTCGGTGCCTTTGTGATTCCTCAGACCTTTGATAAGGTCGTAGAGTGATTTTTCAAACCTGGGGCTCACTGCGTTAACGTATGACTCTTCATCATATTAGAATAAGACTGACATTGCTCAAATATGCGTAAACGATGAAACAGAGACATAAAGCTCAAGCGAAAGCGCATGTGCTCCTATCTCAAGCAGTATGAGGTTTGGGCCCTTTCCCAGTGATTTCTGTGGAACAGATCGGTTTACCGATGAGGAAAGCAATTGAGTATTTCGTATAGATGCCAGTGTAGATATCTCTTCTATATGAAGATATCGGTATCTTCAGCCTACTATGTTATGTACAACCCTCAACTGCGTAGGTTTAGAGTCATAGATGTGGTAGGCTACTATAGTAGCTCAGTCACGGGGTCAGCGAACAGCCAATCCAGATGGACATGTGGCACGTCACGTACCTTAGTACTGAGGGTGTACCTACCTATCATTGTAACATCTTGGATTGGAACTATTTGCTCCCTTGTAACCATTGTTCAACACTGTTGAAATTTTTCTTCTAGGCACGGGCCTTATGAATGATGGGTCCAATCAATTCAGAACACTACCCCTTCCACAGCTCAGATTTATTTTCTAGTCTTCGCCTTTCGCAACAGGCACCTGTGATACTCAGCCAACACTCTGCGCTAGAAATCAATACGAAAGCGGCAGCAACCCTTTCATATGAGACTTTCGAGCAGTTTAGAGAAATTGAGCAGCTTTTTTTGTCTTGTCTACAAACCGGTGACACTAAATCAGGTCTCTCATGTCTCGGTCTTCTAGAGCATCGATTTGGCGCTTCAAACGAAAGGGTTATGGGGTTACGAGGTCTATACGAGGAGGCAATCGCAGAAGATCGGCCCTCTCTTGAAACTTGTTTGCGCCGATATGATGCTCTTCTCTTGGAGAATCCAGTCAATGTGGTCTGTGGTGGTCCCTTGTCTGAGAACAACCGCTGATTTGATCCATAGCCTGTATTGAAGAGACGAATTGCACTTCTGCGGTCATTGTCTCGACCCACAGAAGCTGTACAGGGTTTAATAGACCTCCTGAAGGCTGCTCCTACAGATGCAGAGGCATGGTGTGAATTATCGGATCTATATCAGTCCCAGGGAATGAGTGCTCAGGCGGTATTTAGCCTAGAGGAAGCATTGTTGATTGCACCAAGCTCTTGGAATGTAATGCACTCCCCTCTCGATCACATCGCCCTCCATTAAGGTAGACTAATTCTTCCTTGACCTATTTTCAGATCCATGCTCGGCTGGGTGAGCTCCAATATCTTTGCGCCGAATCATCCAACTTGGATTCTTCATATCAGTTTTTGCGGAGATCGATTCGTTCATTCTGTAGGAGTATCGAACTTTGTGATGACTTTCTCAGAGGCTTCTACGGGTTGGCTAAAGTAAGTACTCACAATGATCTACCACTATGACACTAATTCTAGTTCAGGCCACTTCGCTTCTGACCAGTGGTGATCGGTATCAACCATACTTGGGGGACACCCCGTTGCCACAAGCAGATGATCTCATCTCGAGAAGTTTGCTTGAGAGACTGCACATCTTCGCTAAAAATAGGATCGAGGAGATTGTGGATCAGCGGTCAAAGGTGTGCATACACTCAAGCCATCCTCGAAGTGAGCTCATTGCAGCAAAAGAGCTTCTCAACAGTCTAGCATAATTATGTTCTGAAGTTCAGTAACTTCATCATACTTTTGATCACGAACCATGAAGACTAGCGTATGAAGTAGTCGTATTTAACCGTATCTTCCTTCGATATGCGAATCGTATGTATATACATCGAATAGTATAATAATCGATTCCGTCAATAGTGATACTTACTAGTACCTAGGACAAAAACCCTGAGTGCAGGGGCTCACCCACCAACCTTCAGGACTCAGTTCTTTGTTCATACCGCGTACCTGACCCTTCGACCTGAATGCAGTGTGCAGTAAGCCTGGCGGCTCATATAGTCTGCAACTGTAAAACGCAGCTATGTACTCCGTAGTTATTTTTATATGCAGCCAAAGTGCATTCACCTCACGGATGGTGCACATAAAGAAAATATTTCTTCTGATGAAATTTGTAGAGTGGTCCTTGATACGGTAAATAGTGGATCGATAGTACGGAGTAGGTCGAATGGACTCGATCCGACTACCTACTCGACGTCCAGGCCACCCTTTTCCTCGGGTCCACCAATTGGGCACTTGGGCAGCAGATTAGCGAGATGCCTTAATTCTGTGGACTGAAATCCTCTGAATCCAGGAATACCCGAATTCAGTGCCTAACGAGCCTATTATCAACAACAAAAAGCATGAGGCAGACAAACAAGTATGTAACTAGGTACTATATAGGTACTACCTACACAAAATAAAAGTACCTTACCGTAGCCCTCGGTATGCCATGCCCAAACTCCGCCCCAGGCATCATCTGGTCAGGCACCTTCCTAGATTCTGGATCCAACCATTGTTTTTTTTCCCCTTTGATTTTCGCTGTCTATATCCAAACTGTCCACCAGAGTGGCTCACGCGTTCATAGAAATTACTGTCTCTAATTCCACCGTCAACTATATACTCAAGATTTTACTTCTTCCTGTTTTTGGTCAGCCTCTGCTAGACTAAATTATCTCCACGGTCTAAGCTGAACACTGCGATTGAAATATGCTCACCGTTATATTCAAGAAACCAATGGATCAATGAAGAGGATATGAATCAACACTGTTTAGCCAACCTGTTTGTGATTCCAGAATCGGCACTATAATAAGAAATTGCGAAGGCGCTTCCAGCCTACACTTCTCACTGCTCTGAGCGATTTGATGTCGCTCAGAATCAATACTGAAGCATCATTGCCCACGCCGCCTATTGAAGCTCTACCACGGTTGAAATCCATTACTCCGACAAATTTTTGACTGACATCTATGCCGTATGTCTAGGCAAATAAACCCAACAATAGATGGGAGTTCCGCTCGATGGCTGACTATGACCTCATGAGCAGGTTCAATATCAGGATTGGTCCTAGTCTTCATGACTCGGACTTATCCTTATCTGACGAGGAAGGCTCCTCAGGAGTGCAAGTCTCTCCACCGTCTGATTCAGGAAGTCAAGAATATCCAGATCCATATGATGAGTGGGCACACTTGTCATACCCGGATGAAGTGAAACCGTCTGATTCGGCTTCTCGGCCAAGAACCGCAAACCGCACGCGAGGTCGCAACCCGATCCATGGCTCGCCCTCAGGCTCGGGCCGTCGTCATTCACCGAGGCGCTATGTTGTGCAGGAACGTGATCTGTATACTCGTCGATCCCGCCGTCACCATTCCCCAGAATCCCCAGAGAGTCCGGATTCTGCCGAGGAGTTTGGAGACCCTTATATGCAATCGTCGCAGGAAAGACCACTTTGGCCGTCTGTGCCCCAAGGTTCGAATTATCATCATAGGCTGTCACCAGAGTCATCGTACGTTTATTCTAGCAGTGGCATATCACCCGGAGCTTTTGCGCAATCTGGTCATCGCCCGCCTTCCGGTCATCATCCGCCATCCGATCAACTGATTAGACTTGGTCATCACCATCAGGCAGCTCAGCCGGCACCCTACAACCACCCTGCTTATGGGTATACTCCTCATTATCAGAATCCTCATGGGCCACATATACCACCGTTTTTCTTGCACGAGCACCATCCCGGACATCACATACCCCATGCGCATCCGTCGCCTCAGGGTCGGAATGATTCACATAACCCCCACCAGCAACCGATAGCCCATCAAGTTCCACCACACGGCCCTTCGCAGTATGGCGGACATCCCTTGAGCCCCCATGAGCTAATGCCATATGGGACAGGGGGATATTATCCATTCAGGGAACCTTACACCATGGTTCCCGGAATGGTCCACCCTTCCTACCTCAACGCATACCCTCGTGCACCATCTCCAAGCCAGGAAGAATCAAGCCCGCCCTCAGCTCCCGCGCCCTCTGACGTAGCTAAGGATGAGGCGATCGCGAGGCTAGAAAAGTTAATATTGGAAGAGAGAACAGAACGCGAGAGCAAGGAAGCGCGGGAGGCCGCCATCAAAGCTGCAATTGAGAAAGAGGCCGCCGAAACTTCTGCTAGACTAGAGCGAGCTGCGCATGAGAAAAAGATCACCGAGGAAGCAGCGGCCGCTGCTAGGGCCGAGGCAGAGCAAAAGGCAGCCGAAGAGGCCGCAAAAGCAAAAAAAGAAGCGGAAGAAGCGGCAGCAGCGGCAGCAGCAGAGGCAGCGGCGAAGGCGACTGAAGCTGCTAATGCAGCAGCAGCAGAGGCAGCCGCAAAGGCCACTGAGGCTGCTAATGCAGCAGCAGCAGAGGCAGCCGCAAAGGCCACTGAGGCTGCCAATGCAGCAGCAGCAGAAGCAGTCGCTGCCGCTACTGCTGCTGCCTCCAATAAAGCACCAGAAAAGAAAAAGCCCATCAAGTTCAAGGATTCTATTGGAAGGAAATTTAGCTTTCCATTTGATTTGTGCTGCACCTGGCAGGTAAGACCCTAGTCGGTTCTGATGTGAACATTCCCGTCATCTAAGACTGAACCATTTAGGGCATGGAGGAGCTCATACGACAGGCTTTTATTCACATCGAGGGGATAGGACCTCATATAGTAGAGGGAAATTATGATTTAGTAGGGCCAGATGGTGAAATCATACTTCCTCGAGTTTGGGAAACCGTCATCGAGCCAGATTGGATGATCACTATGCATATGTGGCCGATTCCAGAAAAGCCGAAAACTCCTGAGCCTGCTCCAACTTCTGAAGGAGCTGCTGCTTCTGACAATCCAGTCAGCACTGAAGCCGCTACTGTCCCTGATAATAGCGAAGCCATCGTCGCTCCTGATGATCCAAAGAAGAAATCCGAGTCCACAGGTACGTCAAGTCTATCCTAGCTCATAACCTTGTCGCTGCACCTATTGTTTGGATCTCTTCCATATTTTCTACGAATCCCGTGTATTTACCGGATTTTGTCCTCATTACTGACTTCAGTCTTTGATTCAGTGGGCAAGAAGCGCTCCAAAGCTCCCAATCCTGGCGCCTTAGCCTTCTGGATGGCAGGCAGCCAACTAAAGAACAGAGCTTTAAAAGCGGGAAAAAAGCCTTAAGCATTCCACCATCGCGGAGCTCTTGCCGTGTTATGTGATAATTTGTCCCCCATCCTGTCAGCTGATTCCCGTGGCATGCAGGTGCACCCAGGAACATTAACAACTTATTCATCACTCGGGCCACTGTCATCACGCGCCCTTCATGCGCTGTGAGCATGGCCACCTTCTCTGCCTACATAGCAGCTTGACAGTTTGCAAGAATATCGAGCTTACCATATCACAGTATGCTTCAGTAGGGTATGACTTTTCCTCTCGACAATCTCGGGATTGGTTTCTCATGCCTCAGGTTGGGTTTTTGGTTTTTGTTTCCCTCCCCCTCTCTCGCATACTGGATTTGCTTGCTTGATGATGGGATAGGGTTGACCTACGACAACAATCATAGCGGGAAGGAACTTGGAATTCGGAAGAAGAAGAGCATGCATGTAATCGAAGATCTTTTGTATCTGAAGTGTCAGAAGTGTCATATACCCATAATAGATGATGGATTATATTCATGAATCATGGCTCAAGTCTTCTGGATACCCCATCCATTTATTATTGTTGTGGATCCGCCTGGGATGTGACTCATTAGATATGAATTTGTAGTTCTGCACCGCCGGTCCTTGGTGATAGGATATACTTCTTGTACTTCTCTCATCTTCTTGACTGGGATTCAACAATCCGCCCTCATTCGACCCCAGAAAAAAAAAAAAAAAAAAAGAGGAGGGGAGGCAACACGCAGACATATGGAAAATGTGCAAGTTATACCAGAGTAAATCATCATTTCGACCCAAACCTCGTCACAATCATTGTGGACGTAAAGGCTTCCACTGAATCTCTTCATGCACATTGTCATCCAAAAGGTTCGCAGATCCTTTACTCTCACCACTTGCATTTGGAAGACTCTCTTCTTTATCCATTTCGGAAGATTGTGTATTGCCTGGGCTTCCATCCGTCATAGAAGATATTCTGACTGGTAGTTTGAAGTCGCCATCCTGCACATCAGGCAAGGTAATTGGTCCTGAAAAGCTGCTCACTAGTGTCTCACGAAGCCGTGACGCAACTGGACTTGACGTTTTCATGCCAGAACACGGTGCAGTTGATTTCCGAGGCATTGTTCGTTGTCCTCGAGGTCCCAATGATATGGATTGATCGCAAACGCGAGATGACGTAGCAATTTCTCTTCCACGCGGCGGTAATGGAGGCTTCTGCGAAGCCACGTCGGTGTAATCTTGATGATCCTCCACATCCATTGTGTCGTTCTCATTTACCCAATCGATAGGATCGGTTAAACGAAAAGGATTGGACTCGCGCCTCATGTTTAAAGTCACTTTGTCTGGCGATGGCTGTACGGCGGATCGCACAGGCGCGCCTTGTTCTCGTGTTGTCGTCAGAGATCAGGAAATACAATTTGCATCCGTAAAATAGCAAACCAGTAAATTGAGATTGATGGGATGGGGCTGGATTTGTGATAAAGAGCAACTGGATCAGAGGAACATACCGTTATATAACCACCATTTTTGTTCATCTGAGCTAGCTGGTGGTAAGCCAGACCAAACCGAACTTCGGTCTGTTGATTTCTCACTGGGTATCATAGAACCATTCAATGCCCCCGTAACCTCCATACTGGGCACATCACCTTGTGTTCCTGCACAGAGTATATCCCTAAGACGTTCCCTCATATCTCCATCGACCACATCAATTCCACAAGAGAAGACAGCCCACACCGGACGATGATCCGAAAACTGTAAATGTGCAGAACTGTAATGCAGTTGCCGGAGATTTGACCCTTTCCACAAGATTCTATCACACCATGCAGGAATGCGTGCTTTTTCACTGCGGAAAAATTAGTATCGGATTCGATTCAGCTAACATATACCTTACGATGAGTCAAAATCGTCTCTACCAATGTCATATTTATACGTTGGCGGAAAGACAATGGCGCCTTCTGTATAGAATTGAAATACATTGCCTGCCATCATTTGCAGGTTCAGCTTCAGGATGATGTCAGCAAATGAACTGCTATGAAGAGAGTGGTCGTACCTGGTCATTTTCATAGAGCCGCTGATAGTTTCTTTGCGTCGCCAATTTCCTAACCTCATGATTCCCGAGACCTATTCGGTAATTAAAGTCTCCAAGCCAGACGATGGTGTCGTGATCGTCAATGGACTTATTTCTCTGGAATCTCAGGCCTCGACCGATGGTCTCATAGTCTCTGTTTCTCTCTTCATAATTCGCAAATCCAGCTGCGAAGTGTGCAGTAACAAAGCAGATACGAGTATTGGAATATTCAAAGCGGATAGCGCAACCTCCTTTGTTGCCGCTAATTCCCGAGAGACCAGTCTTCCAGTGATGTTAGTAATTACCAACAGCGCGGCAATGAATTTTCCAGGAAAACCCACTTTCTTCACACTGCCCTCAACATTTTTGACCTCTTTGAGAATATCCTCCCTGACGAATATCATGATAGCAGCTCCAACAAGCTGGCCACTCCGCAAGAGAATGTAATTCGAAGTCCCAGTTCGTGCCGCATGCTTATTGAGGCAATTTCGGACAGCGACTTCCCATACTTTGCGCGTGGTAGGATCCGTTGACATGATCTGTTGCGGACTCAGAGAAACTATCTCTTGGAATCCTACAGCAAAAATAGTAGGATCCTGAATAGCTTGATCTTCTTTTTGCTCATCAGCCGCAGGGAAGAGCCACGATGACAAGTCAGTATCAGGATCCAGATGGCGACCATTCACATTGAAAGTCCCGGCCCAGATTTTGACCTGTTCGACGGTGGTATATTCGGGTGCTCGCCGGTCCAGTTCTTCAGAGATTAATTCATTCATTGGATCAAACAGGTGAACCGATGCTTGATTATTTAGTTGGCCTAATAGTAAATCGATGGTCTTTTGTCGAGCTTTGTCCGAGAAGTTGTTCACGTAGAGCCGTGTAGCAGACTTGCGTGCATCTGCAAGAGCGCCAGCGAGCGACATCTTTCCATGTCGAGTGAAAGAACTCTTTAGCGCACCTGTACCGGCATACATTTTTGCTAAAGCATCTCCATTGTCTGCCCAAAGGGTTGAGTGTCTAAACTGAAGTTCGGCATGGAGCCGTAGACCTTGTTGATGCAAGAATGATTCGAGAACCATCAAGCTGATGACTGTCTGTACGAGATTAGTCCGGTCAAGGCAATCCAGACAGTTTGTTCGGAAGACCCCTTCTTGTTGTAGGACAACCGATGAACCATCGGATTCATGATTACTTTCATTTGAAGAGGCACTGTTCTCGGAGAGAAAGAATGCAAAACCATCCACGGAGTGGAGGATCACCTCTTTTATTTGGTTGCTAGCTCCGTATCCTAGTGGACCACGGGCCTCCGCATGGAAATCGAATTCTGTCATCTGCAAAAGTCTATGGTTTGATAGTGTGTGCAAACCTGACCTCTGGTATAAAGGACTTCTGCAGACGAGTTCTTGGAATCTTTTCGAAAGTTGGACTTCGCCCGGCTTGAGAGCACTCAATAAATTGACTATGTGAACCGCACCGTACCTTAATTCAAGTGCTTCGAAATGCTTGTTAAACGCGTGTTCACTCGCCTCTGTTGATCTTATCACCTCGATTTTCTGCTGTCCAGGGAAAAACCCCGGCGCTTGCTCCCAGAATACGGGCACAGAACCACGGATCTGAACGTAGGAGAAGGTAAGATGAGGCGGAATCCAAAGAATAGTTTCGGTCTCGACAAAATTAGCAACGTTCCCGTCATCGTCAATGCCACGAGTGTTGAACCTCGTACCGGCCCGTCGCGATGACTGGCGGGATATGATGGTCAGCATTGGAGAGAAGTGAGATCGTGTGTGAGACATGGACATTGTAGAAGCGGGTATGGGCAAAGTGCTACAAAACCCTCGTATGACACAAGTCAGCACGCCAGAAGAGTCGAGATGCATTCTATCAGCAGGGGCCAACTGCTTCCTGAATGATAGCAGAGAGCTGATCATGTATGAATTCCATAACATGTCCACATCTAGTGCATCGATGTCGAATGTCGTCGCTTCATCAGAACTAGCGATGCATAAGCGGGTCTGAGTTAAAGGCGAGTAGAGTAATTTGCACTGGCTTACCGATTTTGCAATCGATCCGTGAGATTAAAATCCAGACTATAGTAGAAGCTGCCATCACTCAAGAGCTTCTTGAGAGCTAAAAATGGATGATCGGTGATGACCTCTCTGTTCTCCCCTCGATCGAGCTCATCAACGCCAAATGCCGAATCAGACTCATAGTAAATTCCATCTTCATAGCCTGAATGATTAAGACAAACTGTTCCGATTAGTCCAAAAGTCGGAACAGCTTGGACGGAGAAGACAAACAAAAGTCCACGCTTTCAATGCGCCATATGTTCTCCCCAGGCCTGATAGTTGCAGCCTTTGAAGCCCCAGTAACCACGCATAAGAATACGTCTTCGCTCAAAGTGATTAAACCAAGCGTGCCATATCCATGCCCTAGATGCCGGTAGCTTGTCATGTCCACGGAAGACGACCTAGAGAATTCAACTAAGCAGCGAATGTCGCCATTGTCGAGTGCTTTGCTACCAGTATCCCCTGGTGCCGGGCTGGCTTTCAGGAGTAGAGTAAATTGAGCTGTCGATAAAGCCAGTGTACGCTGAGGATGGCCCCCACATGATACTTGCAGACCAGACATTGTTCTGGCAACACGAACTTAGATTGTAGGTCTCGGGGTGGAATAGCCTGGAAGTATAAAGGTAAATTTAATTCTATTTATTGCTTACCCTTGATTAATGCGGCAATGTGCGATTAACCTTCCCTCCCATACTGCTCTAGGAGTGTGCCACAAATCCTGACTATGGATGTGAGTTTCGGGTGTATATAGTCATGTGGTGGTGCACAGAGTACAAAAAAGACAGAAACACCACTGCTAGTACTAAAAGGATACTGGTTGTGGTCAGAGATTTAACAACGTACTACTATGTGCTCTGGTTCTTTGGTTACTAGGTCTACAGAGTATATTAGAGGATGGAGTGGGTAGGCGGTAGGCTAGTAACTAGTTGTTACTTGTTAGTAGTACTTACAACCTAGCAAGTAGATAATAGAGTATGGAGTACAGATTACAGAGTAGATATCTACTCCATAGTCCGTAGTTCTGTACTACTTAGGTGTCTTATCAACACACCGTAGGGCGGTCAGTGCGATATGGGGCAGAAATAAAACTCAGAAAGTTCATGTACGATGCTAATGAAACATTGGCACTGCCTCTGATCGATTATTGAGACGCTATACTTGAACTAATTGAAGTGTCAAATTTCTCATCACTTTCTTCGTTCACTTTGCTTCCTGGTGTTACCTTCTTCCGCTCTTTTTTTATATTTTCTCTTTACCCCCCAAAAATCTCCCTCCATCGCCCCAATGGGCCTGGCTGCACCTCGCAAGTATGAACCGTGACCTTCAAAAGAAGTACAGAGACAGTAGTACTGACTCAAACAATCAGGAGAACTAAAATTTCCCATGACCCCAACAATACCACTTGGTCGCGATCAACGGATGGTTTTGGGCATAGAATCTTAAAAGCCCAAGGATGGACCCCTGGTAGCTTCCTTGGCCCTCGGAACGCTGCACATTCCGATCTATTCACTACTGCTAGCGCATCTCATATCAGGGTCGTTTTGAAGGACGATAATTTAGGCCTGGGGGCCCGGCCGAAACGGGGTCTTCTGGACGAACCTACTGGCTTGGATGCCTTCAAAGGATTACTCGGCCGGCTTAATGGCAAATCCGAGACGCAACTTGTTGTAGAGCAGCAAAAGCGTGATGATATCAAATTGGCTCGCTATGCCGCGGCGAAGTGGCAGGCTGTTAGATTTGTCAGTGGTGGATTACTCGTCCAAGAGTCGAACGAGACCCTTGTTCCTCCAACGTCTCAGAATGGCCAAGCCGACTCCGAAGTGAAGAACGTCCCACAGGGACGTGAAGAAGGTCTGGCGGATGACGAAACGACCAACAGCGACTCAGAAGATCGGCATAGCGTCGAAAAGAGGAAGAAAAAGGAAACGAATTCCAGAGGTTCCCGTGAAAAGGAAAGAAAACGCGAAAAGAGACAAATGAGAAGAGATAAGAAACGGAAGACCAGTGAATCTACAGAATCCGAGGCCGAAATGCAGGAGAAAACACGCGTGCAGGGACCATCAGAAGATGTGAAGCCGACAGAGCCCAAAGCTCCAACATTATCGAGGGAACGTCGACCCATGGGAAGACAGATGTTTAGAGGCCGTTATATTGCACAGAAGAAAAGAGCCCTCATGGATGATAAATCCCTTAATGAGGTACATATCCCACCACGAAATTCCTGGCTTCCTGCTTTAAGACTGACCGAACCAGATATTCATGATCAGTACATAGTCTTTTTCTTTCAACCAGACATAGCCGTTCCAATGACTGTTATGATTATCCATATAAATTTATATCCAATTGTATGCTCCCGGCTTCCTGTTCTATGATGAAGAACGGAAGGGGGTTTGGAGCAGAAGATCATAGCTTTCAGTCCTTAATCATATATCTTTGCAATACCATGATTATATCTGATCATGAGTGTTATTTAATTCTGCAGTATATTTAGATCCTCCCTTCATTAATGACCAACATGGGATGCTTGCAGGAACCTATGCCGAGCCTCTGAATGTACTACTACCTACTTTGTACTTTGCGATCCAAGTTCATCTACTATTTCCGCTATGATGCGATCCTCCTTGTTATTTATATTGAAGCCCTATTTTTTCGTACAAGAGAGCAAAAACAAAAGCTACTGACAATTGACATCAAAAATCAGATCATGGCTGATTAAGACATCAATCAACACCAAGAGAGGACAAGAGGTTGAACTTTGGATTGCCACTTTGGGCCAACTCCTTTTCTTGACAACCTTGACAACAGCCAACTCCACTTTTGAGCTTCCATCCCCCGACGACAAGCTGCCACCCAGTCAGTCTCTTCACACTTGACATCTAATGCTAGCCCGCGAAAATTCACGAGAAACGGCCATTCCACGGCTCAGGAAGACCGCCAATCATGCCTCATCTTTGGATCAGCTTGGACAACATGATTCCCAAACTGTGACCGAGGAGGATGATGCCTTGCGCCCCGATCTCCACGTACGAAGTAGTGACAGTAATTACAAGAATCTCTTCGTCGATCAAAGTGCGCCGTTACTCAAATATCCGTCCCCGAGGCCGTCAACAAATACCCAGTCGACTCTAACCCAGTCCGCTCATTTTGATGATGAGACTCGTCGGACATCGAGGAAGCATCGTGTGAGGCGTAGGTATGTTCATATACCTATGGATTGGAGCCATAGAAGACAGCACTGAGGGGCTTCGAGCATGAGAACTGACAGATTCTCAGCGTCATTCATTGGGCTCCCTTAAACATCGGTCTTGAAAGACGACTTCAGACCTTTATTGTCCTATGTCATACCTTAACAATAGCAATTTTCCTCACCTTTTTCTTCTTCTCATGTGCCATTCCATTGTTCTGGCCACTGTTACTCCCATATCTTATCTATATCTCGCTTTTCTCATCGGCCGCTACATCGGGAACATTGGGTGGTCGAAGCAATCGCCTGCGTTCGCTCCGGATCTGGTCGCTTTATGCATCTTATTTTCCTGCTCGGTTGCATCGTTCAGAAGTTCTTCTTCCAACACGGAAATACATATTCGGCTACCACCCACATGGAATCATTTCTCATGGAGCGTTCGCCGCATTTGCTACCGAAGCTCTGGGATTTTCAAGCTTGTTCCCAGGGATCACAAACACACTTCTTACTCTCGACTCGAACTTCCGCATCCCTTTCTACAGGGAATACGCTCTAGCTATGGGACTTGCTAGTGTCTCCCGCGACTCGTGTGAGAATATTTTGTCCAAAGGTGGGACGGATGGCGAAGGCATGGGTCGTGCCATCACAATTGTCGTCGGCGGAGCACGTGAATCTCTTGATGCTCTGCCACATACCCTTCGCCTTGTGCTGAAACGTCGCAAAGGCTTCATAAAACTAGCGATCCGTACAGGTGCCGATCTCGTACCCGTACTGGCATTCGGGGAAAACGATCTCTATGACCAGGTGCGGTCCGACCGGCATCCCATAATACACAAGTTCCAGATGCTCATCAAGCACACGATGGGATTCACTATCCCACTCTTTCATGCTCGTGGGGTCTTCAATTATGACGTGGGACTGATGCCCTATCGTCGTCCATTGAACATTGTGGTTGGGCGACCTATCCAGGTCATCCAGCAGCAAAATAGGGATCAAATTGACGATGAATACATTGAAGAGCTCCACTCAAAGTACATAGAGGAGCTGAAACGATTGTGGGAACGGAATAAAGAGGTGTATGCGAAGGACCGAATTTCCGAGGTCGAAATAGTTGCATGAAATGGTTTCCATTTACGTCCATTCCTGTGCGGCTGTGCCATGACCAGTAAGGTGGTTGGATAAGTGCTGTGTCTTGGTCTGGTTCATGCGTAAGGGCACTTGCTCGATGCCAATAAAACTCTCTAAGCTGATCCCCGTATTGCTGCCTAGAATATCATCTTCAAATAAACTATCATACTACAACCACTTTTGGTAACATGTGAGGCACTTGCTCTCCCGAGCGATGTAATGATGAATCAGGCAATTCTCCGAAACAGTAGTGGAGGGCAGGGCATACGCCTTCTTGGTCGATCTCTCCCATCACTGGATGGAGAATCTCTCTTAGGTCGTAAAGAGGTTTCACAAATTCAATCGCTCTGTTGAAGATTAGTGTTTCAGCTCCTCATAAGTTTTGAGTTCACTGATCTTCTCCAAGAATGGCGTTTGGTGATAGCAATCATGAAGGTTCTTGCTTAGATCTTGCCAAGTCTTGGGACTACTACCGCTGGAGAGATAGCTTGATATCTGGCAAATTAAAAACAGCAGATCAAATTTGTCTGCATCAAACGGATGGATAAACTATTTATGAAATCAGGAGTAGAAGAAAACAGCCTGGGTATCTAAACACGGGGTGAAACTATTCACAAATCATGACCACACATATCAGCGTACGGCTTTCTCCAAACATGGTTGGATGAAAACTCCCTTCAAGTAAGCACCCCAATAACAAGTGAGCACATGGTGACTGACAATGATAAAACGGGTTTCTAGGAGACCAAGCCGAGAGAAGAGCAATGTGGGCCAGTCGGAAGATTGAGTAACGCTGGATACAAGTAGGTAAAGGAGATAGGCATTCGGGTATAGAAGGTGGAATATGGAATGAAAAGGGGACAGGGCAAGGATTCAAGATGGGAAGTGAAGACAGGAAAGAGAATGAATCTGAACAGTCGTCTAATCAACTCTTGCCTTTGATCGAATCTGCATTCGTGGTACCCGGAAGCACGTAAGCTGTGTGTAGAGCAGGAACACCTGCTGCTGACTCGGAACTGCATTGATCTCCATCAGCAATGTGAACACTCCCATGTGAACCTTTGATCAATTGACCGCTTTCAACTCTGTCTTGTATCATTTCATCAAGTATTCGCGAGACTTCGTCCATGCTTTTTCTAGGTGGCTTTTCCTCATCGCCTCCTTGCAGTGGAGAAGAATCTGTCACATATTTGTTTGATATGGGATTTTGGCCACCACGATGCGATGGTTCATGCTTGCTTTGGAGGTCTGGTATGTAAGCCTCTGCTGTGACATGTGCAAAATCGCGATGCCGTGCGGCAGAGCGGAGTGCAGTAAGCATCCGGTCTTTATCATCCAGCTGCAAGCGAAGCTCGTTGATTTCCACGTCTTTATCGTGAAGGAGAGCCACGAAATCCGGCGTATCCGAGGCTGCATTTGCTGTCTTCATACCCATAGACATCCGAGAGTGACTGGATCGACGAGCCTGGAGCAAACGTCGCTCCAAAGTTGCGATATAGCGATTCTTATCATTAAGATCCGCCTGTAGGGCAGTAAGTTGTTTGTGAACGCTCGCTCTCCCATCTGCGAACTCCCCTATTATTTCCTCCTCATCGTTTTCGAAAGATCCGCCGTGATACGGAATATGCGCAGATAGTTCATTACTGTTAGTGGACAGAAGTGAAATGGGTCGTGTGGATGGCAAGCCGCAAGCACCCAGTGTCGATTGACTCACTGAAGAGCGTAAAGATCGAGATATTGAGCCGGTAGCAGACATTCTAGAAAGTCGACCAAAGGCAGCTATTCCGCTCTGGCTATTGACTCCAGTGGACTTGGAACAAAGTATGAGGCGATTGAGATGCTCAATCCGTTCCTTCAGCGCCGTGCGAGCTAATTGCATCTCAAGCATCTGCTCCTCATGGCGCGCCTTTGCCTCCTTTTCCAACTGCTGCTCCTCCAGTTTCAGCTCTTTCTCAGCCTGATCTTTTGCCTGTGTTTCAAGCTGACTGCGCAGGGTTTGAATCTCCATCCGATACCGCTCCAGGAGAACTCGGCTGCCGGCATCGCCACCACCGCTACCAAACGCTTCTTCTGCTCTTTTAGCGTGACTAACGATACTGTTCTTAGCGCGAGCAGCGAATTTGAGCGTGTTCAATGTCTCGGCCGAGTGTGAGGCTGTGGTAGCTGAACCGCCAGATGCACCAATTTGGATTGTGCAAAGGATACTGACGAGAGAATTACCGGACAAGGCCGGCTGCAATAGTCTGGTAAGTTTGCTGTCACGATATGGAAGATGCCTGCCTTCGCGATCGTTCTGATTGCCATTCTTATCCTTGTTCTCTGACAACCTGGCAATGATCGTGCCCAGCGTGAGCAAGCTTTTATTGATGTGAGCACCTTCCGTCCGACGCTCTTTATCCTCTGCAGCACGCTCAGATCCAGCCAAATCAATCAAGCTAAGGGTTGAGACTCTGACCCCGCCGGGAGCCATACCGGAGCGCCTCTCTTGAGAGGGATTGCTAGCTGGGGCTCGCTCCCTGCTCTCAACGACAATTTGAACGACAGCGTGGCTCCTGGAGCTACGAGCGTTGAATTGTGTACTCCCAGTCCTTCGGGCATGATCACCTCTGGCAATGACACGAAGCAGTTGAGTTGGGCTTTGCACAATCTCCTCCTTCAGAGGCGTCGCATACACACCACGTTTGCTGTCTTCACGGAGTTTGATTTCTTCCTGCTGAGTATTTGTGCCTCCACCAGCTCCCGGAGCAGAGAGTAGATCATGGATTTTCTCATTATAGATTTCCAGGTAGCTGACACGAAGGAGGAACTCCCTATGTGGCGTTTCCCTGATAAAAGAGAAGATATCCGTTATTGCTAACGGAATCACACCAGGAGACGTCGCAGTTCCTTGCATCGAGAAAGTTTTGCCAGTACCAGTCATACCGTAGGCGAATACCGTACCGTGATACCCCTCCATAACCCTTCTGACAAGGCGTTTGGCTGCGGCATCATAGACTTTGGCGTTATGCTCATGCGGCGGGAAGACATTATCTGACAGTAAGTAAGACAAATTGGTGAGCCAAGTCGAGGTGGTCAAAGCATGAGCGGTCCAATCTCTTACCATAAAGATAGTCTCCCCCGCCTTCCTTCCCCCTGTAAGAGACTAAGCCGCGCCGACCGTCGACCATCCACTCGCCGTTCGGCGCGGGTCCATCCGCCCCATGTACGTCAGGGCGTACCCGGACGCTTACAATAACGTTGCCTCTGGCTTGCTTGTGTTTTGAGTTGGATTTGGATGCACCCATGGGGTCATCGGCATCTTCAAAAGTGGTCGCACTGGTCGAGTACGAACCTTGTGCAGAAGAGCTTCTACTCTGCGAGGGGGAGGCTTCTGGCTCCCGCGCATCTGAAAGAAGGATGGATTTGCCCTCTCCGTGTCCATTCAGCAAGGAAGGAGTTTTTGAACTTCGATAGCTGCTGGTGGTTCCTGAGCTTAGTCTTGAACCATTTTTGACTTTCAAGCTGCCAGAAGGACGGATATTTTGGTGGCCGACAATAGAAGAAGCAGTTGATGGACGACTAGTCGACTTTGGTGGCTGTGGGAACGCCGCGATGCTTATGGTCCTGCGAAGCGATTTCTCTGGACTCGCTGGTACCCGGCCGCTGGAGGCGGATCTCGGTGTGCCGTTAGTTAAAGCCGGGTTCGACAGTGGTGACTTATTTAAGATCGGTCTGGGGCTTGAGGGCGTGCGTAGCCTGGACGACGACTGGAGTGGAGATGACGCTCGTGAAATTTCAGCCGCCAGGGGAAGACTCTTTCTTGATTTTGGAGCCGGCAATGGCGGTAGGATACCAGCCGGAGGGTCCCTGGCTGGTGGAGAGGATTGCGGTAGTGTTGACATAGGGAGCACATAAAGTTCGGATTGGGAATACTGGCCTGTTGTACTGGTCGATGGCACTATCAACAGGCTGGACGGAGCAATTTGAGAGAAGGTTCAGATTTGACGTCTGCTGGCCATATGTGTAGTATGGGACGCAGCAGTTGCGTATCTAGGGATTGGGCCCTAGGGTCACGAAATATGGGGCGACTTGACGTCGATTATATGAATGATTGGAGAATCGAATTGTACTGATGGTGACAAAGCCGACGAAATAGAACATGAGGATAGGTTTTGGTATTGGTAATGGTGCGCGCGCATCCACTGGGAAGGTAGGGTCTACTGCCATTGTCGTTACTACTCTCTGTATCATGCTGTGGTAGAGGAGAATAAAAGGAAACAAAAAAAGGGAAGAAGAAGAAAGAAATCACGGATAAGCAAAACAGAATGGGATAGAATGGCGGGTTCAATGCAACTACATCAAACTGATATGAGAAGGTGGTAACTCACATTGGGATGATAGATATGTTGCTGCGGCGATCGAAGCTGTTAAATCACCACGCGGTTGTCTGTGATGAAGTAGGCATTCAGCGTTGCGATACTATGCCGATCCCATATGCGCTCGCGAGGCCCTACGCAATGCTCGCAATCGAGCCAAGTTGCAATAATGCTATTGTAGTTCTTTCTGAACGTTCTCTGTGGCGTTCAATCCGGACAAGTTCCAGTGCAGCCTCGGACAGTGTTAGGAGTCAGTCGCTCTTGTGGAGGCGGAGGAAGATGAATAAAGATTAGGAAGATACTTCGGAGTATCTATCATTCAAGACGTCAACTAACGTTGGAATAGCTTTGATTTGAAGACGCTGGGATTACTGTGTAGGAGCGAAGTAATAAATATGATGTTGGATGAAGAAAGCCAGAGATCATCGTTGTACTCTAGTTAGCTTGATTCCCTTAGTCGTGTCTAGTCTAAAGGGGAGCGGGACATTAAACCCCCCTGGTGTCGCAGGAGAAGGAATATCCCGTCTTCGTGTTGGTGCTCTACCCAAGTACTAAGTACCATGTCTTAAGGCTTTTGGTAGGTACTCATGTCATTTCTCTCAAGGGATTGAAAATAAATGAAGAGTCAAAGGGAGGGGGGGGGGTATCGAGTATCGACCTTACACGAGCTCAAGGATATTAAACCTGCTTCGCGGAGTAAGGCGACTGCGTACAAAAAGGGGCCTAGAGGTAGATAAATAATTTACATCACGTAGATAAATGTACCTTGTTGATGAGATTTCTGGTTATGTAATTAACTGTTAGTTCGTTCCATTAAGTGAGTAAACACTTCTGAAGGCCTCTTGCGGGATTGATCTTGTCAACCTTGTTAGATTTCAGCTTCCCATCCTTAACAAACCTACTAGTAATGGTCCCTTTTACATAAAGAAGGTATTTATCAATTATAAAGCTGGATGAGTGATGTACTCAATGAGCTTTCCCATCCTCTTAAAAAGAGGGAAAAAAAGAGGGGAAAAAACTGCGCCCGATACGAGGCTCGAACTCGTGACTTTCAGATTAAAAGTCTGACACTCTAAACCAACTGAGTTAATCGGGCGTACGAGTATACTAAAGCTCTTGCAAAGACTATCTGACCATAACAGGATAGTACAACAATCTCAATTTTATCACTCCCCGTCACTCAAAGCTCGAATACATGGAGTTCATGAAACAGTGTGCGGGGTCCCCTTGCTTTGGAAATTATTACGATATTATAAAAACCGCCGAAGCAACACAACATATGAGACATAATACCAGGGAAGGCGAAAAAGATGAGCTGAACGATATGATGAAGACGGTAGATTAAAAGGGAAGGAAGTCTTCAGATTTAGCCGAGATAGCTTTCATTTCACTCAATTTCTCCCTTCCCCCCCCCCTGCGCTGCTCAATGGAGCCAATTTATGCAACATCATTCATTAGCCCTGGAGGACAAATTGTTAACCGAAAGAAAGACCTCTCACAAGGTGCTAATGAAGACCGCACCAGAATCGAGTCCAAAATCAGCTCAGAGCCCAGATCAAGAATTGGCAACTTCATAAAAGAACATAAATGAATATTCAGGAGGCCTTCATGTGCGTCGTGGCTTTGAGTCTCCTTGGTCGGGCCTATTCAAAGCAGGAGCCACGCCCACGGTATGTATTTGGCGCTTAGCCATAAGGTTCTCTATATCATGTTGGAATACCACTGTGCTCGTCAAAGTGGCATCATTGACAGGAAACTAAATCTCCGTATGCGCATCCTAACAAGGATACGTCTGCTATAACGTCAAGGAGAGGACGAAAGGGGACAGATAGCCCTGTAATTTACTTGCGGCGGGTTTCGGGAGTCGATGCCCGTCAGCTAAGCGCAGGAAATCATTGAATCTCAGTGGCTGATCGCGGAGAAATCAAGCTGTCTTGCCGCATTCTTGAATGCGGCATCGTCAATATCCCCGCCTCGCCTAGTAAGATCATCGCCCATCTTCTTGACTCCACCTGATTTTCGAGGGAGGTCGCTTTTAGCAGTGGGCCTTGGTTCCGTTGACCACCAACCGTGTTGTAAAACTTGGCAGGCTGTGCTCCGCTTTCTCGGATCCAGCGTGCACATTGACATGAGCAAATCCGCGCCGATTGGGCCGGCAGTGGGAAATTGTCTTAAGAAGAAATCACGACCCTGTAAGGGAACAATGTTGCGATTGTCCGAAGGAATATAGTTGGGAAGTCTACTGACACCCGGCCAGTTCTCCTCTGTCGGCGTGCCAAAAGCTTCGCATATTTTCGAGATTTGGTCAAGATCGGAGTTTCCGGCAACAAATGGAACTCTGAGGAGAAGCTCAGCAAAGACCATTCCCATGGACCACACATCAACAGCACCGGAATAATGACGAGCACCATATAGCAACTCGGGAGGTCGATACCAACGAGTAATGACCTGGTATGTCATGTTAAGGTATGGGTCAGCAAAGGATCTAGCCAAACCAAAATCAGCCAGCTTAACCTCCCCATCACTAGCAATAAGGAGATTATTTGGCTTGATGTCCCGATGAAGCACGAAATTCTCATGGCAGAACCAGACTCCCCGAGAGAGCATTCCCATCCAGGCCTTCACATCGGCAGCACCGTAATGGATATTCTCATCTTTGATGAGCATCTCCAAATCTCCCCGCGGCAGATATTCCAGGACTAGATTGAGATTTTGATCTTTGGAAGAGAAAACATCGTGAAGTGCTATTATATTAGGATGCGACAACTCTTGCAGATACTTAACTTCACGAATGGCGTCCATGGAAAGTCCATCCTTGTATTCAGCGTTAATTTTGATTTTCTTGATGGCAACGAGGGATGATGGATCCTTTCGAAGATGCCCAAGGTATACAACGGCATAGGTACCCTCACCAAGCTTCTTATCTGTAGATTCTATGTTAGCCTAGTCATTGATGCCGTGCAAGTGGGGAAATGGCCTGCAGAGGACCAAGGAGCTCTGTTTAGCACCTTTATAGTATTTTTGTCGAATATCATCATTCAAGAGCTCTGTCAGCTCGCGATCAACATTTGGTTGAGGTGCAGGAGTAGAATCTTCTCTTTTAGCAGATGACTGGGAGAGAGGATCCTTCAACTTCGCTGCTTCACGGGAGGACAATGTGACGGCTGGTAAGGCATGTGTAACTGAGGGGGAAAGTGCCATATTGAAAACTTCTTGCGTGTGATGGTAGGTAGCCTATGTAATCTGTCTTCTTGATGGCCAGGAAGTTGCTTGGGAGTCGAGAGAAGTGGGCCATTGCAATCATTGCTTATAAGTACAAGGAGTAAGATCGCATCTTGAATTCTTGGGTGTAATTGTCTTTGGAGTTCAGATCATGAATAAAATATGCTGTTTCGCATTTCAGGTTTCTCAAAAGTAGCCTTCTACATGAGGCATTTGCAGAGAGTTTGTAGTATGACCTCGGAGTTTTGTTAATCCTGGGCATTAATTGGTAATAATTCCTCAAATTTCTGGATGCTGGACAGCATGGGCAATCCCAAACACTCAGGAAAACCTTGGGTTTCAAACAAAGGCACGTCCATCATTCCAAACTTGATTATCATTTTATTTGCAAATCCCCTTCCCCGTTGGCAAAATATCAGATATCATGACGATGCGCAGTCAGCGTTTAAGCGCTCTATCCTCACAGTTCATCAAGCCTTTCATCTTCGGCAAACAATGTATTCGTTGCTTTCACAAAAACGCCGTCACTCCATCTGTGCCTTCTCCAACGCCCTTTGTCCCTGATGTCCAAACCTTTCTCACCTTGATCGGTCGTGGTATGTCTAAGCACGCCAGCAAGCTACCTTCCTGGGACAAGCTTTTTACTCTCAACTCCACCGAGCTTCGTGATGCAGGAATTGAACCCGCACGTCAAAGACGGTATCTGCTTCGGAAGAGGGAGAAATTCAGACAGGGTGTCTACGGTCCTGGTGGCGATCTGGAGCATGTTGTCGATGGAGCCGCTCAATTACGAGTAGTTGAGGTAGCCGTGCAGGGGGCCGATACAACAAAGGGTAACCGAGGATCGGATCTCCAGAATTCTTCTGCCACTCTATCACCGGGTATGAAGCGAATTGTTGTTAATCTTCCTCCGGGGACCGCCGTCCATGAGCATGACCCGTCCAAGCCCTTGAAAAAGTTTGCTCATATCAAGATACACCAAGGCTCTATGGTCAGAGGCCCCTTTCTGCAACCGATTAAAGGCACAAATGGCAGTGCGGCTCTGATCAAGGTGCAAGAAGGGATGTGGGAGGACAAGTTAGGACACAAAGTCGATGGAGGTGAAAGACGACGCGCGGAGGTCAGGGCCAAGAAGAGGAGCGAGGAGAGGAGAAAGGGTACGGCATGAGCTCTCTACTGAAAATTGGAAACTCCAATCTCATGTCATAGTTGTATACTACTATAAACCCCAGGACTTGTATCATTGCCATTTTAGCTTATCTACACCACTCCCTTGCGCAAATACAGCGAAAGAAACAGAGCCTTGGTTCTTCTTTCTGAAGGACGTCAGATTGATTGTGGGCAATAGTTCACGATTGTTTTCTATTCATCATCTATTTCTCATAAAATGGGATTAAAATACTATACCAGGGATGCCTGACAAGAAGAATACAATATTGTACAAGTTTCGTAGCTGCAAGGCGTCGGGCAGATCATAGATTACCCAAGTGTCTCGAATAGAATCTCTGATCCCAAGCACGCCCTCTCTTTTCCATTATTAAATCGTAAATTCAACTTTTCATGGTGCCTCTGTCTTATAGAAGCTCACTAAAAGAGTAAGATTTCGCCCGACCAGTCATGACGAAAAGTTCACGAGGAATATCATGCTTTGAGAGCAGGCTCGCGCTTCTCAAATTGTACAACAGATTTGCCCAGAGGCTTGGAGAATAAAGACTGCAATGTATCAGTAAACTTGCCCGCTTTATAATGTAGGAAGAGAAACTGACCGAGTAGTCCGTGTCTGGGATGCCTTCAATATCTGGCAGATTACGAAATTTGAATAACCGCGCAAGTCCAGCGGTAATAGTGCCAAGTTGGACATACGCAAATTGCTCGCCGATACACCTGTGTCGTCCAGCACCGAAAGGAAGATATGGGCTGTTAGTGCCTTTGTTGACGAGGCCGTATCCATAGTCGATCTTCTCTTCATCCTCATCATTCTCGACGATATGCTCATCCCAGCGGTGAGGATTCCATTCAAGGGGATCAGCAAAATGCTCTTCAGATCGCGCAGTGACGCCTGGAGAGGAAAGAACATTGTGGGAGGTCGGAATCACATAAGGTGTACCTTCTACCGGCATTGGGTTCTTCACAGCTCGAATGATAGAGTGAATCGGTGCGTGTAGACGTAGAGTCTCCTTGATAACCTTTGCATGCAGATCCAGCTTTTGCAGGCTGTCGTAGGTAAGAGGGGGAAGATCGGATCCAAGGACACGTAATTGCTCCTGGTAGAGTTCTTCCATAATATCCGGCCGCGTTGCAAGACGAAGAACAATCCAAGCGGCAGTAGAAGAGGAGGAATGTTGGCCCGCCATCAATAACGCAATCATCATGTGTGCGATTTCTTCGTCGGGGACTGGAACACCATTCTTGTACACACAAGACATGAGGTTCCAGACCATATCTTCGGAGTCCTTCTCGTTTCCAGCCTGACGGCGCGCTTTAATTATCTCCATGTATGTTTCTGTCAACTTCCGCTGTGCAGCATCACGCTTCCGGTTATGGGGCAGAGGAGCCCAGGGCAACATGAAGTTGATAGGAGCGAATCCCATGTCAAGATCATGATACAGCTCAGCAAATGTAGAATCAAACTTGTTCCGAACTTCCTTCCCTTGAAGCGACCGCGAGGCAGTATAGATGGTGATCTCAGCGATTGTCTTGCATACATCGAAAACGCCCTTGGGCCCCTGGAAAGCTGAAGAAGATTTGACAAAACTCTCGAGTTCGTCCGTGATCAGATGTACATATGAACGGAGTGCATCGGATGTGAGACCGAATTTGACAAACTATAATCATTAATTGCTGGCCCCCCTCCCCAAGTGTCCCTGAGAAAGCCTCTTACCTTCTTCTGCTCCATGAGCTTGGCGTTGGGGCAATCGTACACGACATGGCGTCCGAAGACAGGCGTAGTTAATGGCGAGTAAACTTCTTCGGCGCACACATCTCGTAGCTTGCCATTCAAAATAAAGTCATTGCCCTTGGTGCCGAGGTATACGGTTGTCTTCTTGCCAAGGAGGATGAATGTGAAGATATCACCATACTACAACATGTAAACCGTTAATCAAAAGAAATTGTAGGCACCGACGTTGGGATTGCAACAAACCTTCGCCCGACAATCGAAAAAGAACTTATATGGATCAATGCCATAACTGATGGTGCTACCAATGAAGGGAAACCAATGGAAGACAAGGGGGGGTTCGTTGGGATTTTTGAAAAGAAGCTGGCGCAAGACGTTGACAACGACAGCCACAGCGAGCAGCGACAGTAATCCAACTCCTCCAAGCATCCATATTGACTGCGTTGAGCAATATTTGCAGACACCGTCCAGAATATCTGTGATAAGACCCATGGCTAGCAACCACAACGCTGTGAGAGATTACTATGGGTAGAGTCGCAGTGAAAAGACAAGGCTGAGAATCTCGCCTGATGGCACCCTTGAGACCTTCTGAAAAAGAGAAATATGATCAATAAGATCCCTTGATGACTGGGGCGGAATGATATGTGGCAGGGACTCGGTATAAAGATGATTTAAGATTTAAGGGATGGGCCGAAGGAATGATACTTCTGTTTTTTTTTGGGTAACTGTCACCGCCCATACAACCAGGCCTATGGAGATTGATATATTACCAGACTAAACTCGTCTTGTGTTTATTGGTAAAATATTGCCCCTGACTAACCTGTGTTAGCCTTCTTCCCATAGGTAAGTAAAATCTGGGCCTGGTCTGGAAGAGTCCCGAGTGACTTGATGTATCAACTATCAAGTCAGACAGGAACGAATGGCAAGGTCTCTGGATAATAATCACGCCACCTCGGGCCCGTGTTTCTTTGCAGGCTGTGTGCTGTGCTCCGTATCTATTTAATCCGTAGACTAACTACCTTACTAGTAAACAAATGGGAGAGATGATATGATCACTAGGGGTTGGCTCAACATCACTAAAGTGGACCTATCAATAACCTAAGAGTACATAGTTACCGTTGCCTGATGATCAGATGAGGTTGAACTCAGTGAAGAGGGTGTGGGCAGTCAATCAGCTCATGGCAGAGTGTTATTTCAAATTATTCCATGGATCATAAGGCATCACAGGGCTTATAATTGTGCGAGAGCAGTTTTTCTCGGCACCTGGTTTGCATATCTGCAATTCATATCGACCCTGTCCTGTATTAAATACTGTCCATGATAACCATACATGTATACAATAACTAATGACCAATTCTGACTACAAACTCAGGGTCTCAGGGATATATCTGTGCTGTCAAACCTAATTGCTCGCAGTCTTGCAGGTGAAATACAGTTTCCTCCCATCATTTGTAACGACCTGTCGGTTCTTCTTCAAACAACACTGGATCCCCGCGCTCTCCGAGATTGACGAAATCTTTCGGGGCACTATTCTCATCAGGTGAGACTTCGCGTTGCTGGTTGTCCTGGGAGGGCTGGTTATGTATGCGGTTCCCAGCATTATTTTTGCGGAAGACCTTGACAGAATGCCCAGGTCCATCCGTATGCTCGCTGAAATGAGCGTCATTCACACTGCTGAGTAACGTACGCTCGCGCTCTACTTTGCGCTTTGAAAAATCAAGCTTTCCCAAAGCACCTGTTAGCCCGTCCGTGCTGTCGGAGACGCTGGTATATTTCTCTGTGAGCCATGGATGTTCGAGACACTCATCCACAGTGATCCTCTTTTCAACGTCGACTGTAAGCATCCTATCGATTAAGTCCAGAGCCGGGTCGCCCACGGAATCCCAATATGGGGAGGGATAATCAAAGCGCCCCATCTTGATTTGTTGTGCCAATGTGTAGGGGTTTTCGCGGGTGTAAAGTTCATCTGAAAAGGGAGGAAATCCGCAAAGGCAAATATAAAGAACGACACCTAATGACCAGATGTCCACGGCCCTGGTGTACCTCCGACGGCGAGACTCCTGTAGGATCTCAGGGGCAACATCTACATAATCAGTATCGACGACACATCAACAGCTTGATGGGATCACTTACAACTTGGTGTCCCGCACCTATAGATCATATCAATTAGCAAGCACAAAGAACAAGGAATGTATATGTAGGATTCGGCAAGTAGCACTTACAAAGTGGTTGTGAATGAATCTTCTCCGATGATCTTTGCTAGTCCGAAGTCGCCAAGCTTCACAGTCAGTTTCTTATCTGCTACAAGTATATTTTCAGGCTTGATATCTCGATGGACTATGCCACGGTCATGCTATCACCTGCATTAGCTCTCGTCGCTTCATAACGTTGGAGCAAGTTTCCCTTTGACGGCATGTCGAAAAAGGAGAACTCTGCCAGGTTCGGCTAGTGCAAGAAGGCTTACCAGATATTTCAACCCCTCAAAGATTTGAAGGAAGATATGACGGGTTTCCTCTTCGGAGAACTTCTGTTTGCTGACGATCAAATTGAAAAGTTCGCCCTCTGGGGCAAGTTCCAAAACCAGATATACACCATCTGCCTCGTCAAAAGTATCCTTGAGACACAACAGGTTTGGATGGTTCACACCCATAAGAAGGCCAATCTCTTGCTGCAAGGCATCAGTTTGCGACTTCTGAGAATCACCAGGACGCCTCTCAAAGACCTTAACGGCATATTGAGTACCCGAGGCCCGTTCTACGCAGAGGTAAACAGTCGCAAAATGACCCTTTCCAAGCTGCCGTAGTATTCTGTACTGTTGGCGAAACCCGTTCGTGTCCCTCGTCTGCGGGTATCTAAAAACAAACCGCGCCTCATCCAATATTGTAATCTCATCGCCATCTTCAAGTTCGCGATGCTTATTTCGCCCGATAATTGCATCGTTAACAAATGTGCCGTTGCTTGATAAGTCTTCCACAATGGCGATAGAGTCTCCGTTTTTGTTTTCGGTGTAAATGAGGAAATGCCTATTCGAGATGGTGGGTATATTGATGACGAGATCTGTACATTGTTAGAATTCTGTTGAGCTCCTTGTATTTTGCATGGTCATGTACCGCACTCTGGGTGTCGTCCAACAAGAAAGCCACCGGGATGTCGGCTCTGTTTGTCGGTTGGGATCTTGCTTTGTTCGGCTTCTTTTTTGAACTTTGTTCTCGAGTCCGAGTTTCGGCGACTATCACAGCTGTCGCGTTTTCTCAGAACGAGAGACTCTCGCACTTTATCATCAAGTGGGATCAAGTAACCCCAAACTCCCTCCGCAGCTTCATCTTGTACTTCATCCACGAATGCCCTGGGTGGATAAACAAATTGCGAGAGAGCCTGTGTGTCACCGGGAGGAGATGAGCAAGACTTGACTTGCTCTGGACTTGATCGATTCTGACGGTGTGTTTGGTTAGGACTATCAGGTGGAGTAGCAGTAACTTCGTTTCGAATGTCCGTGGCAGTCGAATCTAACTCGGTTAATGGTGTAGGCAAGTATGCATGGTTGACAGGGGTCGCTTGCGACTGCTTCTTGGAGGTTATTCTTTCGGAGCGTCGGGGTTTTTTGAGGTCTTGTGAATCACTGTCTGTGCTGACCTGTATATAATGTCACCTTAGTTATGAAGCAAGATGGAAGCTGGGCGGGTGATTGTTACCCTGCTGCGCTTGAGAGAACTCTGCTCATTTTTGGGTGCCATTGTTCATTGATTTGTATGCTATGGCATCCCTCAGGATGAGACAAATTTTGTGTTGCCTTCCAAGACCTTCCTTGAAGTTGGGCGAAACTGAAATGGTGGACTCAACAAGGCGCTGTGATGGAGGGCGAAAGTTTAGCTGGCCTGCAGGTTTAGCAACTTAGCTCATTGTTGATCGTAGAAGACAGGCTGTTTGACTTTGAGATTATCCACCTAAGAGGAAGGAATTATCAAATATCACCGGGAACATAGATATTAGATAGTTTGAATTTCGGCATCGTCAGTGTATAACCGAAGTATCTTATATTCTTATTCTGCATTCCCTTTATTTCTTTCCCAGCCTGCAGGCGGCATTTGCGTGCAGTATCTTGTGTGCTGTAAACAAGGCTGCCGACTCATACTACTCCGTAGGTATCTACCATCTATGACCCATCAACTAGTTAAGTATCAAGTGATTATTCTAGAGTACTCCGTCGTAGTGTGACTCTGATCTATATACTTCAATGAGTGCTTATCGACCTGGGTACCCTTGTAGATATCTAGATACTCACCGTTGTTCAAAAGCATTTCCGTAACCGGATACTTCGTGTTTCTTCTTTTTCTTATTCTTCTTCTTCGACTTCAATATAGAAATTGCGGGGATTGGATGTAGAGAAGACCTACGTACTCATTCTGTATGTATAAATGTACATTACCTATTATTATTGTTGTTGCTGTCATTGTTGTCGATCTTGTTGTTGATGTGTCCAGACTCCAGAGAGTCTGAGACCCGTATCCCGTATCTATCCAAAGCAAGTACGTACTTTAACTAGACATAGTTTACCTAATAATTGTGGACGTAGTGAGGACCCACACATCATCATTTAACTACGGAGTAGCAATCCCCTGAATTTAGGTCTGACCTGACCCATGTTAACTATCTCGTTACTAGTACTAGACTAGATGATTGATGCTCTCCTCTCTACAATTTACCAATGTGGTCTCCACGACACTCAGTCGAACACCCAACTCAAGTGATCTCAAATCCGCAACTCATCGAGGCTGATAGAAAACTCCTGCACGTCCGATTTCATTGACATCAAATTTGGTGCTTTAATTGAGGTGCAAATTTCAGTAATTGTACAGTGAATTGACACGAGTGGAGAATAGTTTGCAACCAAAAATGGATGAGTAAGGAAATACTCCAAATCAGATCTGGTCAATCAGTAGCACTGATTGATTGTACAGCAGTTTCTCTACGAATATCCGGCGTTGCGCGTTGGACAAACTTGCATTCATTGCTGTGACGGAAGCAAGTTGTAATAATGAATCGGACATTGTGCGGCTCTCGCAGCAGTGCCAGCTATCATCAAGCCATTCCAAAGTCTCTCCCAACGGTGCGGCAAACAATCAGACCTCGATCGCCCGTGTACCTATGGTATGCTACGTCCTGACAGTCCTTTGTTAAAATCATGGAACTCGGCACTGAACTCTATAGGATGCGAGGGAATTAGATGTACTCCTTGCCTTGTGTGATGCTTCGCCCTCAGTGAATAAAAGCCAATATGCGTCGAGGCTGGTCTCGCAATTGTATCCATATCTCGCCGAGTCCCACAGCCAGGTCTTCCGATCCTCTCCTTTCTTGCACAATGTGAAGCCTTCTCCTTGGGAAATACTCACTCAAAAGGTGACACTGGCCCTGCTTTCGTTGGGTGCTAGCCAGCCTTCACTACGTCCAACGGTTTTCGGAGCTGTCAACGAGTATTTAAACAGCTGTGCGGAAGTTATCCGGGGAGTTGTTCCTCTCCAACGCTGCGATTCCGATGGAGATAAATACGGTGCTTTTCAAGAGCATAAGCGGATTCTCTCTCTAACCGTCTCCCTCGTTGGTTTCTTGCAAGCCTTGGCACAATTCACTTCCCTTTGGTCGGCCAATGAGAAACTTCAAATAATAGAGTGTGTGCGGTCGATGTTGTCAGAAGGTTTCATGGTTGCAATCGAGACTGCTTCCTCTACTGTACGCAATGCGAGCATCTCAGATCCCTCACTCAGGGATTGGAGAAGATACACACGCCGATATGCTGTAAATAGACGTCCTCTTGGGGCCATGCTTTTGCAACAAGGCTTCATGCGCTTCGTTAAATCATGCGCCACTTCCCTCTTTGTGGCACAAAATTTGTCTGACGAAGAGCTTCTTGACGACTACATGAATGGTGTTGGTATCGCCAGGAGCCATGATGATGCGGAGATATCCCTCATCAATCGTATAACGGAGATGATTGCTAGTGAGATCCAACTGCTTGATGATGGTTCTGATTATCTCCAACTCGGTTCAACATGGCAACAACAGTTGACTTTCTCAGTGAAAGCGTTTGCCCTCGTTGGGTATCTCAACTGTGTTATACTAAGTGAAGATACCGCAAATAGTGAAGCTTTTCTATCTTGGTTGGAGGACACTCTGGCTGATCCAAACCAGATGGCTAGCGTTGAGCTAGCAACAGCCACACTCAAAAGCATAGCTATCATTTCAAGGATGTCCTTGGCTGGTGCATCCTCCGGGAGTCGCTCTCTCCTGAGGTTTATAGTTGAGGGGGGTGCACCGGCTGGGTACACTGGCTCAGTCGCTGCAAAGTGCCTTGCTCAAATTCTTAGCACCCTGTCACAAGATGCCGTCATAACGACCCTGTACTCTCTTGGGAACGCTCTGAGCCCCGGTTCTAGCAGCGACAAGTCTTATCACGGTCAGCCTGTGATTGATACTGCAGGGCACCTCGGCGCTGTTTCTCCTTTTCCACCACCAGTGAGGAACGAAAGCATGGTCTCTCTCCCACCTGCCAGTGACCACGACAATGTAACCCGCAAGAATATATTGCATGCTATTGTGACGATTGCTACCACTTGTGGCGATGACAAGATTAGCGCACTGGCGCAATCGATGCTTTTACAAAAGATTGGCAAAGTCAACATCGCTGTTGATGCGTTCATTATCAAGGAAACTGCCGCTCTTTCCTTGAGTACCGGACAAGCAGAGTTTCAGCTCCTGCTCAAATTCTATGATCGACTTCATCGCGATAGTGTGGCCCGGGGTTATAAAAATGTTAGTGACGCAATAGAGAGCGCAATGACATACATATCCCTCGCTCTCAAGAGGAAATCCCCGTTGTTTCGTATCTATCTGGTGCACCTGCTGGAATGTATTGTGAACAAGGGGGACGCTACAAACGAAACCGAGCAGCCAAAAGACTTAGTTTTGGCCCCGGAGAATGTCAGTCCACTTCTCCGGCCTCTGGCCTTGCTTTTATCGTCCAATAACGAGAATTGGGAATATTCTTGGGAAGATCCGGTCTTTGACGATGATATCTGCTCATTGCTTCGTGACGCCTGGTTTAATATCTCTGTTCATGGTATTTCACTCCGCTCTGGTGTTGCTCGAAGTCATGCTCGAGAGTTGCGCTTGCTTGCAATGCATACACCACCTCTCGTTGCTGAGAACCGTATGGAGATGCTTGAAAGTGATGTGGAGCTCAATACAATTCTCAGACGTGGGATGGGCTCCCATCGACTAATAGATCAGAAAAGAACTCTGATGGCCGAGCTTTCGCGTTGTGAATCGGAGATCAAACACTTGGATTACCCGAGAGTTGTTTTCTTGAATGCTGCTCTCCTGGTGGAGAGCCTCCGCGCATCATCAGGAGATTGCACGAGAATTCTCAACTATCTTCGTGATCCGGCATTGAACACAGCTGACATGGCTCGTTGCATGAGTTTCATTGCAGACAAGGTTGTTACTGCTTACTTGTCTCGAACACTCTCGGGCTCACAGGAGAAGTTCTCTGTCCCCTATTTATCAAAGGAACTGGCCCAGTTCTTTGTAGCTTGCTGTCACCGTATAGAGAGGGTGCAAAGTGTGGCCGTCTTGTGTGCGGACAAGATCATCAAGGAATGCCCTTCTGCCCTCTGTGAAAAGCAATCGCTTTTTGCTTTGCTTGAATTACTGACTGTTATGTGGTCCTCCTGTCTGGAGGAAGAAATGGATGAGTTTGAATGGAAACCTTCGTGCACCTCGCCTATGGGCCTCGTCACGGTTGAACTCTCTGACAACTATAATCTCAGAAGGAGGACATTGGCTACATTCCTCGAGCGAGCCAAGGAGTGGGTAACAGCGGTTATCAATATCGCACCTCTGGACGTGAAAGGCCTCCTTCAAGTAAGTATATTTGACTAAACCTCTTGGAATTCAAGTCTGACTTGGTCATAGACCTATTTATCTGCTTCCAACGATAGTGTTAGCTGTAATCAAATTTCGTTGGGGCGCTCGTTCGCACTTGATATGGGCTCGGCTATTCCACAGAGCGATCAGCTGCTTGGTAGGCTTTCATCCAGGATTACTCCCTCAACAACATGCCTAACCTTCTCTTTAATCTTCCAGAATCTATTTTGGATCAAAGATCCATCAAAATCAACGTTTCCTCAGATTTTATTGCTCAGTACACCGTTCGGCAGCAATCCCGCGCCTCAAATTTGCCTGCCCTTGAGCATTCAGGGCTGAGATACACTGAGAACAATGGTATGTGTTCTAAGAGAAACTGCTCATATCTGAAGGTTAACAGAACGGCAAATAGGTTCTCGTTGTACAAAAGAGACAGCCTGGTCTGTTGAAAATATCAAAAACATGCTGTCTCACCTCCATGACCGACTCAAATCAGGAGTTGATATATCCCCCTCCGATTTCAGAGCCACCTTGAGAAGGGCTGCCGCTTCTTTGCGTGAAGCGAGCTGCCTTCATCATTTAGTCATCCATCCCCTGGTGTCTCTGCCATTCCAGATGTTTTCCGAGATGTCAATGAATGTTGGTATCTCGCTGTGGCTTGGAGTGATACAAGAGAATCCTGAACTCAAACCAAGGATTTTGACAGAAGTGATTGAAGCCTGGGAAGAAACCATTGTGCGCAGAAAGGGCCTCTTTGACCCTTCTTTGACGTGAGTTTGTTACAGTCCGTATTATCAACCGCTAAAAGTGTTGACCAATTGGATTTAGCTGGGTCGACCCAATGTACTCAGAAATCGAACTTCTTCCCAGTGATAAAACTTCACTTCTCGAGCAGCAGCAAACGGCCCAGGCCACTCTTGCACCGCATCTCCTCTTACTCCAGTTCTTTGTGAGCCATTTCAAAGCAATTTGGCTGGGCAACGTGCAGACGCGCCGATTATTTGGTCGTCTTATTGATAGGACCACCATCGGGCTTCAGCGAACAAATGGCCACCCTCTGGCAAGGGAACTTCATTTTCGTATCATCCTGTTTGGTCTGAGGATCCTGCGTGATTCCCATCCGCCGGACACAGTTGCTTCATGGAAGCTTAGAGATCAGATATTGTCAGCCGCGCTTAGTTGGTTTAAGCACCCACCTAGGTCTGTTTTCCCCACGCACGGCTTTGGAAATTGTGTCTTATGATATGGTCCAGGTGGTCATTCGGGGGAAATCGACTGCAGATCAAGGCTGAAGACAAAATACTCGATGACGTTACCCATGCCCTGGGTCTTCTGTCCGATGTACCACATCACGGCCGAAGACACTTCAAATCCCTCCAAAGCAAGCAAGATCTACTGCAGCTTCTCATTGATAATGAGAGATTGCGCCTTCGAGTTTGGCTGTATCCTTTGGAAGGAGATCGCAAACACTTCGTTCCGCAAACTTCCGGAAACAAAAGCTCCACAGAGGTTCGTCGTATTCTACGCTTGTACCAGCTGCTTGTAGTTTGTTTCTCTATCATTTTCAGGCCAAGTTCTAATTCCCACTTAGGATGCCATATCTTTTCTGCGGCTAGCTTGGGCTGAAGACCCAGGCCTAGCGATCCAACTATCATCTCGTTTCCCAACTCAAAGGATGAAAGGTGACGTCCGATGGCTACTGATCAACTTTCCAGAAAAAGCTCTTGATGAAGCCAGTAGTCTCGAAATCATTCTGGGTGCAGCTCTCCCTTCGGATGTATCTTTCCAATTGAAGGTTCGTCTGTCCTTTTCTGATCTGGCCCTCTAGAATTTGCACGCTGATGATACCAGTATCTATTATATTGGGCACCGGTGAACCCTACAGAAGCATTGACCTATTTCTTACCTGCATATGGAAACCATCCGTTCATTCTGCAGTACGCCATGAAGGCCTTGGAGAGCCACCCTCTGAGTGTTCGGTTCTACTTCGTACCACAGCTCGTTCAAGCCCTGCGATATGATCTTTTGGGCTATGTGGAGCGCTATATACTTGAGACTGCTAAGCAATCACAGCTGTTTGCCCACCAAGTTATCTGGAACATGAAAGCAAACTCCTATAAAGATGAAGATTCTCAGATTGTGAGTATTTTGCCTTTTCCCTACCCCATACACCGCTCTTCTTTTTCTTATCCAATGATCAATACAGCCGGATCCTCTCAAACCGACGTTGGACCAGTTCATGGACACACTCATAGCAAGCTTCAGTGAAGAAGAGCGTGACTTCTATGAGAGAGAGTTTTCTTTCTTCAATGATATCACCGGCATCTCTGGAAAGCTGCGACCATACATCAAAAAGAGCAAACCCGAGAAAAAGGCTAAGATTGAGGAGGAACTCCGTAAGATCCAAGTGGAAATTGGCGTGTATCTTCCGAGTAATCCTGAGGGCGTCGTCGTTGGGATCGATCGGAAGTCCGGTAAACCACTACAGAGTCATGCGAAGGCTCCATATATGGCAACTTTTCGAATCCAAAAGACAAGAAATCGGCATGGTGAAGGAAAGACGCAGGGCACAAGTGGACCGCATGCCTCCGAAAGTAACGAGTTGATGGAAAGCCCAGAATCTTTTGTCTGTCAGTCAACGCGAGAGGAGACTTACGAAGTTTGGCAGTCTGCTATCTTCAAGGTCGGTGATGACTGCCGTCAAGACATGTTAGCCCTGCAGATGATTGCAGCGTTTCGGAGCATATTTGCCAGTGCTGGGCTCGATGTTTGGGTGTTCCCATATAGGGTGACATCAACAGCTCCTGGTTGCGGCGTCATTGACGTGCTTCCGAATTCGATTTCTCGTGACATGTTAGGTCGTGAAGCCGTGAACGGACTTTACGACTATTTCGTTTCTAAGTACGGGGGGGAGGATTCCACGCGTTTTCAAGAAGCACGTACAAATTTTGTGAAGAGTATGGCCGCTTATTCGGTCATCTCTTACCTCTTACAGTTCAAGGACCGACATAACGGCAACATCATGATCGATGATGCTGGCCATATCATCCACATCGACTTTGGGTTCTGCTTTGATATTGCGCCAGGCGGTGTGCGATTTGAGCGCGCCCCTTTCAAGCTTACGTCCGAAATGGTTGCTGTGATGAGCGGTATGCCTCATCCACATACCCATGCACATGGCAGCTCAGGTGGAGGGCTTGGATTATCTGCAGGACACTCGTACAACCCCACTACTACACAACCGTATCGATGGTTCGAATCCCTTGTCGTGAAGGCCTTTCTGGCTTCCCGTCCTTATTGCACGAAACTTTCCCATATTGTGTCGTTGATGCTAGACAGTGGCTTGCCCTGCTTTAAGCCTGATACGCTTAAAAATTTCCGGGATCGGTTTGTTTTGGAGAAGAGCGAGAGGGAAGCAGCTGAATACATGAGGGAGCTTGTCCGCAAGTCCTATATGAGCGTTTCGACCAAGGGATATGATCAGTTCCAGCTGTTGACCAACGGGATTCCTTACTGAAACGGCATTGTCTCAGGCGCCAGCCCATCCCCGTCCTCTTCCCAGTCTCCTACCAAGTCTGTTTTCCGCGTTCGTTTGATGTGTACTACTTGGAGTCTCGATTTATGTTGATTAGTTTGGTGTCCAGTGTTCTTATCGTCGTTCCAAATGCAGACAGTCCATATGAAATTTAGACTAATGTTCTCTATATCTAAACGCCATGAAGTGCATAACCACAATGTTGCGGCGAAGGGCTGTGAGTTTTAGATCCTGGGTTTATGTTCTTATTTAGAGGGTTGCAATCAATAACGGCAAGATGGCCGAGTTGGTCTAAGGCGTGAGGTTAAGGTTCACCTTAATATCAAAACTATTAAAGTTTCCTCATCATCGTTTGATGGCGTGGGTTCGAATCCCACTCTTGTCAGTAAATGTTTTGCTCACAGCATTGCTGTGGTAATCTTTTTCTGTTCTTCCTTCGCTTTCGTTTCCCTTTTTTTCCGCCCTTACTCGCTTTGTCTCATTTCATTTTTTCTTCCCAATATTATCGCCCATGGGACATACATCATAGTACAGTATAGCAGCTGTGGTAGAAGACATTTAGCCTGTAAAAGTCACTCCTTGGGGTTTTAGGAGACATTCAGCAGGTGCGGCAATATACTTGTCTTCACATCATGATATGGTGAATTCCAACATTCAGGGACCTATCTCAGGCTTACTTGAACTGATCATCTTGGATGGTGCCTTAATGGCTCTCTGGTATATTGATATAGATGCTGAGCCACTGAGAAACAGGAAAGGAGGCGGGGGGGGGACATATCAGTGTACGGAAAATACTGAAAAAAAAAATAAAAAGATTATTAACCTCTCTGACAAGAGTGGGATTCGAACCCACGCCATCAAACGATGATGAGGAAACTTTAGTAGTTTTGATATTAAGGTGAACCTTAACCTCACGCCTTAGACCAACTCGGCCATCTTGCCATTATTGATGGCAGAGGCTGGGCTTTTGGTCCTGTATCATAAAAATCTTTTTTAGTATCTTAAATCATTTGGCTTCGCAATATTCTCCGGCGATTGGCCTGGTGTAGGGGTTGTGTTATTCAATACTCAACATACGCTCAAAAGGAAGGTAGGTAAACTTACATCTTTATCCAATTGAAGAGTAATTCTCCGTGCTGGTGAGTCTCACAATCTTCCGTTGGTTTAGAAGTGCATAGTATAAATATATTATTCGGCTATACAACTCCGAAGCTCGCGCGCAACCTCCATGTATTAATACCGGCTGAATTACAATTAGGAAGATCGTAGGTGATCCATTGAAGATTCACACTCCTTGCTAACACGCCTGGGAACATCGTGCCTGTAGTTCTCCACGGGGCTTTTACATACATCCTCTTTCCATGTGGTTTCTGGGAAACATGGGCGACTATAGGTATGCTCCTATCGCTGTCAGTCCAGTCAGAGTTGGAATAGATTAACAACCAACGTCAGCATAGCATGGTAAGCCATGATTTTCATATTGGTCAAAGCTAAGATACTTCATGTTCAACACATATTCATGTAATATGACCCCAGTTGACTGCAGAGCGGCTCTTCAATAACATGGAAAATATAAAAAACCAAGGCAGTAACATGACAGACAAGCCTGAGGGAAACAAGCATTGAAAAGCATTTTGAGATACCTTATTCATAACCCTCCGAGCCTTGAGTCGGAGCCTTGAAAATCATCTCACCGGTCAAAAAGCATGTCATCATGAAGGAGATGATCCATCGGTCTGCCCAGCAGATTCCGGAATGAACGGTGTTAAAAGAAACACAGCTGAAAACAACGCTCAGAAAGTTCGTGCGAAACATGCAGAAGATCAAAGGGGGGGGGGGAAGGACAACCGGCATGGGAAAGAATAATATAAAAAGACAAGACTCAACAGAGAGGAAGAGAGCAGGGATAAGAAATCTTCTAGAATCAGAAACAACACCATAGTTTGACGGAATCCTCCTGAGATGGCGTGGTGATACGCAAGCTACAGCCGAAAGCGAGCCGGCCGAGGAACATGGTGTTATCATCAACCAGGGCATGCTGAACCACTTGCAAGCCGGTCTCGGGCTTGTTGACAGAGAGGAATGTCCCGCTGTCCTCGTGTTGCTGAATAACTAAAAGAGCTGTTGAGTTTCGCTCAATAGTGCAAAGACGGAAGAGAGTATGATATATTGTCAATCAATCAACCAAAAGTGAAAAAAGACAACCAGAGGATACGAGAGACACGAAGCCTAGTCCATGAAATCACCTCTAAGTATCTTCTCTTGGAAAAAGTCGGGTTTATTCTGCTTTGGTTGTCTTGGCATTTCGCGAGCCGGTTGCTCCATCGAAGCAATGGAAGCGGCCCGTTGATGGTAGTTCGGCTGCCCCATCCCAGCAACATTCTGATTTGTGCTTTGATTGGGGGAGAGTGCCCCAATGGACGGAGCACGCTCAGCCCGAGTTCGAAGAGCTTCCGACCAGTTGAAGCCTTCGCCTATTGGTCGCCACGACTTGTTAGACTTATCGTTCTGGGGAAAACTTTTGTGTGTACTTGCAACGACAGACCCAGAGGGATCAATAGCAGACACAGGGCTAGTAGTCGACGCGCTGCGGCGTCCTCTAGTCACTGGAGATCTATGGGTGGGGTATCTACCGTTGCCTATGCTTCCACCACGAACATCTCGCAGGGCCTGGGCGCCAAAAGAAATACGCCGCGAGAAGGGCGAGCTGGGGATGACATTAGAAGCACCGTTTTCGCCGTCATCTATGACAGCATCATCCGTGTTTGAGAGTGACCCTACGGAGCTCGACAAGCTGCCATGTCGAGGATTTCTGGCTCCAAAGGATGAGGTTTGAGTTGGTGAGCCGGAAAGCCCAAGCGTGCTGATCGACAGTCTTCGTCGTTGATTTGGATGGGTACTAGGCACGGTGCTAGCCATGGCAGCAGCGGGACTGCCAGACGGAACACCTTGATTGCTTGACTTGGAGAAATAATCGGTGAAAGTGAGACCCGACGCAAGGGATGGACGGCGGTGGTGGGTTGAGGATGAGGGTACAGAGATCGGAGAGGAAGCTCGATCGTTCGACATGATAAGGGACAGAGAGGTGCAAATTTGTGGTACAAAAAAGTGTAGAAGCTTGACGAGAAGGGTGGACTAAGTGGGAGAATACTAGGATTGAGGACAAATTCAAACGAAGATTTGGTAGGGATCTTGTTGTTGTGAAGAGGAGAGATCCCGGACGGCTGAGCCGCCCTTGCCCTCGCTGGGAGAAAGGACGAGTGAGAAGTAGAGCGAAGTCGAAAAAATGGTGTTATGCTTCACTTGAGACAAAGACGTGACGTCAAGTCAGAAAAAAACAACAACAACGATGAGCAAGATTCTAATCAGAAATCACATCAGTTAGAAGCTCATCGATCACGGAAATGTGAACAGTCAAGGGCAAGCAGTTAAATCACTTGAGCACATAAAAGACAATTGGAGGAAGAGGCATAACGTTGGATATATAGCGAGGTGGTGGTGGTTACACGAAGCCAATGGAGGGACAGCACAAACTAATGATCATACAATGTTCAGGGGGTGTAATGACTGACTGAGTTTGTTTTGGGAAGTGGTCCTGGGGAAGAAAGTACAGATAGTGTTTCGGACAGGCTTGGGGGGGGGGTGGACTTAGGGTTGAGAGCAGACAGGAAGCTAAGCTTTCGAAGCTTGTCTGTAGCTGAAGTGTGTGAAACTGAGGGAGGAGGGAGAACAGGTCATCAAGGACCGGATGGGAGAAAAGTCAGAAGGACAAGAAGAAGATTCAAGAAGAGGGGAGCTCATGCAAGACGGGAGAGAGGATTGGCAAGGGAGGCGAATTGAGCAACTGACAAAAAGCACACAGTGGCTGGTCGGTACATACCTACAGTTAACACGTGAATATCAGTAGATGTGTGTGTACAGAGAAGGACTGATAAGACGAGAGATGCTGATGATACTGATGATACCAAGGGTGTTGTTGCTGGTGGGGTGAAGACGCGGAAGAAGAAGATGATGATGATGAAGAAGATTGAAGAAATGAAAGACGGAAGATGGGGGAAGGAGAAATGATGAGTTGAGACTTGAGAGCTTCTGGTGGAGTGAGTCTGAGTGAGTCTAACCTTCGTTCTTTCTACCCCACACAACTTAATCCACCCTCATGCGATACCACAGAATGAGAATGGTTATTCAATTGGCTTATTGCTAGGGAGGAGGATTGATAGGATGAGATGATGATGTGACGACCAACAGTAATAATGATGATGATGATGATATGATGATAGATAGATAGATAGATATGCTCAGTGGTGTGACTTGACTTGTGTTGTGTCAGTGTGTGTCTGTCTATTCCGAGTCTGATTGATTGATGGGCTGACCGTAGAACCCCAAATTGGTCTAGCCCACTAGACAGCCGCAGTGAGGAGAATCCGGGGATCGTTTTGGGCAAAGAAGCCTAGTAGTACAGTAGGCACTAGGCAGTAGCCTACAGTACGGAGTGGTAGGTACTGGGCCAAACTGATATCATCTACTCCGTATCTCGGGGGGTCTTTCATTTTTCTCTTCCCTTCTCCATATTGGATGAACAATGGCCTTAACTCTGTAATCAATCAACACCAACTAACAAGGGGATTATTATTATTATTATTATTATTATCATCAGGCCAGTAGCGGTCAATAGTGAATAACTAAGTTGCATATTTTATACTGTAGCTGTATTAATAATCTGTATGACTGTATCATTCATTATCTTTGCCGTCTTACGGAGTAGGTTGCAGTCTTGCAGAATCAAATGAAATGACCCGCTAGTCTCAATAGAGTATGGTTAATGCTGGTTTAGGGTTAGTATTCTTGGCGGGAGAGCTCAGCTCCGTTTTGGGCTTAGCGGATCAGAAGCTACTTGCTATTCTGGGTAAAGCTTATCGTCAAGCTCGTATTAACCAAGGGCTTGCTTATTCATCATCCATTCATCCTGATGGTAAGTGGTAACCAACGAACAATCGCTTCAAATTCCCCTGGCTTTTGAACAAGGACTCCACCCTGGGTCTTCTCACGCGTCATCGGGACACAGCTTGATATGAGTAGAGTGCTTGGTTTCTTTTAATATATACATGGGATCTGTGTCTATTTCTTCATAACTGGCTTGATGTTTCAATCGTGTACGTCGTGTATGTAAATAAATTCATCCTCCAAGCCCCTCATGTACTATCGCCCCCCCCCCCCCCCCATCGCAAAACCATAGGCTTGTTTGCCCACTGAGAATAGTTGCAAGTCGGTTGTGATTGCTTCGAATTAACCCTCTTACGAGCAAAATCGGAAAGTCACCAAAATCTTTAGTTGGGAAGTGGTGTATGATAGATCGGTAGACCGTGGCCTGGAGGCCGGGTATGGAATAGCTGGATCAGTCGCTCTCCGACGCTCGGCTCGATCTCAGTTCCATCCCGGGCGATCTTGACTTCACGGTTCGCATTCCAGGGATTGCGCAGGCCTCGAGTGCGATGGAATGGGACCCGCTCCGCTGACAGCCATTGCACTCGGAAAGGCCGCCCTATCGAGTTGAAGCCTGACTCTGCGCTTTCCTCGCCTAGATCAATGACACTCTTTCCGGGTCGAAATGCATCAGCACCACAATCATTCTCATCTCCACCACCACCTTCTTCGCCACGATTCTCCACATCTTCCTGGCGTCCATCTCCGTCTCTGTCGCCATCGTCGTCATCTTCTGATGAGTCCGCCTCCCAGAATATGGTGCCCCGTGCCGAATCGTCGATGATTCGTCCAGCAGGCGCGGTGACCGTGGCCTGAGTTGGGATGACAGTCAACTCTTCTGGCTCAGCAAGAGTAGGCTCAAGGCGCAAGGGCATCTCCGACGCCAGGCCTTGGTCCTCTTGGATCGGCGACATCATGCGAGCATAACCATAGTACTCCCCAGACTTATTAGCAGAAAAGATAAGATATACGTTGGGCGCGCTCTGAAGACATATAGTTAGTCTAACGAGTTCGCTGTTAGCATGTGGCATGGTCGCTTTCGAACTCACCTCAAAAGCACGGTTAAGATTGACTTCATTGTGGCTTTGTGTGGCCCAGATTCCGCTCTGCCGGCTCAACTCCAGGTCGCCGACGGTAAGACTCTTGACAACAAAGTATCGGCTCAAGAGGTTTGAAGCAGTGGCCCTTCCCTGCGCTATCTGCGCCTCGGAGTCCTCTACGGTCTCGTCGGCACGGTCGTAGCCCTTCATATCACCCTGTTCTCCGACAGACGAGACGATTGTAGATTGGATACCGACAGCTTTTCCCGGTGATGTGAGTCCCCGTCGGAGGCGACAAACAAGTCGGACTCCGTTGAATCGTGAGTCGTGAAATCGTGCAAGTGCCGCAATGCAGGTTGCTTCAGTCTTGTAATTTACGAAGGCACAATTGCTCTTAGATATAAGGAATACACTCTGGATGTCTTTTGTGGCATCCCGAGAAAAGTAATCTTTGAGATCAACCACATTTGTTCCAGCTGGGAGATTTCCGACCCAGAGAGCGTGGCCAGACTGCTTGGGCTTTCTGGGGGGGCCCCAAGGTGAAGAAGAGCCCGATGTGCTTGACGGCTGAGATGAATCTGTTCCCGATGCATGCGTGTCAGCCAGAAATTGGTAGAATCCCCAGAAATACTTGATGCAATCAAGGAGACTGCCACGTGCTCACCTGTGGATATACTTTGAGTCGGTGTTGGCCTCATGGGGGTCGAGCCGTCAACAATAGTCCTCGAGACATCGTAATCACCCCTTGGCGCTTGCTGCCTGCTTTCTCTCGGTAGCATGGCAGGTGCCTGGGCGATAAAATCCTGCGTGTTGTGATATTGCCCACCTGGAGGCGGGTAAAGCGATGCGTTGGATGGACCTGGGCCATGCCCAACTGGTGCTGTATAGAGATGCGGGGTATAATAACCTTGCCCATATGCCATTGTTTGATTAGGAACAGAGACATTAAGAGGAGCGTTCATATTCGATGCGTATAGCTGATAGTTAGCAATGCCATGCTGCAGGGATGTGTTCTGGTGCTGCTGCTGCGGAGCGAATGGCGTGTACATCTGCGCAAAATGAGCATTGAAAGGAACGGTCCTATTTGGGGCCGTATCGGTGAACGAGGGTAGCGAATGCATGGGATATAAGACACCGGGCGAATGAACTGTAGGGTGATATTGTGGCTGCATAGGAGGCTGAGGGTAACCAGGCAAGGCGGACCTCATGTCGCCCATGTTCATCGCTGATGGATGAGCTCCGCGGCCACGGGATTCTGCGTGCGTGTCAACATTCTCAAGTCGCGAGGGATTCCGACGGCGAGCCCCTGGGTCTACAACAAGAGATAGTCTCTCGTCAGCGTAGTATAACCAGAGAATTTCCTAAGTCGGGTCTATTTTGATTTCCTCCAGAGGCACCTACGGTTTCGTTGGAAGGAAAAAGCTCACTTACCGAAGGGCTGCTGCTGACCCCTTGACGAGCCAACCCGCTGCTGTGAGGGAGGTTCCTGGTTATTTGATGCTTCCCCAGAAGGTTTGGACTGTTGCGATGGAGCATTTTCCATTGAGACTGCGGCTGTACAGCGAAGAGGGCTAGAGTCACAATGTAAAAAGGGGGGGGACGTTCCCTTCGAGTTTAGTTGAGCAAAGTTTTCCCTCCCAAAGCCAAGATTGAAGGTTGATAGCGGAATCAACATACCTGCTCTCAAGTTATATTCACAATGCTATCTAACGCGTGAGAACGGTTCAATGGTGTCTATAGCAGCTAGAGGACGCTAAGTGTCGGTCAGAATTCAAGGCCACTCTGTTGAAAACCACAAGTAAAGGCCCAGCTGAAGCAAGCAGGAAGAAAGAAAGGAAGGAAGGAGAGCAAAAAGGAACAATACACACAAAGAGAAAGAAGAATGAACAGCAATAAATTTGTGTGAAGCAGTGGGAAGGAACATAAAAATGGAAGACCAAGTACCATGATCTAGCATATGAGATAGGAAATGAGGCGTGGAATACAGAGCAAGCAACCGGAAACAGACTGTTCACAGGATGAGAGGTAAGAGAGCCCAAATTGGCGCCCAGGGTGTTAATATTGAGCCCGCACTCAAGCCATGAAGGTAGGAGGGGCCTAGGTGCATGGAGCCACTGGATACACTTGCACAAACGCACATTGAGAAATGCACACATGCACACATGATGGATAAGGTAATCCCAAGCACGCACGCACCACACACAAACACACACAGATGGCTGGGATGCTCTAGTGAGGAGTGGGGAATGGAACTGTGATAATGGAAGGCATATAGAGGTGGCGGCTGACTGTGGGGAATTGGGAAGAGAGGAATCAATGATTATTAGCCATGAATAGGCCATAATCAGAAATGAGAAGAGGTCAATTGCACAATAGAGGTGTCTCCAAGACCTTCCATGTGTCTGCTAGTGGCTCATTTCTTCCAAAGAGCCCATAATCTGAGGATAGGGCATGATCATGGTAGGTAAAATGCTTAGTGTATATAGTGTCATTTGAGCAGCGAATGATGAAGGGAAAAAGAATCATGTTGTTGAGAGAAGGAAATAAAATAAAAATAAAATCGGCGAAAAGAAGAGAGGAGAAATGGGACAGAAGGCAAAGAGGTGGGAACATCTCGAGTGGAATGGAATACCGGGAAGGGGAAAAAAAAAAAAAAAAGAGAAAAAGAAAATAAACATCTAGGACGGACACAGGATGATAGCATGCTGGGATAAGTCCCATTGCCAACGGCACAGTATAAGTGGCGGCATCGCCGTGTTTTCAAGGGAGAAATGAAAGTCTGGAATTGTTGTGTGTGCATGCATGGAGGGAGCGAAATGCAGAAAGAGAAATAAATTTCCCAGGCAGAAATGCATGGAGGTGTCTTTTCCCAATGTAGCCAATTCAACATCAAGCCCGTCTTGTGGGATGTGAAGCTAAAGGCAGGAAAGAAGAGAAGGATTGGGATTCCAAGCGAAACATAAGAACATACCTCTTCTTAGAGATGATCCGGAGATTGACCAGCAGACTAATCCCCGATGGAACGTAGCAGCAAGACTCTGTAGTAGAGTAGTGGTGGTGGTAAGTGGAAGATTGACCAGCGCCCTAAGGGTCCACGGGCTTTGAATACATTCAGAAAGAGTCGATGGGCGAGAAGATGCCTGATCCCGAATAGTTGTGGCTGGTTGATTTCCAACTAGAACTGAAGGGGTAAGGAAGAAGAACAGCCCCCTTTGCCCTCTAGTTAGACTCGGCAGGGCCTGGAAATGTCCGAGTGGCCCTTAACTGTCAGAACTCTAACAGTAGTGAGACAGTCGAGACTCGAGAGGGAGCCTCAGGAGGCACAGGAAGGAGTGGGACTGGGACCAGCTTGTGAGCCTGCAAGCCTGTGATGATGTGGGGAGTCGGTAAGGCTACCGGCGCGGGAAACTGAGAGGGTGATGGAGCACACTGGGGACGTGTGCTTTTTTAGATATCCCGTACGGATAGATGGAGTCAAGTAATAGTACTATCGGCGAAGGCAAGGGAAGGGGGAAGGCGTCGGCTTTTGCTTTCTTGTGCGTGGACTCCTCCAAAATATGGCACATCAACTGGACTCGTTTCAGTCGCAGTAGCTGTATGAAGCTATTACCTCTCTATATGTCTCTGCTCCTTTCTTGCGTGAAGTCCGTCATTCCTGAAGAATGAGAGGGTGGCTATCATAGGAGTCAACTGATCCATTCAAAACAGAGAGCGAGCGAGCGTGCAGCAAAGGCTTCGGCAACCTCACCTACAAGTAGTAGTAAGAGATATGCAACACCAGATCTAAGGCACAGCACAGATGATGACCTTATGGTCCACAGACGAAGAGGAACAAGTCAAGATCCTAAGGCTAGGGAGATAGTGATGGGAAACTCCGTGGGACCATGAGGCAGAGAAGCCAAAAAAAGGCGCAGACAGGCGATACAGCCACAGTAAAAAAGATCGTCATTTGATACCGAGCAATGATGAGGGGAGTTCGTGAAAGGCCCGGGGTTCCATCGAGGTATGGATCGTGGATATCGAACAAGCCACAGCGGAACGGTGGAAAGAATCTGTGCTCTTTCAAATCCTATCACAGTCTCCTCCTACCTGGTTGACTATCTGATGACCGGGGGGAAAATATTTTAGATTTTTTTTTTTTTTTTTCCTTTTCCTTTTCCTTTTCATTTTTTTTGGTTTTGTTTTTGTTTTTGCTTCCTCTATTTCCCCTATTTTCTTTTCTTTTTTTTTTTCTCTCTCTCTTTAACAACAGTAGTGTAGGTAAGGTAGTACTTAGCAGACGGTACTCGGTACCTAGGTAAGGCCAACGCCCGAGCTTCAGAAGATGCAGAAATTATAGGAACAACTTCTCTTCAGGTCCGATGATTGGGTACCATGAGGATGTTCCTGGCCCGTAGGACCCATGGTTTTGTTTTGATGATTCTTACTCTGTTATTTTCCCTCTTTTCTTTCCTACCTCCCGTTTTTGAAAGTGGATTGTTGGAGGCATCGATCTGTCATTTTTTGTGAGTACATCATCTATTCCCCCCTTCCCCATCCCCTGCTTCTCCGTCATCCAAATTTTTTTTCTAAAGATGATAGCTGGTGTAAACTGTAATCAGAACGTGGCATAATAGAGCTAATAAACTCGATTGTTTCAGGCGGAGTTAGTTCATGAAAGGATCCTTAAACTGCCTCCGGGTGGCAAAAGTGGCAACTGAAGGGGGATTGAAGGCATGAGTTGAGTCTTGTCTGGGTTTCCAACAGAGGAATTAGTACTACTTCGTAGTACAGACTGTACAGGAGTAATACTCAAGGCAGCGAATGGCGGCTAGTAGCTAATAGTTAGTACTCCGTACGATGGATATGTACTAGTTTGCTTAAGGGGGCAAGTTCTCGCACTAGATAGATAGTACCGAGTTAGTATCTGACAGCGGTCGATCAAGGCTCAAGCATACCCGTGGCCGTAGGGGCTGTATCCATCCATCCACGACCCATATACTCAGACGGGGTTACTCCGTAAGTACAGGCAGCAGCTGATTCAGGTACTTCTTGTAACGTACCACTTGATATTAAAGATGGGATGTCTCGCATGCCCGTCTGTGGTGATGATGATAGTTATCTAGCTGTTGTAGGTGATTCGGGTAGAAAGTGGCCGCTGACAGTCCGATCTTGGATAACCGTCCAGTGTCATGGATTCAAATTCCCTCTTTCCTATCTCGGTACTATACCTAAACCAGTCCTATCATGAAGTATCCAGCGCGAGTACTTGGGAAACGGTCTCGAAGTATAGATAGATAGTCGTGAGGGAAAGGGAGTAAACAATGATAATAATAGTTAGTATAACGAATCAGAGAAAAGCGACATTCAAGACCCCTTCCATACTGAGACAAGCAGCCGCAATAATTTCGACAGTGTTCCCGGAATTGATTGGGCTTTGGAGTGTGAAAGTTGGTTGGTGATGACGGTGGGACAAGAGTCAGGAGTCAGGACTCAGGACTCAGGTCGGTTCTAGGTAGAATACGGCTGCATTCCCACTAGGGCCCGGTGCCCCAATGTTCAGAGCCAATCAGCAGCGGGCGAAGAAAATGAGAGGAAAAAGAAAAGAAATTTTGGTAAATCATCGGTCATATATTCTTAGGTATGATCATTTATCATTCCTTTATTTCGAGGTACTATGTATGGATGTTGGAGACGTGGCGTTTGGGGCGTATCACCAGCATCACTTGTCAAATGATCAAATCCAGAAATAGGTAAGTACTGCAGGTGTTCCTTGTCAGTTACTCAATCTTCAAAGTTTTTACGGCCTATGCCTGGAATTACAATGTCAGGTAAGCTTCTGCTTGTCGTGCTCAGAATCGCTAGGTGCAGGTGAAGATACATGGTCAGACTTGAATCATTGAACTCCAAAACCAAGTGCTATGTCAAGCCGTCCAGTATCCGAATCATCTTGGAACACCCTAGGTGCGTAGCTTTAAGTTCACGGGCCGAGGGAAGTATTGTAGAGACTAGAGACTAGAGAGCCCGGTGTCAACGGAAAAGAGGGAGAAAATTACCCTAGCCTCATACCTAATCTTATTGTCAACTCCACCTGCTTAAGTAGGGTAAGGTAGGTTACCTATGTACATAGATTCTTTGAGTTTATAGAATTGTATTTCATGATTGTTATATATCCATAGGAATCATACTCGCATGGCCTTCCTCAGCTTTTTTTTTTTTTTTTCTTTTCTTTTTCTTTTTCTTTTTTTTTTAAATACGAAAAATTCCTATAGCAGCGCCCCTCTTACCCCCCCCCCGTTTCGATTCCCTAACCACTAAACCAACATTATTATTTCGAGACTCATATGACAAGAGATATGTGGGCCGGGGAATTGAGGGGGGGGAGGAGCGAGAAAATGTGTTGAAACCCTCTCTTTCCCTATAGTTAGTACTTAGTAGGAGTACTACGTAGTTAGATACTGGGAAAAAAAGACGCGGCCCAAATCAACGATGCTCCATTTTCTGAGCTAACCTCCGGAGTGCAAAGCAAAGACTCCACTTCAGGAACTCCATCGGGATGAGATGCCGGCCAATCATCTGCGCGCCGAGCTAACCTCATCTCATCTGCTTCTGGATATGCCCTCACACCCAATCGCCAAACAACTCTTGCTCTTTTTTTTTTTCAGTTGTTGATTATTCCCCCCCCCCGCCTACCCTACCCTAAAGGGGCCTTCGGCTATCCGTCAGCCTACATGCATACTAAGGTACCCTGATTCTTCTACTTAGTCAGTAAGGTAAGGTATTTGGTAGTACAATTCTGTATGACACAGTTCACGGCGCAAGTACCGAGTATCTCCTTGTCTGATCGATCGATCATTCGGATTCGTATAAAGTCGATCTGACAACAAGAGGCGTTTTAGGGTCACAGCCACATAATTCCACATAGCCATTGGAATGGCAAGGCGTTAAACAGGGCGAGATGTACCGTGTACGTCGATAGATAATCATGGTAAATGATATCTACAAAGTGGGACGTACACAAAAGTACAATAGACCATACGGATTAGAGAGAATCAATCAATGTTTGTGACTGAATAGTACCTAGGTAGGATCTAACATACTGGGTACCTACGTGTCAGGTACATACTCTCTGATGGAAAATGGAACTGCTGCACACTCGGGGGTTTGGGATTCATCATCCAGCGAATCTGGTTGGATTCCATCTCATGTGCCATTACATCAAACCTTCCAGCCTGATGCATTGTTTTCACTTGAATAGAGGAATGATGAACATGATCGTCATTCTAACACTGTATATAAAGTTCAACTTTAACATGTCCTATATATACTCCGGATAAGCCTTTTTTTTTTTTTTAATTTTAATTAATTAATTATTTATTTATTTCCAATTCAGCTGGTCAGGAGGGCTACCTTGCCAGACGATTTTCCATGCGATCATTTGTCTATCCTGATCATCCTCTTCCCGATATGGATAAGATAGATAGATAGATGCCTAAGGGTAGGAATTGAAATATCCTTCACAGTTTGGTCCATCGCCACATCGCAGCCAATGACGTCATTGGCTGGGCCTGACCTCGCAAGTCGCCAAAGAGAAAAAAAAAAAAAAGAAAAAAAAAACTTCATTTGAGAGTTGACACTCTTGCGAGTCGGAGTCAAACGATGATACTGCTTGTACACCACTGAATAAATATCTTCATGTACAAGCACATCTACCATCGCCTTCATCAACCATTGGCTGGGTTGCACTCCGGCTGTCTGCCCAAGAGACCTTCCTAAGGGAGATTCGTGCCGTTCAAACCTCGTCTCCACCAAGGCGTGGCGCACCAGACTACCAGTAGCCAGAGTATCACAAGTCTTAGAGAACGGAATGACTGGAATACTATCTCTCGCGCTAGAAGCATTGATTGCTTAGCCGCCCATTGTCATTATGGTGGCTCTGCCAGACAGGGACTTTCTGAATCTGCGCCGTCCCTCCCCCTCTCCTCCTCTCATGTACGAGGAGCAAAATTGTGGCTTCATCCAAAACATCCAAACGAACCCCGTTCCTATCCACTCCCCAGCTCCAATCAAAAGATATGGATCTCTGATTCTTCCTCCTCTTTATTCACATCGTCGCAAGCCCACCATAGCCACACGAATGATATGCGAAAGGGCGCCACTTCTCGCATTGGACGAACGGTCTTCAAGTTTCCCCTCCTCTTCACCCAACGTAACATCTGTGGCAAAACCAGAAAGGCAGCAACACGGCGCGCACCCGCGCCATCGTCGATCTGGTAGAGGGGTGAAAATTGCTTCGCAAAATGGCAATTGATCGGCTCTGCTTCCTACCCGGCATGGCCTGATCAAGTGAACTGAACGGCTGCCTCACGCTCCACCATGGAATGGGCATTCTCCGTTTACGATGCTTCCTCAAGCAAGGGCTACGTGTCCGGTCCGTCCAGATGAGAGAGACGCGTACCTATCGCCAGATCCGAGTGCAGTGCTTCTCTCGCTCTGTCTATTCTGTCTGCCTGTCTCTTGCCCTCTCGCTCCATCCGCTGACTCCGGACCAATCATGCCTTTTGCCTGCTCAACATCCCCTTTAAGCGGATGAATGTGTGAAGAAAGCACTGGCCGTCGGGCTATCCGATGGATAGCCTCGCCCTCGCCCCCTCTACGGAGCACAAGCGCAGCAGCCGGTTCTGGACCAGCGAGCAACGGCGAGACTCGGTGATACCGTCCACTCAGATCGCGGAAGATCGTATTCCAGAGCGAAACCCGAAGCACCGGGGGACGCCGTCAAAGGATGAGCTTCCCGCCTTCCTTGGGCTGGGATTCGACGAATTGGGTGTTTCCATTTGACAGAGCACTGATACTTTCACGAGCTCGTCGTGCGACGAATCCAGCAAACGGAGACAAACCGCTAGCTAGGAAGGAGGCCCAGCTTGCAGCCTTGGATAGGAAGGGACCAGGTGGTCCTTCTCGTGACGGGGAAAAGGGGTTACATGGAGGCACCGACAGAGAAGCGATTCAGAGCTCAGTCAAAAAAGTAATATGTATTTGTGTGGTATAAGCTTGGCCAAAACCCCTTTAATACGGGGGAAAGGACACTGGGAGGAGCCTGCAGGATCAGAAGCCATATAGAAGGAAAGGATAGTAAGGACATTTGAATGTGAACCAGGTACACTTGGGATATGAGGAAGCCAAACCACAATTCCTTCCCAAGACATAAAAAGGCAAAAAAAGGGGAAAACCATAAAACAAAAATCATTCGAACCCGACGATAACAACGTGACATCATCATATGCTCCGAGGCCTCATTAGGTATGATTAACTATTACAGAGTGACTTGGCCGAGAACGGCCGGGTAGTAACAGAAAAGGACAGAGGAGAACGATGGTCCCTCATCGTTCGATGCCGAGAGATGCGACCTTTCCCGCAAATCGGGCGCCCGCGCTGCCTCTCTTTTGTAGTTTGTCTCGTTCCTTGCTGTCAAGGGAACTCGACGGCACCGCATGGTCGTTGCTTGTGCCTCGAATACTAGGTAGTGATCCCACAGTGTCCCCTGCCGACTTGCCGATTATCGGTGCGACGAGTCTCGATGTTCGTTGACTTAGATATAGCTGAGCAGCGGGGGTGAGAGGGATAGGCGGTGGCTGCAAAGGAATCTCCGCGCCGTTTTGCACAAGCAACTCGGCGATGGGAAACGGAACCACCTTGATGGCATTTGCAGTACTGGGTCGAGGTGGCAGATTGGATGCCGTCGATCCGGGTGACGCGGGATCTGCAGCTGCCAGGGCGAGGAAGACCGCATGGGTGTTTCGTGACCGATCGGTGATGTTCACATTCGCACGAAGAGCAATACCGTACAAAACTCCTTGGATGTCGTTCTTCTTGATCGCGGCAAGGAGTGTTTCATCCGGTGTCGAGAACCGCGACAGAGGGGAGGGTAGCGACTGCACATAAGCTCGTTCGCTATATTTGGCGGTAATGAACTTCAACCGTTGCTCGCGGGTGGAAGTAGCGATTGGCTTCTGCGTCTGGTCCAAGGTTGCCTCCCAAACCATGTTGCTGACGCGATTCCCGACCTGCAGGAGTATCTCGACGATGTCGTTTGAGAACGAGTTCACGTCCAGTGTGAGAGAGCGAATCTTGGAGATATGTGTCCCCAGAGATCGATGAATGCCGCTGCACTCAATGCACAGGACTATACCAAGGTTGATAGATACCCATTCCACCTTAGAAGTCGATCCACAATCAGCGCACCAGTTGTTGCCTTGGTCCGCATCGCGGACGGTCTGGAGCAGTTTTGCAGGGTTTTCCTCATATCCAGTGCTATCCGTGCGAACGTAACTTGGCCGCGCACCCACCGTGGTTCGGCGACTCACGCTGCTCGTAGAGCTGGTGGAGTAAGAATGCTGGCCCGAATACGAAGAGCTCTTCCCGGTCAGAACAGACCCGATATCGCGCCCTAGAGACGAACCGTTGCTCTTCGATGCGGCAGGCGGGGGGGACATGCCGCGGCCCTCGACGGCGCTCTGGAGGGCATTGTTGATAGCCCTGATCCAGTTGCCCATATCATCCTCAGAAGTTGCCTGGTAGATCCGTTTGAACTGGGGTGTGATAACCTCAAAGCAAAACCGTCGTTCTGCATTTCGTGCCTCTCGTACGGAAGCCATCCGTAGATCAATGGGTTCCATATGCAAATCGAGCTTCTGTTTCCAGTTACTGTACTCCGAGAGTTTGCCCTGATCTAATACGATCCAGAATTTGTGCCAGGCCTGCTTGTTGATGCCCTTGGGGTCAATATGAGAGCCTGGCCGGGATAGTGCCCAGAGAAGTCCTTCTTTCCTCTGCTGGCCGCTCGAATTATCAGTTGGCAGGACCAGCGGAACACCACTGGCTGTATTGTTCATATTCGCGTTGGCCGGCGGAGAGAGTGAGGAACTGTTGCTGATTACGCTCCGTAGCTGAGACCCTGTGCTGTCCGCGCGCCCTAATTCCGGCTCAGGCTTGTGAGTCCCGATGCCGTTTCCGACAAATGTCGACGAGACACCCGGGTTGGCCAAAGAATCCGGCTCCATATACACATTGCTGCTTTTCTCCAAGGCTCTTCGTTTCTCCTCTCTTTCCGTTCTCTGAAATTGGAACTCCTTGTCGACTTGATGAACCTCATGAATTAGAGCATCCAGCTGGGGTAACAAATCGTCCACCTTCTTCGCAGCTGCAAGGAAACTCTTTGCTTGTTCATCCGCGTACCTGGTCAGGTGGGAGAGCACTTCCTGCTCCTTACGCCCGCCATGAAGGTCCTGCATGAACGAGGAATAATCAAATCGCTTAAGCTCAAAGTTTCGCCTCTTAGCCTGATACTTGGAGTCGCTCTCCGCTCGTTTTTTCTCTTTCAAAGAATCCTGTCGCTGGCCGAGATAGCGGCTGACGTAGGCATAATAATCCCGGCTCTCCTCTTCAAATTCCTTCTTCTTGGCCTCGGCCTGCTTGATATCGTTATTGTAGAGTTTGATTAAGGGTTCGATGACGAGCTTTTGTAGTTGGATGGTATTAAGTCGTTCGTAGTTCAGGATCTGGCGGGCAATTTTCTCGAAATAATGATCGAGGGCCGGCTGGATCGCATTTGAGTTTGATGTCGCAGCCTCGCTGAGTGCCGATAAGAAGGCTTCTGCCGCCTCATTGCAGGAGTTTCGGGCTTGCTGAGCCGCTTCTGCCTTCTTCAGGACCTTCTTGATTTTTGAGCGCATATTTCCTGTCTTCTGCTCTAACGCCTTCATGGTAGCCCGAAACAATGGACCGTCCTCCACCACACTCATATCTTCACCCGGCCGCGAATGGGATAGATCAACCCTCACGGGAGGCGGAGGCGGGGGTACTTGAGGAGGAGGGGGAGGTGGAGGAAGCGGCGCACTATCCGCTGCTTCAGGCGGAGTACCCGGTGGGGGGAGAATGTTGGATATCGCATCGGCATCACTGAAATGCGAGAGAACGGATTGCGAAGAGGGCATGCGGTTACGAACGGGATGAGGGATTTCCAAGTTTGGCGATAGAATCTGCGGGCTGGGTAGCGAACGGGGGCAGTTGTGTACCCAGAAGGAGAAGTGCGCAAGGGTATTGAGTCGATTGGCTCTCTGGTCGTAGTCCAGGAAGCTACAACTGTTCCTCCAACCGTTGCCCCGGTCCTCGGTGTGCTTGGGGGGCTTCCATTTCCAGGACCAATTGAATTGGACCGAAGGACTACCTCCGGTTGTATAATCCCCTACAAACTGCACATTGGAATTGTTCTGTAGATTGGGATTTGCATGGAATTCGCGCGTGATCAGATTGTCAAGCTCCTTAGCATTGGTCGCATGCGCAAATGTAAGCCCGGTGAGCACGGTGTCGGCCACTTCGGGAAGCGAGGTCGCAACGCCATTAACCACAGAGTTCGCCGTGTTACCAGTTTGGGTCTGTCGCAAAATAAAGGTGAAATTGAAATTGAGATCGTCTTCATTTGTCAGGCGCAGAAGGAACGTCGGCGCAGATGCAGAGGTGGTAAGATCGGGGTCCTGTTAGATATTGTCGATGTGAAGTTAACAGCCGAACATAAGTGCACGCTTCAGGATATGAGCTTGCCAGCATTGTTTTATTCCACTTACCTGTATATACTCAATTGGGCTATCGTCACCGATCTCTCGTTTTGCGGTATATCTTGTCGCCGGGAAGGAATTGGGTGTGAGGTGCAGCAGTACTTGACCTCTTGAGTTGCTTATCGTGACGGAGGCGATTGTAACTGTTGGCGCATCACAATAAATTAGCATCTATGATAGCAGGAGGGAAGGGGAGAAAAAGCGCTAACGTGCAAGCTAGATAGAACAAAGGACGATAGGGGAGCGACAAGTAAAAGTGACGCGGTAAAGACGAAGGGGAAAACGAGGGATGAAGGGCGCGAGCTACATACACCGAGTTTGATCCTTGAAGAACAAATCTCCAGAGTCATCGAGACGACTTCCAACATTGCCCATAATGAAGATGATGAATGGATCAAGTGCCCACTCGAAAAAAAGACAGTCCGGAAGGATGACTGGGACAGTTGAAGGTCACCATCGACAGTCGAATTGGCATCAGTTTGTAACCGGAGCAGTGATGAACAACAATATGCGGTCGATCGACAAAGCCGTCATCTAGTCGAAACACCGGTCGAATGAGCCCTCGAGGCCGTCCTGCGCCGTGAGATGGATCTGAGTATATGCCGCCGTAGACGAGCACGAGCTCATTTGAGGCAGATCGTGGCTGAATAAGACGAGGGGTTCTGGGAGGCAAGGTATCTGATGGATGATAACCGAGCCAACAAAGGAGGAGGATGTGGTTCCGAATCTCGGGGGATGCTCGCGGCAATCCCTTCAATGATCGATGGCGAAGGAAACTGCTGAGGTTGGGATGAGTCAAGATTTGTCGTTTGGTGGCATTAGTTATCTGATGAGGATGACTTCGGAGGATTGATTTGACGCGGAGGAGGGGAGATCGGGAACGTGTGAGATTCGAAGTCTCACAGCAAGTCCAGATAAATAATGATCTTTCCCCGCCTGGCCGACAGACCAGTGTTTCAAAAGAGGCCAGAACTATAATGTCGTTTATAATATCGTCTAGGTAGAGATCTCGTGAGAAGCGCTGTAGGTGTCGATTAACCTGCTCCCTTTAATGCCAGCTGCTCGAGAAGTCCAGACGAAGAATCACGAAATTATTGTCGCTAGTCTAGACTACCACGCTGCCACCATACCATACATATATGTGGAGAGATCCAGCTCGCTCGACATCAACATTTCACGCACACATTTCAACTATCCTTTTTGGGATAAGTTGAGTCATAATCGCAATGATATCTATGCGCCAGTGAGGCTGTGGTCTATTTTCGTCGAGACTACTGGCACCATCAAAACAACATGGCAAGTCCTCTGATCAACCAATGTCACAACATGGTTGCCTTGCATACACTCCTGTCATTGATCTGGCCTGCATAAGTACATCCCTCGTGCAAATTCTAAGCCGTCGCTTGCGAAGTTTCATGCTAGTAGTATCGGCTAAAAAAGCTCCAGGAGCGCCCAGCTGACTCTATCGCGTGGGCATGAAAGGGCCTTGATTTTACTCGAGAAGCAAGTCTGAGAGGACTGTACGTCAATGGAAGAGTATTGACAACATTCGATGTCCTATTCATCTTTGATTTTTCAAAAAGGGGTATCTTAAGGATAAGAGGAAAGAGACGCTTGTTCCTGCACACAACACTGACAAAGTGCATAAGCTCCTGCAGTCGCAAATCCGCCAAGAGTTTTCTCGGAGAGCCTGCGGCGCAGGGCAGGATGAAAATAAGAGGACAGAGTGTGTGCGGTACATGAAAAATATAATAACAATAGCTATTAGGGGAATCGCTGATGCATGTGAGCCCGACGACTCAGAAGTACAAGGATGACAAATGACCAGTGCGTATGACAAAAATGATGAACCGTGTCGTGGTAAAGGAAAACAAACGAAAGAATTGACGGGAAAGATAGACACAGTAGTCGTGCCAATCGTCGACATCGGTGCGCTTTCAGAGCAATCATCTATGGATTACGCCCGGTTGCGCCATGTGAGGAACTGGGGTTCTCCACGGACGTATTGGGATGGTAGCCATGGTGATTGCCTGCTTCAACATAATGCTCATCTCCTTGCGCCCATTTCATGACCTGCCCTTTGACGTCACGCATATCGTGTACTTTCCGGGAGAAATCGCCTCGTTTCTTGGACGCGGTGCCGCTCCGTTCGTTAAGCTCATCTTCGTCTGAACTCGAGATGGAAAACGACGAGGTGCTGCTTTGTTGGAGGAAGGTCATTTGGCCTGCTTCTTTCTTTTTGAATTCCCTTTGCTCATTCTTCAGCTCTCCCATTCGCTCTGCGTCTTCCTGGCAATCCAAGGTGGTCACACGCAGGCCGACAAAGTTCTTTGAGAAGAATTCCTTCAGCAGATAAAGATATTTGGCGTTCGGACGATATGTTCCGCTGTCATTATCAATGAAAAGCTCATACTCTCTCGGGTCCGTTGAGATTTCCGTAGCGGTCTCTGCCGGCGGCTCTTCGACGGGAATCTCGGTCTCTGATGCGTCGTGACAGTGCCGGTGCTTCAGTCGGCGCACAAAGAACTCGCCAGAATAGGCAATGTAGATGGACACATTACTGTGCATAGTGTGTTTGCTCAACAAATCAATACCAAACTCCTTTCCTGTCTCGGTAAAGCGGAACTGCCCGTCGAGCGTGAGGACGTAGGTGAAAATACGACCACCCTGGGCGTAGTGGCAAAATTCGAGGAATTTTTGAGTGAACTCGGTACACGGACCAGGGAATTGACCGTTGAGGGTGGCTCGATCGAAATTGTATATCCGCTCATGCTGATGATGAAGGGCCCGGTTTAGTATACGACCCCTAAGGCTCCGTGATGTGAACATGCCCGCCACAAAAGGTTTGAACTCGACATAACGATGGTACAACTCGGCCGGCACAGGGCCCTGTAGCTGAATTTGAATGGCTTGAAAACTAAGCAAGTAAGAGTCAGCGATCCGAATTTGTAGAAATGACCGGCGCATGAGTTCAGAGAGTACAGATAACGCACTTGTAGCGGCTGGTGGCCTTCTTGCCATCCGCAGTTTGCACCTCGTCTTTCGTTCCCGTCAGTCGTCCGATCAATGGCGAAAAGTGTTTGAACCAATAGTTCGGCCCGACGGTATACATGTGTCCACCCTCCTTCCCCGGGGTTTTCCCCAAGCACTCGACACTGATGACCAAGTGCGAGCCCAGATCGAGGCGTCGCGAAGCGAAGGCGGCGACATTCCCAAACAGGTAGACCCGCTTGCTACCCAGTCGCTTCTTGACCTTGAATGTTTGCTCCTTGAACCCAGACCAATTCTCGTCGATTGACCCGACCTCAACGTACGCGACTCCCAACTTATCGTCATGGTCGTTCGCATCCTCGTCGTAAACATGGCACTTGAGCTCGAAGCCTGATGCGGGTACATTGGCAACAATCCACTCACTCCCCCATACAGGATCACGATTTTTGCGGATCGTAGGGGTCCTGAAAGTCACGATCGGATCCTGCTTGTGCCGCTGTGGCAGATCAACAAGCAGCTGAGCCCGCACGTATGGATCAGAGGAGAAACTGCCGAAATCCGCACATGGAAGATTGATCCCGCGATGAAACGTGAATTTCAACGTATAACCTGGCGGTGCATGGGGGATTGGCGTACTGTCGAAACCCCCTGCAGGCTTCTGTTCTCCACTGCTAGCAGTCTTCTTCATAGCGACAGCTTGGTCATGCAGTTTGCCTGTCTTATCGACAAATTTGGGGCCGTATTTGTCGACCGCATGCCGTCGACGAGCCTGGGGCTGATCGGATTCATTCGTCATGATTAGAGCCTGTCCCGTAGACTCGATACTATATGATGCAAGTCCAGTGCAGTAGGCGAACTGATATTTGAATTATTTATTGTTGCTGCCTGCAGCAGTCGAGGGGGAAAACGTCAGTGACTTCAGCGTTGCAGATGCGGGACGATGTGGGGACGAAGATCGTTGTACCTTGAAATTGTATTTGTAGGCTTGTAGTTAGTTGGAGTCCGTTCATAGGGCTGAGTAGCCAGAGAAGCAAAGCAGCCCAAGAAGGAGGGGTGAAAAGGGTATGAAAAAGGGAAGAAATATTGAATTAGAGAATAGATGGGATTTGAGTGGTGATGAAAATGGAATGGTGCTCGTCTCATTCTGTTCTACTCGTCCGGTAGAGATAACCGCGAGAGAGAGAGAGAGAGACTCAAGGGAAGGGAAGCTTTCCACCCAGATACAATCATACTAACACGTTCACAGTTCGCATCACTTAAGTCCGTCCGTCAGTGCCACGGCGGGCACTTCCAATTTTCCAGGGCGCCAGGAACCACTAAACCGACTGGCTGTTGGTTGTCCTGACGTGCTCGTGCAGGCTCATACATCATCATGCCCCCCTCTCAGTTCATTCAGGTAAGTAAGAAGTAAATCTTCCAACTTCCAAGACTTTTCGCTTGGTCCCCACGGGTTTTTCTCGGATTGGGTCAAGCAAGGCCAAGCTTTGTCAGTCTCGCTGGTCATCGTCATAGGCATCGTCATAAGGCAAATCCATATCAATTCCAATTCATGAAGGGATTAATTAGTATTACCGCATAGCATTGAACACAGTACGGATTTAAAATCAGAAAGATTGAGTCTGAATCCGTGGACTCGAATTGAATTGCTCAGCTAGAGGAGAATCATAATAAACCGTGTCTACCAGTACAAGAGCATGATGACCAATCAAGCCAGGATTCCCCAACCACCCCATATCCATATCCTCTCTCTCAGCTTTGCTCTCTCCCACTTCCAGCGTCACACGGTGATCGAGGCCAGCTCTGGAGACGCTCGGAACACTGGAAAGATTGAGGAACAGGGGTACTTGGTTGGAGAGAAATTAAAGCATGAGGGAACACCACGCTACTAAGCTGAGTCATACTTAAGACGTAGAAATTCGCAAAATGTGCAACCCCATGGCTTTGCAGTATGCCGGGCTTGTTCCAGCAAGCCAAGCACCATTCCAGAATGGCTGCCGCTCAACTCTCCACCCAGTAGAAAGAAGGCAGAATTTTCAAGCTCCACGGAACAAGAATTGCATGTCTTCTGGAGTGAGTTTTTCCAGCGCTTCTCCTTGGTCCTTGTTGAGCGTGCCATTGATGAGATTCGCCTTCTTTTCCTGCAGCAGGACAATTCGCGATTCGACCGAATCCTCAATGCAGAGCCGAGTAATCACACAGGGGCGTCGCTGTCCAATCCGATGGCATCGATCTGCACTCTGCCACTCAGCAGCTGGATTCCACCACCTGGAGATGAAGATTAGCACAGGGCAACGACCAGCAGGGAACAAGATGCGGGAGGAACACTCACGGATCGACGATAAATACTCTTGAAGCCTCGGTCAAGTTCAAGGCGACACCACCTGCTTTCAATGAGACGAGGAAGACCTCCACATCCACGTTGTTCATAAAATGATCAATCGATCTCTGACGCTGCGCCGGCGTCATTGTTCCATCGAGCATGACAGTATTGAATCCTGCCCGACGAAGTCGCCATTCCACAAGCTGTAGCATCGAGGTGAACTGAGAAAAGACGATTGACTTATGAGTCTGCTTCTTGCTTCTCAATTTGTAAAGCTCGTAAACAAGCATCTCGATCTTTGTGGAAGAGGTCCAATCCTCCATTCGGATTCGATTGATGATCGAGTTCTTCTTGATATGTTCCTCCTCCTGTTCGATATCGGGTTGCTCAAAATCAATCGAGAGCGGGATATGGCACCGCGGGCAATCCACAACGCTATCTGCATCGAAAGATCGAATGTAATCTTTGGCGCAACGACGACAGAATTCGTGGTGGCAGCGGGACCGAATGGCCTCCTCGGCAGGCTCATCGCATATGCCGCAGACAAGAACGTTCTGTCCACCTGCAGCATGCTTCTTTAGTATTAGATCTGGATGGTTGGAGACCTGCCGCATTTGCATGATGAGACCGAAGATGTTCGCGTAGTTGTTCAACATGACACCTCGGCTCACATATGTATCAAACTGCCTGGTGGAGTTGGTCATAATACTTCTAGAGAAATCACGCTCGATCTCTCCAAAAAATTCATTATGCAGTATGACGCGCTTGGGAGGCAGTTCCATTGAAGCAGTGTGGTCGCGCTTGACTCGCCGTAACATGATTCGATCAGTGATCAGACGAAGTTTGGCCAGAGCTTCCTTACGAGCCTCTGGGTGATCTCGCTCAGTGATAGGATTGAGAATTTCTTGATTGAAGATCGATACGTGGCTGAATCCACTGTGTTTGCAATGGCTGCACCGTTTTTCGGCGTCTTGGGACCAGTGGAGCTCCTGGCAACTGCATTGCTTGCAGAAATAGCAGGCAAAAGGACGGACCTCAAGGAATCGTAATAGAGAAAAGAACTCTCCAATCCGATTCTGCACCGGAGTACCAGAGAGACACCACTTATACGTCGCTTTGAGGGCGAAGCATGCACGCGCAACACTTGTGGTACGTTGCTGTGGACATTAGCAAGCCATTCAACCTTCGTGGTAAAAGAAAAGCGGATGATACCTTGATACTATGCGCCTCATCGAGAATAAGGCGATGGTAGTCGATGGCATGAATCACACCTGTGCAATGTTAAGACTTCGCCGCTGCGTTGTTGGGATTAATTGACTCACTATCTTCTTTCACAATCCCATCATTGCGATTCCATCCCTTCCATTCCTTCCGGTGGATAGATTCAAGGCCAGAATCTAGATAGGATGTTAGCCGGTCGCTGTTAAGCTCACACTTATACAGTGACACTTACAAGATATCATAATCACATCGTAAGATTGAAGCTCCTGCTTTGTGAGATGTTTCACCTTGGAATTTGAGTTGTGGTACACAAGAACTTTTAGCTGGCCACTCGTATATTCCTGGATGAGCAGGGTGTCAGCACTTTTGATTGGTGTCGGAATCGAGGATGGATAGACGCACTTTGATCTCGGACTGCCACTGCATCAGAGCGACTGGAGGCACAACAACAAGCGACGGCTTGCCAACTGGATAATCAGACATGAGAAGGGAGACCGCTTGAATGGTCTTGCCCATCCCCATCTCGTCACCCAACAGACCACCTTTGTAATGACTTTGCTCCTGTTGCATCATCCAATTTAAACCCTCGAGTTGGTATGACTTGAGGGTTATTGAGATACCTGGAGGCTGCTCCGCTGCTACGGGTGTGATAGGAGGCGTATTCCTTATCTCGTCCCACATCTTGACAACAATAGGATGCTGCGTCTCAAGTTTGCGTCGCTCCCTATAAGCCTAAACAGGATGTCAGAACACTGGCGTACATGGAATTCAGGCACTAGGCATGCTTACACGGCGGCTCATCCAAGGCAGCCTGGTAGATGACCGTACGAGTGCAGATGTTCTCGAGGCTTGAGCCTGAGCTCTTGAATTGGCCCGGGAATTTGTTGGATTCGACCTTCTCGATCTCCCAGTGGCCAATGGCTCATCCTCATCGGATGCGGAGGAGGGTTCTTCGGCTTCAGCCTCGGATTGATAGACATCATCTTCACCATCCTCGATAGAGTCGGAAGCTTCACTATCGGGGATAGCACGCTTCGTTGTCAACCGACGAGAAGTCCTGGTACTGCGCTTTGACTGCCAAGGCTCAAAATCATCTTCATCAAAGTCATCATTGCCACCATCAGAATCCAGATCCATTTCCTCCAAATCCGTCAAAGGATCATCATCGTCAGCGGAATCGCCAATCTCCAATGATCCTCCACCTTTGCCCGCAGGAACCTTCCGACGCTTCGAGAAAGATGACTGGTATTCTTGAATCTGAAGACTTTGAGCTAAAGCTGCATCTGAGCACTCTAATGGTGTAGAATCCTCCAGTGCTACTGCAGCACCCCTCTTAACACCTCTCTGCGGGCGGCTAAGGGACATTGTGCTAGAGCGTAGCTCACGGGCTCGAGCAGAAGCATTTACCCTTTTTCTCGGTTTGTTCACATCTGACTCAGCGGGAGTGACAGCAACACTGGTTGCAGGAGTACCATATTCGTTTGTGCTCTCTCTCGATGTATTCGCCGGTGAAGAGGAAGAGGAGAAAGACGCACATGAAGGTGACTGCTGCTTCAGCGGTATTGCAACTTCGATACACGCAGAGCCGGAGTGAGATTCGATTAATTCGATGCATTTGTTTTCACTCTTTATGTTACTCTCTTGCTCCCCACCCACACTTCCCGGGCTTCCGATTTCATTTTTGATGGACGACCGTGCTAATCGTAGAGAAGTCCGTCGAGGCAAGGACAATTGATTGCCTGTGAAATTCATCATATCGTTAGCTATCGAAGTTGACAGGAATTATGAAATGAATTTGCTCCATGAAAAGCCAAACGGCCTCGAACAGTCGAAGAGACGCTTAACTGGAAAATGTGACAGGGACGGAAGCTTACCATCAAGCGGAGAAGTCCCTGCTTTTGCTGTAGATACCCTTCTTCCCATGATGATGAAACAATCGATGTTTTACCGACTAGAGATTCTTATTATTCGTTAACAAGGAAGTAGGTTCATCGGTAGTCCGATAAACGGCAACGAGATTATTTGGAGGACTATCAATTCGATGGTGGCAAATATCGGCCCCGTTGGCATGTATGGTCGGAAAAGGGAGGCAGCAGCCTAGAAGTTTGGAAGATGGGGAAAATTCTTCACTGATCACAATAAGACCCCGATCCATTCACTGATTTGCTCCCTCCCCTCGTAAAAGATTCCTTGGCGGATGAGGTGACTCGCATACAAATACAGCTCTTCTCTCATCGGTCAGGTTTGATCCCATCACCTCTACCCAGAACGCGCGGCGATAAGCACAACATTGCATCTCGCGTAAAGTGGAACGCGAAATCATCACGAGTCCTGTGACCTGGCTGATTCGAGCTTCGTCATTTGTCCCAACAACACACAGCTTGTCTTCATCTCCTAAATCTCTCTGAAGCGATTGTTGCATGCATAATGTATGTTCCTTCCATTTGGTGCCACTGAGACAATATCTTTTATTGACTGTATATAGGGCGGGCCGCAGAGCTACAAGGAACCAAATTAGGGGCCCGTATGTCCTGCATCAACTTCCATAGCTTTGGATATTTGACTGACAGTCAACACTCGCAGTCATTCTGCGCTCACTGATTTTCTAGCCGTTAGTGGATAATTTCCTCATGATGTGTCTCCTTTGACGTCTTGGCTGATATTCATTTTATCTAGTCCAACAACATATCCGCCGCCCAGATCCACCAAGACTATCAGAGACGAGTGAGGGAGGCTGATCAGGATGTCGCCGCGAGCGAGACACAAAATGAAGTCACCGAAGATGAAGAATATGAAGAAGATCCGAGCGAATCAGCAGAGCAGAGGAAGAAGCGCAAGCGAAAGGAAGCAGCTGCATTAGCAAGAATCAAGCAGAGCAAGGAGTTTGCCCGCCGCAAATCCCGCCGCACAGGCGAGCCTGATGGCGATGGTGACCTTATCGCCAGGGAGATGATGCATGAGAAATCTCGACCCCTGCCAGGCCAGCTCGAGAATTGTGAGCTGTGCAGTAAACGTTTCACAGTCACCCCCTACAGCAAAACTGGCCCCAATGGGGGCCTTCTCTGTGCCAAGTGCTCCAAAGAAATAGGAAATGATGAGAAGAAGTCGAAGGCTAAGAAGCGCGGACCAAGAACTGGTCGTCGTCAGAACCAAAGCAACTTGCTCGACGGAGTTGCTAGCCAAGGTGCTCTCAGTTTGGTTGAGATGTGCACGAAGGTGAATAGATTGACGAAGTCTCTCATTCCTACCGTGCTTAGTGCTAACAGATGCATGCTCAGAAAGTTGCCGATAATCATAATGAGATTGAAGAATTTGGAGACCTACCATCTCGTTTGCTGCATCGTCTAAGCCAGATATTCTCTAAAAGGCGAATCTTGACTCCAAGAACTTTGAACCTGTTCCTTCGACCCGAATTAAATTCAATTGATATTTACGATGCGGCTAGTAGGTTTTCACTTGTGCTTTTATCTCATCTACCTGAGCGTCATATTGATTCTTATCGCAGAGCTCGAGACGGACGATTTCCACAAGATATTTGCTATCATGCCGGCGCTAATGCGTGTTAATCTTCGATTTGCAGGTCAAATCAAGGATAGAGTTATCGAATACATGTTGGATCGAGATCTCAAAGTCAGACAGCTGCAGCTTGATGCCGCCAACCTTGTCTCCGATTCGTCCTGGCAGCAGCTGTTTCAGAAATTGGGCTCACAGCTGGAAAGCGTGAAGTTGTCGAATCTTGACTATTCGTTCACGGATGAAACTGTGGAAAGGATGTGTGAGAGCTGTGTCGCACTTCAACAGTTGAAACTGAAGCAATGCTGGAAACTTGGCAACGATTCCCTTAGTGCCATCTCAACTTTGTCGGCGCTGGAGCACTTGTCCCTGGACTTGGTTCAAGAGACCAGCGGTGAAGTGCTTTTGCAGATGATATCCACCCTTGCCCCCAAGTTGCGTACGCTGTCCCTGGAGGGCATCTCGAATGCCGATGATCGACTTCTCGACCTTATCCATGAGAAATGCCTCGTTCTCGCCAAACTGCGTCTCACAGATAATTCTGTGTTAAGTGACAAGGGTTTCGTCAATTTGTTCACAGATTGGGCTAATGCTCCATTGAAATTTGTGGATTTCTCTTCCACACGAGATGTGGATAATAGCAATCCGGATGGCCCCGCGGATGCGATTGGATTTGCGTCCCAGGGGTTCATCGCACTTATGAACCACTCAGGCTCGACCCTTCGGAAATTGAACATATCGTCCTGCCGTCATATCTCGCATGCTGCATTCGAGGAGGTATTCACGGAGGGCAAGTCATATCCTTTCTTGCAGGAACTCGATATCTCGTTTCTTACAGTGGTGGATGATTTCTTGATGGGCCGGGTCTTCCGATGCTGTCCGTCAATCAAAAAAGTGGTTGCATTCGCATGCTTCAACGTGCGCCAAGTCCATGTCCCGATTGGGGTGGCACTGATCGGCGGATTGAAGGCTCAGGATTCTATCGTCATTGAAGGAACAACTTCTGGTTGACATAGAAACCCTGTTCGAACAGGTCGCTGACCCTATTGCTATGCTACGATATGAAGCTCATGAAACCTCTTCCTGCAATGAATACCTTGAATAAGCGCTCATCCTCTGCCGTTCTTGTTTTTTTTTTTTTTTTTTTTTTCATTTTTCTCCTTCCCCCCTCAGCTATGTGTTTCTAGATATCATCAAGGGTACGGATGGGCGATCGGGTCCACAGTGGACAAACACGTGAATACTGTTGTAACAGTTGAGAGCTGGATGACTGATGGCGTAAGGCTGGGTTGGAACCCTGCAGGACTCTGTGTCCCTGGAAGTCCACACTTCATTGTACATAGTGTGACGAGGGGACCCTTGTTCCCCAGCCTCGCGACGGCTTTCCCTTGCTCTTTGATGATCTATTTGCAGTGCGAACTTACTACTGTACTGTACAAGTCTTCATTGAACTTCATGTCTCAGGTGAAATCATTTGATACCTTGCTGGCCGTTTTAGGAAGATTGGTTGGCTCTCGACCATATAAAAGAAAGTCCGGTTTTCCCCTGAGTGTTGAACGGATAGCTTAGTGGGAGTTTATCCCCGCTGGATCCTCCGTACCTTTTCTTCTAATCCGATGTCGGTTGAATTTGTAGGATTTGCTTGAATCGATATGTTTTGTTTGATATCTGGGCGTCTTGTCGTGATAGTAAAGGACCCTGTCGGTCCCTGTACGGAGTAGATTGTGCCACCAGCTTCGAGGCATGGCCTTGTATCAGAAGGATGAATGAGACAGAATACCTAATAATCAAGGTATTCTGTATGGAACTCCTCCGTACAGTAAGTAAGTAAGTAAGTAAGTAAGTAGGTAGGTACTCCCGTCCCTAGCTCCTTGGTCATCATTCCCTGATTTACTCTGACGAAGCATGCCCAGCCATAGACGTATGTTCTTCTGAATATCATGCATGTGCAAGATCATTACGTCTGATTCGATGAGTTTTTTCTACTAGTGTGGACTCCTAGAGAGATGTTGATTTATGGCATATCCATTTCTAAAGTTGTTTAACGATAGATACTGAGACCACCAGGACTCGGAATTTACTCCGTAGGTAGTGACACTTTTCTATTAACTAGGTAAGGTAGGCTATTCTACACTTTACAGCTTAAGCAAGAATGCAGCCATAAATGCCATATCTCTACTCTTGACCCGTCCGGTACGATGATCTTCAAGTCCTTGTCTGATGAAATGACATTATATTTGGATCTGGTCAATCGAAAACTGAGGATCCTGAGTTTGGTCTTTTGCCTCTAGCCACTCAGTCCTCCACTGTATCGTCGTACTCCACGCTAGTTAGTGGAGAAGTGAAGAAGATATGGATAATGGAGCGCTTGCGTCTCGAAGTGATTAGAATAGGATCAGGTAGGTTCTCACGGTCGAACAGTGACTTCGGAAGAGGAACAATCAATTTATGTAAGCTTGGCAGTTCAGATGAAAAAGAAACCCATCCATCATCCTCTTTGAAGTGTCTCTTTGTCTCTTCGTCTGCGTCCTCTGCTATCGCTCTGATCAATTAATATATCAAGATTAAGAGACACGTTGGATCTTCATAGATTCATCATCGTTGTCTAATCATTGCTTGATCAGCAAACATTGAGACGATGAGTGGCCGACAGGATTCCTTTCCCCATTGACGGAGTACCTAAGGTACTCCACCATTGTACGATTGAAAAAAAAAGTTAGAAAAAAAAAAAAAAAAAAAAAGGCAAAAAGAAGTTTAGTATCTTCAGATAGAAATCAAAGCGACTGAGCTGGTCTTACTACTGCTGTATAGCATCGCTGGTACATATATAGCACATACTTCCTGACTCAATGGCGTCTGAGTATTCATTGAACCCCTTAATTATTATTATTGAGGCATTTGGCAAAGCTTAAGGTAGCAGTAGTACCTAGCCATGAACAGGCTTCCGAGGTCTTTTTAGGTATGAATGGTTCACAGATTCGTACCTGTTTGGTACCTGACTAGGTCGGGAGCCCTGTATCATACCTTGTATTTTTGGAACATTGGTTAGATTTGTCTAGGTCCACGAATCCATTGCCCCTTCCCAGGGCCAAATCTGTCCGTTCACCAGTGATATTCGCTGATATTAATAGGAATCTGATCAATGGCAACGACTTATCGACGGTACGGATACAACGAATCTGGATTCTGGGTCCGCTCAGGTCGCTTTCTTATCTCCGATTTCCTCACCTTACTTGGGATTATTTTATCTGGCTTTTCCCTATGGAGATTCTAGCCGTTTGAGTTCGATCATTCGATGCTCATGGACATGCACACTGCACCGTCTAGGTTTTTTCGGTCATAGTAATAATTATAGGTACTAACTACTACGGAGTAGGTATCCGTAGATAGCCTCTAGTAAAGTAGGTAGTAAGTAAGTACCTACTGTGTAGGTCGTTACATACTCCGTAGAATGTATAGAATTCATCCTGCTGGCTTTCCCGCCTCCCTCTTTCTCATCCTCTCTCGCCATAATAATAATTAGCTTAAGGATTACTACAGAGGACTATTATCTACTTACTTACCTATTGATTCTTCTTCTTCTTCTTTCGTCCTCTGCTGTTCTGGTCCATTAATCATCTTGTTGTTTCTCTCTCTCTCTCTCCCTCTCTTGTCTGTTTTTTGGTTATTTATTTATTTCCCCTTGTTGTTGTTATTATTATTATGATTATTATTATTTTTTACCCGCTCACTTTTCTGTCATCGGACCACATCATTCATTCCTAAATAATTGATCCTCTACTCCTCTACCTTCCATCGCTAATCTCTCTCCTTCCCTCTCTCTCTCTCTCTCTCTCTCTCTCTCTCTCTCTCTCTTTCTCCTCCATCGCAATCAAACTAAATCAAAATCAATCAAAATCTGATAGTCTGGCTCTTACCCACAATCTATTATTTGCAGAGCCCCGCTGGTGGTACATCTAAGGGTCCTTAGCCGGAGACGCTATCGATTTTTGCACTTTGCATCGTGTGTCAGAAAGTTTTCCCTTGGGCCATTTCGCTCAAACTCGCAGTCAACTTTCTCCTCAGTCCTGGATCTTTGAACACCCACCCCTCCCCCTTAATGTGTTCGGTGACGGTCTACCCACACCAGGTTTCCCTCTGACTGCTCGTAACTCCGTGACCGCTCTGATCGCAGTGGTTGCTCTTCCATTCTTTGGCGTTCTCTCTCTCTCTCTCTCGACACAAAAGACCCACCCTTTATCGGAATCCAAGTGGTTTCGAAAGGTCCAGGATCGCCACTCCACAGGCATCCGGGTGATTTGTTTATGGGAAACGAGGAGTACAGACGACGGAGTACGACCGCAACCTGATCTGAGGAGCAGCTGGGCCCGTGTCTTGTCTGCGTAACTCCGATCTAGCTTGCTGACTTCTGCTTGTCAAGCAGCGTAATTGAAAAGGTCGAGCTACCCGATTTCGTGGGGCCCGCCCTTTCGACATCTCTGCACAGATGCCAATCAAGCTCCCCAAAGGCTTCACCCGGCGAAAATCGTCTGGCAATGCTCTTGAAGAGGTAGAAAACCCTCCTCAGCCGTCCTTCCGAGTCTTCGAACGCCCCGCTGCCGACCGAAAATCCCTCAGTGATGCGAATCTGCTCTCCAAGAGATTGAGTGACGGCCAGGACCTGTACACTCCGACGGAGGAGGAGGATAATATCTTTGCGGGTACCGAGAATCTGCCTCCCAAGCACCGGTATAGTGCCCATCCCCTACATTAAACAAATATAAGGTCCTTGTCGCTGACTCGTCGGCAACATAGTGGTGGCATCCCGGGGGGTTCATCCGAGAGTTCATCATCGATTCGATTCAGCTCATCGTCACTGCGCCGCTCTTCGACAGACGTTCCAATTCAAGCGAACGGCCAATCGCCGCACACGCGCCACCTCCACGACATCCCCATTCCCCCGATTTCCGGCGCGTTGCGCGCAGCGGGCAGAACCTTTTCGTTTGGAGGAAGATTTTCCAAACCTTCACCATCGATCGCGCCAGACCGACCGCCCATTCGTCCGCCCCCCAGGAATAGAACCATGACATCCAGTACCGCTAGCACCGCAACACCACCCAAGCTATTAGACGATTTGAACGTAGGAGGGCTAGGGGACGAGTTTGGCAATATGTTTGACGATCTAGGGAAGCGTGAGAGTGTCCTTCTCCCCGAGCCGATTTCTGGTCGAAAATCGCCGAATATGGTATGATTGATCTCTGTTTGCTCTCAATTTTGTCTACTCATCCTCAACCGGCCCCGTACTAATGGTGGTTCTGGGTAGTTCTCGTCTTCTTCGCACAGTTCACCCGCAACTACTCGAAAAGAGGAGAAAGCCGCGCGCCCGGCTCCAATCAACACGAATGTACCCACAGAAGTGGAAGCTTCTCCTTACTCTTGGGACAGTCGACATTCTGGGGAGGGCCTGCTTAATGCGATGAATTCTCCCCCAGTAGATTTCCCAGGAAACCGCCTTGAATTGCCTAGTCCCAATTCATCGTTTCCTGAAGGGCGGCGGAAATCATTGCCCTTGGCGAGTGCCGTGCCCAACGCCACAACATCTCATCGCTCACTCATGAAGCCCCAAACGACAGGTGACAAGGGACTGCGGAGGAGTGTCATCTACTCGACAAAGCGAGATTCTGCGCCTGTCGAAGACGAGGATGCGAGGCTGATCATGGAATCGCTCCATACAACCAAAAACGGTGTGCATTTTGCATCGAGCTCCGACCACGAGGCCTCGGATTCCGAGAACCATGCCCCCTTGGCGGTCAATGGATCTGCGAACGCTGCCCATCGTCCTGGACTCCCGGAATCCCACTCCCAAACTCGACGTCAATCCCTTCCGGTGGCTGAAAGCCAACTGGATCCTTCTATCGCGGCGCATGCGATGTTGGCCGCTCAGTATGAGCAAAGCCAGCCAAAGTCCAGCGGCCCAGCCAATAAAGTCATGACGCCTTCTCAATTCGAACATTATCGCCGGCAACAAGAGCTTAGAAGATCCAACAGCGATGCATCAAAGAGCGAAGACTCTGCTGAAAGCGATTTTGATGAAGAGGATGAGGTGGAGAAGAGCCGCGAAGCAGAGAGGCTACGTCGAAAGCAGGAGGCTCATCTGTCCGTATATCGACAACAGATGATGAAAATGACGGGCCAACAGTCTCCAGCACCGTCCCTACGTCCAGAGCTGGACCGTGCTAGCAACAGTACGCCGAACCTTCCAACCCTTCCGATGAACTCTGGCACCGGACCCGGCGCTGGGAATCGCGCCGAGGGCGACGAAGATGAGGACATCCCGCTCGGGATCCTGGCCGCTCATGGCTTCCCAAACAGAAACCGACCTCCCACTCGTTTGGCACCTTCAAGTTCTATCCCGAATCTTCGAGCCTCCTTTCATCAACCATACGTGTCGTCTCCTGGGTCTGTGGCCGGCGACAATGATCTGACGAATCGTAGCAGCTTGCCTGTCTTCGCCCGAAACCTCCCTCGGGACCCTTATTACGGAGCAAGCTTGGTCAATCAAGCCAATAGAGAATCTTTAGCTTTTGGAGGAGGAGGAGGAGGAGCCTCCGTCCATGGTGGCCCTACTGCTGCCTCTGCACTACCCCCTGGCGGCTTAGTGGGTGTCATCGCCACGGAAGAACGAGCCAGAGCAATGCGAAGAGGCAGTCCAAATACCCAAGCCGTATACGAGTTCCAAACCGGAATGGGGATGGCAGGGTCAACGACTCCACCTGGCGGCGTTCCAAGGCCTTACACGATGATGGGTATGAATCCTCCGGCACTTCAACCAAGTGTCTCTGCCACCGAGCAGGCCCAAATCCAGCTTTCACAGCAGATGTCACAGATGATGCAAGTCCAGATGCAATGGATGCAGCAAATGATTCATATGCAAGGGGGACAGACCCCGCCAGGACCACCAATGCTGCCACCCATGGGGTTCCCACCGTCACTGCCTGCGGGTGCAAATTTCAGACCTGCTTCTATGCCCTCAGCTGGACCGTTCAACCAAGCTCCGGCCGGTCTTGGTGATCAGAGAACTCTTAGTATGCTGGATCCGAATGGTCCTTCTCGTCTGAACGGCCCAGCGATGCCCTATCTCCCGCAGGGTATTCGACCCGGCACTCCGGGAGGCGCCGGCTATGCGCCGTCCATTGCCCCATCCGAACGCAGTAACGTCGGAATGGCACCGCGATATCGACCTGTATCGACAATACACCTTGACCAAGGGTCCACGGTCTATTCGCCTATGGCTAATAAGTGGAACGACGAGAACCAGAAAGCAGCTCCTCCCGCTGTGTCACATATGGCGAAGACCCCCTCAATGCCAATTGTAACCGTCCAGCCCATCCCGACTGAAGAGCGACTGTCTACTCAGGGCAGAAACAGCACCACCACTGGAAAAGACGATGAGGATGACGACGAAGGTTGGGCCGAAATGATGAAAAAACGTGAGAAGAAGCGAAGCAACTGGAAAGTCAAGAAAGAAACATCAAGCCTCGGCGATCTGTTGAACGCGGTGCATTGATTACTGAGGAACCCCCCGTACACATTGCTAATTTTCGGTTTTTGCCACGATACTATCTGCATAAGCAGTACCATTACACATGTCCTAATACCTTGCATTCCAACTCCTGCCCTTATACATACGATATCATTCCCCCTTAACGGCCGGAATATCCAAGAAGCGTTCTGATGCACACATCTCGGCTTCCATCCGCTTTCTGTCTTTTTTTTTTTTTTTTTTTTTTGCCTTGTTCTCTTTTTGGATACAGATTTCACTTGCAGGTTCTTTGGCGCGTTTTCCACACACCGCATTGAAGACCGAACTTGCATCATGACAGCCTATCTATTTCTTCGTCTTTCTTTCCCTTCATCCTTCGAGCAAGTTATGGAGTTATCTATGGCCGGTTCCTTCAGGGTGCACAGGTATATCATTATTTTCGCAGAGGGATCGACAGCATCTGTATTAAATCGAAGCAAGCAGCAAATGTATCTATTCCTATACTTGAATAATTAACAATACTTATATACTAGGTCCTAGTCTCGTTCAGATTCCCTTTACGTGTATACGGTCTGCGAAGTGCGTCTAAAACTCCCGAGATGTGTTTTGAGTACTTCAATCGATTGTAATTCCCTGGATTGTGTCTCTTGCTTCAGCCAAGGTGTTTGCCACGATGGTCGAGGCCGGCAAGATCTCTCGAACCAGACCAACACCTGTGCCAGCATATGTTGTCATTCTACCCTGGGGACCCCATCCGGCGTCACCTTTCTTCAATTCTTCTTGGTATAGTCTGCGATTTTCCGCATCGTCCATTCCCCGTTCCGCAGCATCGTGATAACTCTCGTTGATGACACCGCGTCCATCATATCGACGGGGCCAGCCTCCTATGCCCCTCACTCGATCGTAGACCGTTGACCTGACGGTGCTGATACCTCCGTCAGACACCCGCAAGACCTCCTTTTGGTACCCACGGGCTATGTTCGCCTCAGCAGAGGCCAGGAAGCGTGTTCCCATGACACCTCCTACTGCCCCGAGCGCAAGAGCCGCCGCTATTCCTCGTCCATCCACGATACCGCCAGCAGCCAGGATAGCAATCCGAGTCATGTTTCGTTCTCGCAGCGCGTCTCGAACCTCAGGAACAAGAGTCAAGATGGACGCTGATTGAGCTAGGCCGTGTCCTCCAGCGTCAGATCCTTGAACCACCAGCACATCTGGCCGCAGGGTCTCGGCAACGGCCACCGCCTCCCCCACGGTGCCAACCTGCACCCAGATCTGGGTCTCGCCCGAGGTCCCGTTACGCACCTGGTCTACCCACGGCACTAGATCATCGGGCTGGGCCGTAGGACCGAACAACCACACGGCACAGGGCCTGTATTTCTGGATCGCGGCTATCGAGCGTGTGAGATCGGCGCCCCAGTTGATGAAGCCGACTCCGATGGGGAGGATGCCTGTTGCATCATACGCCTGCCGCATCGCACCACTGGATTGCTTCACGAGACTAACGGCATCTTCCAGGTTCTTCTCCAGATTTGAGACGTCGAATCCTGCTGCGAGAAAGCCCAGACCACCGGCGGCAGAGACTGATACTGCTAGCGGGGCCATGGCGATGTTGAGCATGGGGGCAGAAGCCACCAAGGGACACTTCGTCCAGGAATACGTGGACTTGAGCATTGTTCTCACGGAAATGATGTTCCAATTTTTTTCTTTTCCTTTCGGGGTTGAGATACTGTACTCTTTGAATACCATTTGGGGGAGAGAAAAGTGGTTAGAGCAGAGGGGTAGAATAGGAACTAGGTCGGTTGATATGAATTCTGAAAGTATATACATATACGCCCACATGAATCAAAGACAATGAGCGTAATATCCACTCCTCATTCCGAATTCATCCTGCATTCGAGTCATCATGTCTGAAACACTATACGATGCCTCCTGTACGACATCAAGTCGTGAGAGGCCCGCGACAGCCCTTCTGTCGTCTGTAGTCTGCAGTAGTTTCTCTCCATTCAGGTGGACCGCGGATAGCATCCCCATTCCCCCCAGGTCACTGGGTGGGTCGGGTCTTGTCGGGGCCGCGGTGGAAATCCAAGTTGTCTGGAACCGTGAACGTCACGTGTATCACGTGTCAAAAAATCACGGGACTGGTCAAAGGCGGTAGATAGTGAAGAGGCATAGAATAATAATAGTCGACAAGAGCTTCACTCGTTCAGACCTTTCCCATATTCCTCACACAACCTCACAACATTTCTTTTTTTCTGGTTTGCTCAGCTCTCTCTCTTGGGCACTTTAAAACTATCTCATCGCAATTAAACAAGCTGTAAGATCTCCAGATATCTCCGAACCTCTTCAAAAGGCTCGTCCTGGATGTTCTTATTGGTCCTCTTACTGATATCGACTGACAGATCAGTCTATATCCTTGGACTAAGAAAGGTCAGCTCTGGGCTAAAATTCCGATGTCGAGTAAGAGTGCTAAGAAGCCAATAACAGATTTTCTTGTTGACTCACCTCGACGTTGATTCCTTTCTTGGGTTATTCTTGGTTGTATCCACCCTCCAGGGAATTTTGGATACTTTCTGCAGTAGAGACATCTGAGATTGAGTCTCTATTGTACACCTGTCTGTCAAGATGAACGCTCCGGATCGGTAAGTTGGGATATGCCTTCTCTCTCATCTTTGTTTGTGTCTTTCATGTGGCTTTTTCTCTCTGATTTTTCTGTGCGTGTATGTTTGTGTATGTGGGATGCTTTCTATTTTCAAGATGCATGTTGGAAGGACTATTCCTTCGCCGAGAGCAGAATGAGGGGCATCACTTTCACTGCATCCAGCTCTGAAAGCAGGGTGGCCAGCTCGGCGTTGTCTTTGCAAGGGTGATGCAATTCTCTTCTGTCTTCTTTCTTGTATTTTTCTTCACCTACTGGATCTCCCCTGGCTTTCCCACTTTGCTCAACTCTTCATCAAGCTGGCTCTTCCCTTCTGCCTATAATTTCTTCCAGCATTGTTACCTCATCTTCAAACCCCCTCTTTCGCTTTCTTGAACTTGTCTGTCAACCATGAGCCCCAAAAAGCAATTCATGCTTCCCAACGAGATGGCCTACGCCCGTTGGAAGCATGCTAGTGGCGGTCCTCGTACCACTGGTCAGACTTCTATCAATGTTGATAGCGACCAGCCACACAGGTCTGCGCAGTCTCGTTGTTCTTTTCTGCATCCAGAGCCCTGTTTTATCAAATATTGAACCAAACTGGGTTGTATAATACTAATAACTCTTGCGCTGCAGCTTCGAATCTTTTGTTCTCTCCCCTGGCGAGGAGAAAGTTGAGGTTCAGACCGACACTCGTAAGTCCCCTGAAACTAAAGACCCTATTGCAAGCCATAGCAGTGGTCGATCTAACGCATTTCAACCCCTTCAGGCATCCCGTCTACTGCTATCTTCACCTTCAACAAGGAGGACCACACTCTTGGCAACCTCCTCCGCTCTCGTCTTCTGCAGAGCCCTCATGTTCTTTTTGCTGGTTACAAGGTATGTTTGTCCTGGCAATGGATCTTTCCCCAAAATATCTCCGTGCTTCGTCCGTGGGATCACCTTTACCTGACAGCGTCCTCTGCGTAGATCCCCCATCCTCTGGTTCCTAAGTTTGAACTTCGTATCCAAACCGATGGTGAGGTCACTCCCAAGGATGCTCTGCTTGCCGCTTGCCACGACCTCGTTAAGGACCTGGGTATTCTTTCCCGCGAGTTCACCAAGGAGTTTGAGCTGCGTAAGATGGTGGGTGCTGCCCAGCAGCAGCAGAACGGTGCCACTGACGGCGCTTGATCTCTGTTCACAAAAGTAGCAAACGCGAGCATCTGCACATGTCCCTCGATTTTGCACTGTGGCGCATCTGGTTATGCGAATTGCTTGTACTTCTGTACAGTTTTCCCTCAATGGTTTACCATCGAGTTCACTTCTTCCCGGGACGCAATGCAATCGCCATTTTGCATGTTGCACGAGATCACGAGCTGCCGAGGCGCCTTTTTCTTGGGTTTTTATTTCGCAGGAGCTTTGACTGTTACGATACGATATCATTTATGATAATGAAGGATTTTGATAGCTCTAGCTAATAATGACATCCGATTGAATGACCACCATGCATACGCCAAAACATTGTAATTGTCTGATCATCCAACTTCCTAGCATCAAGCATATACTCTTGTCTTCTTGATCCCTCCTTTCTTTTTTTTTTTTTTTTTTTTTTTGGTACTCATGGTAGTATGATGAAAGAATAAGATCACGTGGACCCTACTAATAACTGGATGCCTAAATTGAACGCCTGGGAAAAGAGGCTCCACCGGGCGGCGTTTCTCTTTCGGCCTAGCGCCGCCCATTGCCTCCGCGTCCCTGAACCTCTGGCCAGCGTCACCGTAGTGGCAGCTCCTCCTGAACTCCCCAGGCTTCACTCCCACTTGGGTCTACTACTGGCTTCTTTCGTTCATTCCGCCGTTATCATCTCCTTTCGCTCTTTTTGGTATCTCTATAGCAGTTCTACGTTTTGAATTCTTCGTCGTCTCTTTTCGTTTTCTTTTGTCTGATGCGACTGGTGTTCTAGTAATGTACTCTTCGTCCAACTCCTTCATGGGGGGCGCCAACAGCGCCCGCCCAGGACAACCGCCTTTCATGCAACAACCCTCATACTCGCAATACCCCCCCGGTCAGCCCCAATCGCAGCAGCAGACTGGCTTCCCTTCGCAACCCACCGGGTATGGACTCCAGCCACCGCAGTTGGTAGGCTCCCAGCTGCAGCCTCAGCAAACCGGCTTCCCTGGGCAATTGCAGCCACAATTCACCGGTTTTCCTGGCGCAGCACCTCAACAGCAGCAGCAGCAGCAGCAGCTCGGGGGCTTCCAGCAATCTGTCCAGCAGCCACAATTCACCGGCTATCCTCCTCAGAATCAACTCCTGTCGCTCCAGGCCCCTTCGACGACCGGTCTACCCACTCGACCTGCCCCGAGGACATCGTCGGAGGTAGCCAGCTCGTTTAACGATGGCGCGGGTGTGGCTCCTCCACCTCCACCGAAATCCGCGGGAAGCAAGATACCTAGCATTCGGCTTTCGTTCATTACGGCGCAAGACCAGGCGAAGTTCGAGCAACTCTTCAAGTCCGCGGTGGGAGACAGTCAGACGATTGATGGTCCGTATGCCCCTTTGTTGTTCTGAGCGATACATCCACCAGTGAAGTAGCTCGCTGACTCGAATGCACAGGCGGGAAGGCAAAAGAATTACTATTACGCTCGAGATTGCCTGGCAGTGAACTATCGAAAATATGGTCAGTACTTGTGGACGGGATAGATCATGGAATCCGTGAGACTGACATGCACCAGGATTCTGTCGGATACCACCAAGTCTGGACAGTTGTTCTTTCCCGAATTCGCTCTCGCGATGTATCTCTGCAATTTGAGGATCACGGGCCGAGAACTGCCACCATCATTGCCCGAGAAAATCAAAAACGAGGTTTCGAGCATGGTAGATATCATTTCGTTCGGGGTACCCGACACCCAGCCGGAGCCTTCAAGGTCAAACGTCCCCAGCTTCGATGCTCCACTCCTGGAGAACAAATCTGCACCCCCGGCGCCCCAGCAACCTCAGCCACAACAGCCAACGAATGCCCATCTACTTTCGCAGCTGGCTGCGCAGCCTACGGGATTTCTTCCCCAACAAACCGGGTTCCAGCCGAATCAATCTTCTTTCCTCGGACCAAGCGCAGGTCTTGCACCGCAAGCGACTGGTTTCCCAGGACAATCTCAGCAGCAATATCTGCAAACTCAGCCGACAGGATTGATGACAAATCCGCAGGCCACTGGTTATAGCGGTCCCCGGCCCCCTCTTCCGCCCATGCCTACCGGCTTTGGATCAAATCTCAGCCCAGCGCAAACAGGGGGAGCATCTGCTCTAGTAGCTCAACCAACCGGCATACCCGGCCAATGGGGCTTCGTCAATGCCCCTTCATCGGGCTTGCCCAATATTGAGGCTCTTAAACAGCAACTCATGCCTCAACCAGGTCGTGAGGGAGGTTTCACGACAGCGGGCCTTTCCGGAAATGCTAGCATTCCTTGGGCAATCACGAAGGAGGAGAAGAAGATTTACGATGATCTGTTCCGTGCATGGGATGGCTTCCATAAAGGCTTCATTGGCGGTGATACTGCGATTGAGATCATGGGTCAAAGCGGTCTGAACCGTCAGGACCTCGAACGGATTTGGACGCTTGCGGATCCACACAATCGAGGCCGCCTTAACATGGACGAATTCGCCGTCGCCATGCATCTGATATATAGAAAGCTCAACGGGTACCCAGTGCCAAGCCGTCTCCCACCGGAGCTTATCCCGCCGTCAACGAGAAACTTGAACGATTCTATAGGCACGGTCAAGTCGCTTCTCTCTCAAGACGCAGAGAGCCGCAAAGCTTCGGGCGCTTTTTTGCAGCCCCAGAAGACTGGTGTCAGCTACCTCAAGGAGCATTCCTTCCGCGGTGGCGCTAGATCCCCAGGTGTTGGCCGTAAAGATGCTACTTTGTTTAAAAATAACGATGAAGCGGCTGCCGGATATCGTTCTAGCGCTCGGCGCCGCGTGGGCAACAACGCTCGAGCAGCATCACCGGCTACCTCGCACACTTCTGAGGAAGAGCTATCCGTTGAGCAACTCAAGAAGAAAATTCGCGAGACTCAGATCATGCTTGACGCAGTCGATTTCCAGGATGAGAATCGCGCAGAGGAGGATGAGGCTCTGGATCGTCGTGATCGTCGCGAGGCCGAGAGTCTGATGGACCGGGTCCGACGCATCCAGGATGATATTGATACTCACCCGAATGCGACTTTCCGCAACCTGGACAATGGAGCCGAGAAGAGATCTCTCCGTCGCCAGCTCCAGGCCTACGAAGATCAAGTTCCTCAGGTGGCGTCAGAAGTCCGCCGAATTGAGCGTGAGCTTGCCGAGGCCAAGCTGGAGCTCTTCCGCTTGAAGGATGCGAAGGCACACCCAAATAGCGCCTCCAATATTGTGGGCACAGGGCCTGGCGGCGCAGTGACAGAGGCAGATCGCATCAAAGCTCGCGCCCGTGCAAGGATGCAAGCTCGTGCCGCCGAACTCGCCGGCAGGCCCGTCCCTGCCTCTGCGGATGATGACGGAGCCGCTGCTCGTCGTTTAGAATCCGAGAGCACTGTCATTCGGGCCGACCGAGAAAGGAACGAGGCCATGACACGCGATGTCGAGGAAAGTGTAAGAGAGTTTACCCGCAGTCTCGAGGACAGCTTCAAGGAAGGGGGCGAAACATCGACACGCGAACATGAGAGGCGTCGGTGGGAGGACGCTCTGGGTGTCGAGGACGTGATCCGAGATTTTATCTACGATTTGAAACGAGGTAGTCGGACCGCGCACGTCCGAAAGGAAGAGTGAGTACTATGCTTCCATTGTGCCTTCCGATTGATCTGAAACTAATGATGCAGGGAAACAAGGACGTTGCCTACTCATGACCACCGAGTTCGGCACGAGGATCCATCGATTGCCTCTCGACCGTCACCCGCACCCTCCGCCGGTTCTGTCGGATCTGCTCCAGGAGCTACTCACGAGGACCGAGTCGCTGCAGCCAGGGAACGTGCTCAGAGGCGCATTGCGGAACGTATGGCCGCTGCTGGACTCAAACCGCATACCGACTCCACAGAGACTCTCGTCCAGCGTCAGGAGCGGGAAAAGCGGGAACGAGAAGAGCGCTTGAGGCGGGCAGAGGAGGAAGATGCCAAGAGAGAGCAAGAGAGACAACGTCGCCTGGCCGAGGAACAGCGCGGCCCGGCCAAGCCTGCTGCTACTAAGCCAGTGGGCAAGAAGCCTCCCCCAGCACCACCATCACGCAGAGGCCGCACGGACAGTGCGGGTCAAGCTGACGCAAGGCCGGCCGTGGAGGAGACTGCTGCCACAGAGCAGGCCGCCCGCGAACAAGCGATCAGGGAAGAGCAGCAGGCACAAGAAGAGGAGACTAAACGTCTTGAGTAAGAACAATTTGCTGCCCATTCTCATCCAAAACTGCATACGCGATAGCTAACAATGTTCTATAGAATGGAAGCTCAGCAGCGTGAGCAAGAACTTCTCAAAGAGAAGGAAGCACAGGAAGCTCGTCTGCGTGCCTTGGAAGAGCAAGTCAGGCAAGGCAAGGTCAGGAAACAGGAGGAGAAGCGTCGCAAAGAGGAAGCCGAGCGGTCCGCAAAGGAACAAGAGGCGAAACTTGCGGCTCAGCGTGCCGAGCTCGAGATGGCTAGGGAACGGGAGCGACAGCTTCAGTTGGAATTAGAGGGCTTGGAAGACGAGAGTTCCTCAGATGAGGAAGGACCGGTGAACATCACGCCCCAGGATAGTACTCCGACTCAGAGTCAAGTGCTCCCTGCACCATCTCCTGCAGCCGCCGCTCCTGAACCCGAACTGGAGCCGCCAGTAAGTCCTGAAATCACCTCGTCGGCCAGCAGCCACGCGGCTCCATCCAGCTTCAGCCCCGAGACGGAGTCCAAGAATCCTTACTTTAGGATCACAAGCCAGGCCGCTGAAAACCAGGTGTCTTCGCCTCCTCCCGTGCCCCAGACCACCATCACTTCTCCCAAGACTGATGTCCAGTCAACCAATCCCTTCCATCGTCTCGCGCAGCAGGAGGCTGCCAAACCTGCGTTCACTGCACCTGGCCCCCTCGAACGCAAGTCCCGTGTGCGTCCTGAAGCAGACGATGATTGGTCGGCTGCCGGTTCTGACTTTGACTCGTCCGACGACGAGGATGACGAGCGTCCGGGTGGTGGAAGCGCCAAGCAGCTTGCCAGTATCTTGTTCGGCACTATGGCGCCTCCACGCCCACTGAGTGCGATGGATGACAAGTCACCCTCCAAATCGTCGACCCCAGTCCAAGACAACACAGTGGCTTCTCCGGTAGTACCTGAGGCAAGCGCATCTCTTTCTGCCCCGGCTGCCCCTCCACCTCCTCCTCCGCCACCCCCTCCGCCAGCATCGGCCCCAATGGTAGTGCCCAGCTATGATCCATCTACTGCCCCACCACCTCCACCACCTGCGCCGCCTATCGCACCTCCTGCGCCACCTCCAGGTCCTCCTCCACCACCAGGTCCTCCACCTCCGCCCGCTCCCCCAGGCGCTGCTGCTCCAGCTGCACCTGCAGGAGCGGCAGATCGGAGCGCGCTCTTGGCTTCGATCCAAATGGGCAAAGGACTCCGAAAGGTTCAGACCAATGATCGAAGCAGCAGCTCAAGCGCCGGCCGTGTGCTGGGTTAATTAAGACGTGCAGTGTCAGGTAGGCGTATCTTCTGCTGTGTGTTTGAAGGAGGAGGGTGGATGTTGTAAATAGTAATGGGTGTATTGTTTGTTTCTTGTTCTTGGCTTAATTGTACTTTCTACACATATATCTGTCTACCGTCCCCAAGCAGCCGCCCAGTAATTGTACCGAATACCATGAAGGAACGCGAAGAGAGCAGTTCATGAATCGAACATATATGTATGTTCATTTCGATCAAAACATCAGGAGTCGTATATACATGACCAGAAAAGAAAAAAAAAACATACGGAAGAGGGGGAAAAAAAGTTCCAAAACGACTATCCAAAGGGTACCAGCCAGAATTGAGAGATAGTTGGGGTCGGAAAGAAGGATATCTATCCAGAACGGCATAAAAATCTAGAATGTTAGTTAGGTGGAGAGCTCAGCAATGACATTGCCCACAGTGCTGATGACCCATAAGACAATGAGACCCCAACCGATCTTCCGATCCATTCTCCAATTATTCAATGGGATGATGATGAGTAGGAGGAGCAGGGTAGCCAAAAGGGTGGCACCGCTGATGATAAGGGCTTTGGAGAGAGCGATTTCATAGGAGCCTGTGCGGGTGGCGATTGTGTCAGGCGTCGCATTAAGGGTCATGTACAGGCCACCTAGGCCGATACCTAGAAGGATGTTGAGCATGGGTCCGCCAAAACAGGCGCTCAAAGCCATGACCGGATAGCCCAAACGGGCAACGGTGATGTCGGCGACGAGGTCACCCAGAGAGTTACCGACAGCGAACACGGTGAGTCCGAGGAGGGAGTCGCTGATGTTCAGAATGACTCCCACGGTTTTGAGGAGACTGACGACCTCCGTGGCTATTGTTGCTATCCAGAAGATGGCAACCACGAAGCCCAGGAGAGCCAGGAAGGGACGCCAGAATGCAGACGACTGCGAGAAGCGCTCATGCCGTGTACTTATTGTGAGGCCAGCGATGCAAAGCAATGAGAAAAGAAGGGAGCACAACGCTGGAATCAAGAGGCTGCGAGCCTTCAATTCCGGGTCCAGAGTGGTCCATGCAATAAGTGCAACAAAGAACGGGCCAACCAATAATTGGACCCAGACCAGCCACTGGCACCAATCCTTTGTTTGAGCAGCGGAGGGATCCGAAAGTGGCTGTATAGCAGGCAGCTCGGAGTCCCACCGCTGTCTTCCCTGTCCTGTGTGGGTCTTGGCACCTGTTGGGTCGCTTTGATGGTCTGCAAAGTATTCATGCTCAAGAGTTCGAATTAGTGGGCTGTCCTCCGGCAGCCTCAGTCGCGGTGCCGGTACTGACTCCTCGCCATCTGCCGGAGTCAGGACAATAGGCGCAAGGTCCTCCTCAGGCTGAACGGGATCGACGACAGGAAGAGTGAGTGTCAGTAGTAGCACGCTCGGAGCTGCGATGATTCCAAGCAGCCGCTCCAGGAAGGTCTTGCTCTTCCAGCCAACCAAGGTTGGAAACAAAGCTGGAAAGATAGATTGCAGAATAAAATGAGATGAGACTCGTGTCCACTTCGCCGGCGACGAGGATTGATGACTGCCGTCGTCGAGCCCATCATCATGAATGTGTAACCTCTCCGCCGGATTTGAGACAGCAGGAAGACGGATACTGGGCGCTCTGGAGGATGATGCACTAAGCGCGTTCAGGAAGGGAGGAAACGGACTAGAGGGACTTTCCAAGGCACCTTCAGCACCACGTGCGGCATATGAAGTTCCCATTGGCGAGACGTCAAGCGTAGAGCGAGAGAGTGGAGAAGCAGCCTGGTAGTTGGGTGAGTGGAAGGTACCCGGAGGTGCAAGGAGGTTGGGACTCGGAGAACGGCTCGTTGATCCTGGGCTTGGACTTCGTGGTGGTTCGTTCAATGATGGTAATTTCAGCGTGACTGACGTCTGATCGCTCTGAGGTACCCTGGGTGCCACCGTCTCATCGTCGACTGAAGGTCGACTGACTGTCAGAAGAGGCTGCGGGCTCCTAGACTCGAATACATTGGTGTTGAGCCTGAGACTAGCAGCGTCGTTTGCGGAGACAGCGCGGACACGGGAAGAGCCTGAGGCACTATTCGGGGATAGAAAGCGGCTGCTTCCAGATGGCCTATTGGTCCGAGGATGAGAAGCAACGGACATGTTGTCATGCTGTAATGAAGCCGCACGCCCATGTCGCGGATCGTCAAAATATCGGTCGAGGCTGATAGGCATATCAGGGTGGATATTACGGGACTTCTGGAGCGAAGACAGTACTGTTTGGAACTCCAATGCGCCTACCAGGCTGGGCCTGATGGGATTGAGAGTATTGCGTCTGCGGGCCGAGGGTCGGAATACGTGCATATTTTCACGGATCTCAGCCAAATAGCGGTTGCGGGTCTCGTCATCCTCGTTTCCATCTTTCCACGCTGGAAGATCCGACCTTTGCAGTGTCTCAAAATCCTCAGTCGAAGCCCCACGAAGCAGACTCCTGGACTCCGAAGCTACGCCGGGATCGTCGTCTTCCACCTCTTCCTCGATGTCCAGTTCCTGGTTGTCTGGGATATGGAAGTGACATCGTGCAGCTAGATTTCGTTCATAGGCACGACGTCGTCGTACGAGGTACCAGTGCCATGTTACCACCAGCACCACGTAGAAACAATAGAGCCCAACCATAGCAGCGGACTCCCAGACATGAAGTCGTCCGTCTGCTAGGAGCACCATGCTAAAGCTTACCGCGATAACAAAGTAGCCCACGTCCCGAACAAAGCTTCTCCTTGCGACTTTGAACGGCTGGACTAGAGCCATTGAGCCGGCAACGACAGATGTGATAAAGCTAGCCGCACCAAGAAGCTCACCAATCGCCAGACTACCGCTGTTAGACCTCATCGCGGCAAAGGTTGAGAAGACATCCGGGCTGCCATTTCCGAAAGCGAGAAACGTGACACCGGTCAAACTTTCGCTCATTCCCAGGATGCTGGCCAACGTGCTCAGATCTATACATAAGAAATCGCTGGCGGCAATGCCGATGGTGCTAAAGAGTAGGGAGAGCCATAGAATAAGAATGATAAACGCCAGCGGTTTGGCGTCCGCAAGTGTACAGTAGTAGAGTTGAATGTAGGATAGCAGGCCATCCTCGAGGTCGGGGCAATTGGCACGAACGAAGGAGCATTGATCCTTTGCATTACGGACTAGGCGGCACTGTAGAAAGAGCCAGAGATGTTAGCACGTTGGCGTACTATATCAATGCCTGGTGGCCGAGCTAGGATTGGTGTTTGTAGAAGTACCTCTGGCTCGTTGAATCCTTGTAGGACGTCGTGCGCTCGTTTGACATGAAGTGACGAAGACGGAGCAGAATCGCGCAAATTTCCAGAGGCCCAGCTAATTATTGCGAGGGCTAAGAAGACCAGAAAAGCCCAGTAAAAGGACCGAACTGTGTATGAGCGTTTCCCTCGAGCTGAAGGTCGTCTCGTATACAGAGTCAAGTTGTCCGCCATGGTGGACACAGCGGCATCATGGGCAACAGAGGAGAAGATTCACGAGAGGCATTTCAAGACTTGATAAATATACAAGCAACAGAAGGCAGAAGTATAGAAGGAATCAAGGGTGCCTGTTCGTCAGTAAGGATGTATGCATCTGGCTGGATCTCAACGGCCTGCATGGAGATACGCAGTAGATACCATTCACTCGATTGCCATGTGATGTCAGGAGTTGTTTGGGATTGATACGCGCTGTGGCTGTGCTGTGGAGCAGGCGGTGGTACGCCAGTACGGACTACGGAGTAAACTGGGAATTCCTCTACTGTAGTAGTAAGTTCAAGAGGCGAACTCAGCTTCATGATTCATACTGTCCCAAATCCCAATCACCATTCGGAGCTTTGGCGCATGCCACAGCGAAGCAGCCCAAAAGTCTTTTTTTTTTTTTTTTTTTTTTTACCATTACCGAAAGACAGCGATCGAGGATGCAGTGGGATGGTGATGCATGTATTTGAATTACCAGAAATACTTTACCAAACGGTAAGTAAGTAAGTAAGTATGTATGGAACGGTACCATTACCATCTCCATTTCACCCCGAAAAGCGGACTCAGTCATGTGATAGATCGTTTAACCAGAACAGGCTTAGTTGCTACACCAATGGTCACTCTGGCATGGTGTATGTTTTTGTTGACGCTTCCCTCACTGTTGTTTTGTAAGAAACTGAATGCAAAGAGAAGAGCAGCGCAAATTACATCAGCACTCCAAGGGTGTCAGATACCGTGGAGATATGAAAAGTAGCTTTTGCGTATCCTGATACTCATTATTTATCTCCTGGATTCCCAATCTTCTATTCAGGTGTTTCCTGGAGGCCTTGCGACCGCTTGAACACCCCTTACTGCTGGGGTAACCATTCGCCATGCCCCGCGTAGCAAATGCTAAACATCGCCGCTCGAATGGCGCATCCACTCCCCACAAGAACTCGCCCATCAAGTAAGGCTCTCTGCTCGATTGTGGTAATGATATCGAGGATGAGGTTATGCTGATGGAGACTAGAATCCCCCTGAATGATGATGAGGGGGAGAAGGCGGCCCGGATGGAGGCCCGGCAAGCCCGCCATGATCGCCAGATGAACCAGATCAAGGCCGCCGTTAAGACGCCTATGCCACCTCGAAGATACACCTATGACCGCGCATCGAGTATGAGTCCTGCGACACCGCGAGGCTCGGGACACCGTGGACGGGAAAGCGATGCGGACGGACGACGAGCGGTCACCCCGATGAAGCGGGTTCCCATTCTGGCAAACTTCGAGGAGTGGATGAAAATGGCCACAGACAACAAGATCAATGCAAATAATTCTTGGAACTTCGCCCTGATCGATTACTTTCATGATATGTCCTTGCTGAAGGAAGGTGACGGTGTCAATTTCCAGAAAGCTAGTTGCACCCTCGATGGATGCGTGAAGATCTACACCAGCAGAGTCGACAGCGTTGCGACAGAAACGGGTAAGCTACTCAGTGGCTTAGCGGACAGTCGCGATAAGCGGGGTCGCGATACCGGCGCAGATGGAGAAGGTGCCGATGATGACGAGGACGAAGAAGGGGAAGACGGGACCACAAGAAAATCGCGAAGAAAGGTATGGACAATTGCAGTTCTTGCTATGAGCTGATACGGAACCATCACTGACCTCTCCACGCTCAGAGAACGCATGAAGCCACACTGGCACCTTCCTTCGCTGCGCTCCAGCTGAAGAAATTTGAGCTGGAGTTCTCAGTCGATCCCTTATTCAAAAAGGCTTCTGCGGACTTTGACGAAGGAGGCGCCAAAGGTCTGCTTTTGAACCACTTGTCAATTGATGGACAAGGGCGCATCGTTTTTGACAGTAGTGACGATGCTACGGAGGAAAGCTTGAAAGACGCAGAGAATGCTCGACAAGGATCAGAGGAACCTGAGCATGCGGAGTCTTCCCAGCCAGAGAAACAAACTTCTGATGATGTTTTTGAAACCGATGTCGAAATAGACATAGCGCCATTGGCTAGCCAATTTTTCCCAGATCTGGAGCGCCTCGAAGAGCAAGATGTTTGCCCGTCCCTGAAGAACTTTGACCTCGGCGATCCCAGCGGGTCGCTTGATATCCCATTCCTGAAGGTACCAGAGGAATGGCGGAATGACAAAGGCAATGAGGAAGGACGAAGTATCAATGATGCTTCTGGGATCATGCTCGATGATGACAACGCTGTCGGTTTCGACGATGACGATGCCACTTTAGCTGGCTTCGATCTCAGTGGAGACGCTGGATTTGGCGATGGTGGCGAGGCCTGGGCTCGTGAGGCTGCCCTGGAGCCAATGCTCAAGGTTCACAGGATAGATCGCGACGGCGATGGGAATCAGGATGGCGACGAGGCCGCAGACGATGAGGATGCGTATGCCATATCGCTGAGTCACCAGCCTGATAAGAGTGATCATGAGAATATTCTCAGTTATTTCGACAATGCCCTCCAGAAGAATTGGGCGGGCCCTGAACACTGGAAGATTCGACGGATTAAAGAGCACGCGGCTGCTACCACTACAAGCACGGCACCCAAGCAACGAAAGGAAAAGGAGCCGTTTGAGATCGATTTCGCGGCGCCACTCGATCCTACGGTCGCTGAACTGATTTACACACCGGCTAGCTCCAACTCAACCATCTCCCTGCCCAAGACGCAATGGAGAACCAAGGGTCGGAACTTACTTCCAGATGATAAGCACTTCAAATCTCGACAATTACTTCGTCTCTTCCTCAAGCCAAAGGCTCGCATGGGCTCAAAGAAGCTGATGGGCCCTCGCCAGTTCAACAACCGTCGCCAGGACCGGCCAGCGGGTAATGGCGAAATGGATGAAGCTTTCTGGGCTAAACACAAACAAGAAGAAGATGCGGCTGCCAATGAAGAGGCTGCTCCTGGCGCTTATGATGCTGATTTCTTCGCAGACGATGATGGGCTCGCATTCCCTAACGGGCTTGGTATCGCTGATGAGGACGACGACAATCTACCATTCGCAGACGCTAGAGAAATGCTGTCTCCACCAGGAGATGGTGCACCTCGCGCATCAGCAGGGGAGGCGGGCGGAGCCACCGGAATTGCTGCTCTTCTAAATATGGTAGGAGCAACACCTGGCTCAGCACTGAAACTGGGTGCTGGGGGTTTCGGTTCTCAGTTAGTGACCCAAGGTGGACGACGAGCACGTCCGGACTACGTCGCTTATGCACGAGTCGCTAAAAAGGTCGACGTTCGAAGACTCAAGCAGGAGATGTGGAAGGGTATGGGCCAACGGTTGATTGCATCGACAGACTTCAGCTCCACTCAAGAAACTGAGCCTCAGGCACAACCTGAGGACGCCGAGACTGATGTTCCCCCAACGCCTACACCCCAGAGATCACAGCTGGTGGAGGACGGATTAGAGGCACAGAAGGATGATAAACGTCTGCGGTTCACGCAGATCATGAACTCTCTCAAAACAGTCTACCCACCAGAGAAGCTGCGCGACATCAGTACTTCTTTCGGTTTTATCTGTCTTCTTCACTTGGCCAACGAGCAGGGCCTGGTCCTGGAGAGCAACGGCCTCGTGCAAGGGGCAGGCACCGGTGCGGGCTTACTAGAGGAGATCTACGTGGTGAAAGATGTCAACGCTGTTCTGGAGGAAGGAGTTGCTTGAGCGGAGAATTTGAGATCGCCTCTCTGGGGAAAGATATTTGCACCTGAAGATACTTTCTCTGCTCACGTTTTCCATCTCAGAAGCTACGAAATGCTACACGACGAATGTCTTAGGGTTCAGGATTAGGGTACTCGGGGTTCTACCGCAAAGGAGTTGGTGGCATTTATGGTTCCCGTTGGATGACCTTTTTTTTTCGGATATATTTCTTCCTCTGTATGTGTTGAAATGTCTAATTTTCGAGGTCAATTCCCAGACCGTTTTTTTTGCATATTGAGTAGCCCCGTAATTGCCACCTTTCCGAACCTCATAAGGTACTATCATGGTGAGAGAAGTATAGACAAGCTGGCTGAAACGCCCATGCATTCATAAGTCAGGGTCTAATACTAGTATACCAGAGCCTGGTCATTTCCCATATAATACGTGGTTGAACTTTAGACTATGCATCTATTTCATTACGAGGGACAAGGATTCATCCGTTTCTCCAGGAAAGAGCATTGTTGAATTATGGCAGGAGTAATGCAGAGTGGTATAAGACATTTAGATGGACAATTCCAGACGGGATTGGAAGAACAAAAAACGCACTATGCAAAGACAGGGGTATCAACACCGAGGTCCGTCCAGTCCAGCGCGTCTGATTGGAGTGGCTATTCGTTCAAAAGTGGAAGCCAGACAGAGATACAGCAGTGCACACACACAAAACAGCGTTCGGCAGGGAGAAGCGGAGGAAGATCAGGTTCGAGACCATTTTTTCCACTCTAAACTCTCTCATCTCTTTGAAGGGGATTTCTTTCTTTCTTGCTTTCGTTTATTACTTTTTCTTTAAGCCTCTTCGGTTAATCACTGGTGGGCGTTCTGAGGAAAGTTGGAGTTCATTGGGTTGGTGTATGCCCCCGGAATGGGAACAGCCTCGTAAGTCCGCTCGCCTGGCGCAGCAGCCATATGCTCATTCTGGGCCGGGGCAGGCATGGCCGCAGGGAACTCCCCTTGCTCTGTCTTAGGGGTTGCCTGCTGGACGCGGATGGGTGGCGGCTGCAGCTGGAAGGTGGGCTGGGGCCTGGTCGGCGACTGCGGTGTTGCAAACTGCGTTGCGTACATCTCACCATTCTCGGCGGCGGAGTATGGGTTCTGGGCCTGCGAGATGGAGACGAAGGGGGATTTAGGCATGTTGACAAAGCCAGGGGTGTTGGGAGCAGATTGCAGACGCAGCTGAGCCAGGTAGAGGTCTGATCTGGCCTTGTCACGACGGTCCATGGACCTTGCGAGTCGTCGCTTGGTGTAGAAGCGGTAGAATACGACTGCGTAGATGAGAATGGCTAGAACCTCAACGACGACTTCGATGATAGCGCAGACTAGGCCCCAATCCTAGTGCAGATCCCGATTAGCTTCATTTCATCTTCGTATCTATATTCGTCAGGTCAGCTTACCTGGAGACGACAAAGTAGCGCATAATCGATATCGTTGTGAAACAGCTCTTCTCGTAGATTCTGCCTGCATGACCAACCCCAAAGATCTTGCCCGTTACCAGTAGCCTTGGAGTTTTGATAGATCGCTGCAGCAACAATCCACATGATCAAGCTGAAGGTAAAGAAGCACACCGAGTAGATCGTGTAATACACCGCTACCTTCTCGGCTCGTTTGTGGCCACCCTTCCAGTACGCCCAGAAGACGATGAGACAGGAGAACAAGGAGACGCAGGCCAGGGAGAGAAGCAGATATTGAGGCCATGGGTTCGTCCCCTGGGCCCATGGGGGCAGATTGTTCCGAGGAGGAAGAGTCTTGGTCGCACGGAAAATCATCAACGTTGTTGCCAGAATGGTGAGAACAATCAAACTACAGCCAAAGTTGACGAACCGAAGGAACATCTTGGCCAGGCGTACCCGGAGTTTGATTCGCTGGCACAAGAAGTATTAGTTTCAGGAGATTCAATTGTTGCAGTTCAATGGACGTGGACTTACCAGATCTCTGGCATTCTCTTTGTCAGCAGCCTTTTCTTGCTTCTCCACGAAAAACTCTTCTCGGAAAGTGGGACTCAGAGGGTTCAGGGTCCGACCCGGCGTCCCTGGGACCTTGAGAGCACTCTTCAACGGAGACGCTGGAGGAAGATGGTGTGCCGTATGCTGAGCAGGATCATTGGCGGCGACGTATCCAAAGCCCACGTCGGATACATCAGGCTGGCTGTGGGACTGACTAGGGGGATCCGCAAATGGAGACCGGGACGTATCAGTCGCTTCGGTTGGCGAATGGACTGAGGTTGCTTCCGCGAATCGAGCCGTCCGAGGACTCTTTATTGACGAGGAACTTGATGATTCGGATGAGCTCCTCTCGGCCCGAGGGCCGCTGGGTTGCGAGGGCATCGTCATTGGGATGTGATTGTGACCACGCACAATATCAATGGGCGAGACGGCCTGATAGGTCTGAGGAGAGTTGCCCGCGCTGTCACTTGACACCGACATTGGAGAAAATGAAGTGAGACCAGCAGGAGGAGGTGATTATAGTCAAACAGCCCCTGGGGAGGATAAGAGAACCAGCTCTTAACCTTCTTTTTCACACGATAGATGATATCCTGAGCTCGTTCAGTTAACCTTCTAGTGTGTACTTTTTGCTGAGACAAGACTCACGTAGGAAAAACCTCTCTGAAGTATACTGGCTTGTGAGTTTGTCCTTGGGATGCACCACGGTTCCTGCGCAGTGTGAACGTTTTCTGACAGAACTCAAGGGAAGAATCTGGCTCAAGAAGCAGCAGTAGCAAGATTGGAGGAGGTCGGCATGGCGGCCTTGAATATCAATGAAGGAGCTCTGGACTGGCCATCCTTTTCGCTCCATGTCGGGGCGGGGAGGGGAGAGCACATTTCATTTTAGCATGATGCGAGCCGGCCGTGTGAAGGGTTGCAGGTAAGCGCCTGGCAACATGCAGCACAAGCAAGATGAGGGGAAGTGATTGGAGGGAAGATGAAGTCGAGCAAACCTAGCAACGCGCCTCGAGAGTGTCGATTCAAGGGACCAAGTGCAGGACGAGGAGGTGACTGGGTGCAAAACAGAGTCACTAGTGCAACAGCGCCGGCTTATCACAGTGGGGAAGATCGAGTGAGAGTGCTGAACCCGACCTTTGCTCAATTCTGGCACCGTGCCGAGATGCATGTCCTGTCACGAGCAGGACGAATAAGAGGGATTGTGTATGCTGTATGGTCTCTCTTCCCGGCGCCAAAGTTGATCGCCTCTTGGCCCAACCAACCATGACTGCTGCAGAACCGCTGGCCAGTTGGAGTTGCAGATGAAATCTTTTTGATGGGAGGATCATGCTATCAATCATTCAGAGCATTTGATGCCTCTTGATTGATAGATATCTAGGTCCTCGACGATAATAACCTCTTGAGTGATCATGATTCACGGCACTCTGTGCGGAATTCTCGGTTGGCCATGGCCCGTAGACTATTTTCGGGGGTGTGCAACAACAAGCGCCTGTGATTCAAATCACATCAATCACATCACTTTCTTGATCTATGTTAGCATCAACTTGCTAGAGGATGAGTCTGTGTGATACTTGGAGGTGAGATGTTAAATAAATAAAAGGACCTTCCGACTCACCACAAATCTGATTTGTGAGCTGAGTTGGAGAAGACAAACACCTGGAGCAAGAGGAAATTGTTCTTAGTAACCAGCCTTCTATGACATTTCGCTATTTCTAGACAAGAATCCTGAAGTGATTTCTAGACTGCTATGGATCAATATTTTATCACGATTGAGAGAGGTGGGTGTGTCCTTAGGCGACACGGCGTCAAACTATTCCTCATTTACAGGTGCTTCGATGGACGAAGAAGCGTGTAATGCTGTCCATATTTTGGTCGAGTCTGCTCCTCCGTCAAGGACGACTTCTCAAGGGACACCCAGCTCGATTGACGCTGAAACGAACTCATAATTCTTGGAACTTGACCGAGAAAGACAGGTTCTCGAGTAGTTATCGCTATCAGCCTCCGGAGCTACTATCTACAGAGTTGCCTCCTGTCTGTTCACGTGCCGACCTGGCAGGTATGCAGCAAAGCCTCTTCAACGGTGGCTGAGTCTTGAGGGGAAAACGAGATGATAACACTCTCTATACTTAAGACCACTCCAGACCCGATCCTGAGTAACTTAGTCTGTACGGAGTAGAGTGTAGAGATAGATATATTTGGAAAGTGGATCAAGAGGCTTAGGTAGAGCTGGGGTTAGAGACAGTTCGACATGCAATGACAGGTGTAATTAACATCTACTGCATTCTATCTATCTTCTTTAAGTTCCTATATCGTAGCTGCAATCCATACCCTCTCCTGCCGTTCATTCTCCTCGACGGGCTACATCATATTCAAGCATAGGTGGTCTACTAATTCAAGGGGACGAGCGTATATCATTTCATCCATGGACCATAGGTATGATACCTTAGGCAGGAAAGGTACTTAAGAGGAATGAATATACCAAGGAATATTGACACAGTAGGCTGCGACTGAGGGGGAAAGTCTCAGCCAATCACAGAATTTCCGACGGCATGTACAGCCACCTCAAGGGACCGCCCCACTGCGTTCTAGAAACCTGTTACAGCGGTATTTCTAAAGATGAGGCTGGAACTGATAGAGAAAGAAACTGCCCGGTTTTTTAAAACCATGGCTGTGCTTGTTTTCAGGCACCCATCTATGACAACTACCTACTACCTAGAAACCTACCTAGGCTTCTTCGTACAGCCTAACGTTGACATTGATAGAATAGGATATGCTTCTAACTGTGATCTCGTCTTCTAAGTTAGAATTGAAAGATTCCTTCTTCTTCTTTTTTCGATGGAATTCCAGGCATAGTGACCTTGATGAGGCGCTAATTTGTCATCAGTGAATACTCAATTCTAGGTAATAATACGGAGCCGATCGGCAGATACTTTCAGTTTACATGGAAGCTGCACCTAAATACGGCAAGGTATTACATACTGAGATTCCTCCAACCATATGATCAGGTGGAGGTACTGTATCAGTATTTTACCAAGTCAAGACAAAGGAACAGATGGAAACTCCCTCTCCAGCCACTTTTTTTTTTTTTTTTTTTCCCCGTGTATTAACTCATGTATTATTCTATGTATTATTCAGTAATCCCATTTCCATTCCACTCAGTTCAATAATCGATCTTCCATCCATGATTATGATTATGATTGCTATTCATTATTATTCAGTTCCAGACAATAATACAACCACCACCTTAACAAGTCAACAACACCAGCTCAGGAAACTTCTCCAGTGACTCTGCCAATCCATCTACAGACAGACTCTGCTGTCCTTCTCTTTACTTCATCATCATCATCATCTATATCAGATCACCTTGGATTCTCTCGTCTATCGGCAAAAATACACCTACCGATTGCCTGAATCCTTCTTCTTCATACACAAACGCTTGCCCTTGTCGTCAAGTGAGGCTGTGACTTGACTATCTCCGTCCTTCATCCATCTCCATCTGCTGCGGACAGCATCTCCTCCCACACCCCCCTCCTCCCCCCCTTGCCTCCACTCGTGTACTCTCGTGGTTCATGCGATATTCTTTGCTTGTACATTCTGACGACGACTTCCATCACGGCATACATCTGCATGACATACAGTCCTTCATCGTATTCTAAATCAGGCGGTGCTTCGAGCTCCATCTACGACTCCAAATAAGCATTCTCCATTCCGCCTGCACGCCCGCCACAATCTTCACCCCAAGTTCAACTTCTACCCATCAGATGGGTTAGCCATACCCGGCATACACACCTCAGCTTCTGCAAGAGAAAGGCAAGCGCCCTGCTCGCAAGGCTGACCGCTATTTTTACCCTGCTACACGCCCCTGTATCTCAATCGCGGGATCTGGTTTGTTCTGGCAAGGCTTTGCGAAAGCTGAACTCCCACCGTCTCTATCCTTCGTCAGCTTGCGCCACACTCGGTTCCAGGTGAGCGCCCCACGCCGATAATGCTGGTGAATGATGTTACTCCTTGGTCGTTTCTGTCTTTTCTGTCGAGCCTGCCTATTCTTATGTCCACTCGATGGACCCCTTTGCCCTCAAGTCTTCTTTTGCTACTCAGATATCCAACCCGTAACGACAATTCCTCACTGACATGATCTCCGTTCAAGTAGCAGCCCACTCTTTTGTTCGCCAACCATTTTCGGCTGGCAGCAAGCATCCACTATCCATGGCTGCGCTGACACAATCGACTAACGAACCGGTTCCCATCTCCAATCCCTTGTCCGGAACGCCCAGCTCCCTCATCTCAAGCCCACCGGACTCCATCGCCTTTCTGCGACAATCGAAGCAGGATTCGAGCCTATCCTCAATCGCCAGTGCCGGACTACACGTCTCGCGATCGAGAGAATCCCTACCCCCAATGGCCACCACGGCGCCTGCCACCGGTCCCATGGACCGACCACACGAATCTGACAAGGACTCGGAGCAGATCAGCTCGCAGGTAGCAAGAGAAGCTCTGGGTGCGAGTGAGAAGCAGCAAGGGGTCCCTATCCACGACCCTATGCACATGTCGTCGGACCAGATGCAGGTTGATTCTCACCCCGCGGCAGTTAATGTCTCCGACGCATTTGGCGTCGGCGACACCAACGCAACCTTGATGAATACCTCGACCGTAGCCAGTCCGGGACCGATTGAGGATTCTGCCTCCCAGGATGGCGATCGACCACGTCATCGCGATGAGGAAGACCTACGGGAAAACAGCAATAAAGCTTTCTCGTACCCAATGCCTACAGGGGCACTTGGTGATCCGCGGCGCGGACTAAGTCTACCCAATTCTGGCTTCCACAAGAGCGGCCAGCGATCGCCGTCGGCCAAAAAACACCGTTGTCCCTATTGTGCGACGGAGTTTACAAGACACCACAATCTCAAGAGTCATCTTCTCACTCATAGCCAGGAAAAGCCGTACGTATGTCAAACTTGTCAGTCACGCTTTCGGAGACTTCATGATCTCAAGCGGCATACGAAGCTTCACACAGGTGAGCGTCCACACATCTGTTCCAAATGTGGACGTCGCTTCGCCCGTGGAGATGCTCTTGCTCGACACAACAAGGGCCAAGGAGGGTGCGCCGGCCGTCGAGCCAGCATGGGAAGTTATGCGCCAGAGGATGATTACGGCGAGGGTGCTGTGCCCACCGGTGCCGAAGATACCATGGATGGTCTTGTCTTTGCCGAACCCGAGCGTATGGACGAAGAGGATGAGCGGCGGCTCAACATGCCGAGTATCAAAAAGCACGATGCACCTGCAGAATCTATCCCACGCTCCAACACCACCAATAGCTACCAGCCGCGCCAGCCGAGTACTTATCCTCCGATCGCCGCTGGCAGGCCCTCTCCCGGAGGACTTTTCCCTCCGCCCACCAGCCACGGCGGCTCCAGCGCCTCGACATCTCCCATCTCACAGACTGGAAATATGACATTTCCGCCTTCGGGGCAGCCGTCCGGTGCCTCGGTCTTCCAGACAACGAACGTCACCGAGAGTCCCAAACCACTTTCACCACACAATGCCCCCCTTCCTTCGCACCAGCTTGGACATGGTCCAGACAGCCATGTCCACTTGCATCGAGCTCACTCCCCCGGCATGACCCAGTCCTTCCAGCAACAACCTTTCGGTCGTGCAGGGCCTTCCCAGGGCTCTCTCACGGGTCACGGCGTGCCCGGCCTGGGCCTTCCTCCACCGCAACCTGGTGCTCCCCAGCTTCCTCCACCGCCTGGCATGAGTGCCTCTGATGGGCGGTTCTCTCTCCATGCCCAAGGATCAGTGCAGTCGGCCTCTTCAACTGCCCCGAAGCACAGTTCGTCACATAGTCATTCTAGCAACCACAGTGGACCCCTGTCTTCGAAGATCGGACTTGATGCCACCCCAGGCAATGGCAATCTTCTCCCAGGGCCGCCACATGATCCCAGTTTTGCAGAGCAAACTAGGGATCGGGAGGATAAACTCTGGGCATACATCCGCTCGGTTCATGAAGAATTGACAGGGTTGAAGAGCGAAGTGACTGCGCTACGAGCACAGCTGGCCTCGTCAAATGCAAACGGCTTAGCGTCACCCGTTCCGAACGCCACATCAACTCAAGCTGATACCAATGCTGGTACTACTACTCAACGATGAATGTCACATATTCTCACCAGTCCCCCATCCACCTAGAGGCCATCCA